CTCAGTATAATACAATCAAATGAAGAACTTGTCCCAGTTAACATGAGAAGGGACTGTGCATAATATGCTCATAGCGTTACCTCGCATAATCTCCAAACTTAAACGTTGAAACAAAAAACACGTGGAACGACTCTCGCCTGTTCTCATAAACAGTTTCTTACCGATCTCTTTCAACAAAACAATTGTGCCATTACAGTATATGTAGTATTCTGAATTGTTCACACCGCGACATCTTATCAGCAATTTCGCTGCTAGATGTTTCGTTTTAAATGATGAAAAGTATATAACTAATAGCAGTAACTAGTTACTAATCATTACGGTACAGGGATAGATTATGGCAATAATCCTAGTATTATTGTGCACACGTGCTGACGTGTATTGCAGTGTGTCTTATTGTTTGTATGTCTGTAGTATTAAATGATGTCTAGTATCTAGCGGTTAGAGCTCTCTCTAGTAACAATATGACCTGATTCGTGGATGATGTAACTAGAATGCCCATCGGGCAGCCGACCGTATATAAGCGATGAATTGGTGAGTGGTCAGCGCATTTGGCGCTCAGTAGTTTCAGCATTTTGATTTCCGTCATGATGCAAAAGAAGAGGAATTTTCGTTAAATGATTTTCAACAACGTAATATTTACAGCGCCCAGCATTTTCATGCCGGCAACCGTCGACACCAAAATAAGGCGTAAGTCAACAGTTTTTCGCGGACGCAGCGGTTCGGACACGAACTTTTTTAAATTTGCCTGCTGTTATGCCTTCCAAGAAGGCAATTGTCCCCGATCCTACACTGCCTGCTCATTCAACCATGTTTGTGGGGAGTTTGGTAAGCGCGTACACAGTTTTCGAGAACACCGAGACACCGGCAACGCCGGCTCCGGTGGTGGCGACCGTGCTTGAATCTGGGCCTTGAATCTCTCCTCACAAGGCGTTAAAGACGCTGATTTTATTCTTAGTGGTATCCGGGAATGATTTTGCGTTGTTTCTGATGTGAATGCAATCGGACCAGCCGACTGCAAAAATTACCCTAGCGCTCTCAGTGAGGAAGCAAAACTTGCGCTCGACCAGCTCTTTTGTGAGGAGTTGGAAGTGGGTCGCAATAAGCTGCAGAGAGACAAACCCCTTCGTATCAGAGATTAAAATAGTAGAAATTTAATAATACACACTCCCCCCACACCCCCAGGGGGGCTGCCCCTGGGACCTCGGGGCGCTGGGTGGGTTAAGTTGAACTTCTAATTAAGCAGCTGTGGATAAAGAATATTTTCGCGCGAAGCCGACGAGCTGTTTTCATGAAAGACGTATGAAAAACTATTTTGCTGGAGTTTTAGTTTGTGCCCAGTTTCATTTACTAACGGTAATAAAACAACGAGTACATATCTTCAACATGCGTCTAACACACATACATGAATTTGCAGGTAAATACCGATTCTCGTAAAATGAACCGGTTATTGCTGTTAATAATGAAGGTTGTTTTAAATCAGATTTCTGCTTAAGGTACAGAAAACCTGACCCATGTTCTAAATTTCAAGTAGGACCGTCGCGAATTATTACCGGAGAGAGGAATTTTTAAGGAATATTTAGTGCACGATTACCACTGTATCCGTTAAATGACGTTTAATAATACCAATTTCGCGCGAAGCGCGAAGCCGACGGCAGATTTTGCCCTAAAAAATTAAGAAATTCTATTAAAAATACAAATTTTAATTCAAATTTTATATTCGACAGACCCCACTAACGTTTTTTCAACGGATTTCAACTTTTTTAATCTTGCACATTCGAGAAGTTATTAATACACAGAACACATTTAATAATACACAAACTGTGTAATAACACACAATATTTTAATCTATGCTTCGTATTCATGCGATAGGTGCTGTCCCTAAAAAACAAACAGGATCCGTTCGGCCTATAACTATCTGCAGCCGAAATCATAATAATTCGTTGAATTCGTTCATCCAAGCAGAGCCTTTTTGTTTTGAGTTTCTTAATGATGCGTTGCAATTAGCATCACATTGCTGCTATTTCGCAGCGGTCGACATCAAAGCAGCTTAGCGCTCCGTACCGGTTCATCCGACACAGTGGCAGTTACAAGGGTTTCGCTGGCCCTTTAAAGGCAAACCTGAAAATTTTAATGTCGACCGTTGTCTAGGCTTTGGCTTGGCCAATGCACCGCGATATTTCAGAAAATATTGCGAGCACTGGCGACAATAATGCGAAATCGCGAATTCCTTGTAATTTACTACCTTGAAGATTTTCTTCTTATAGGAAAAACCTATGAGCTGTGTGTGTAACGCTACCCTTCTTTTTTTCTTGAATTTATTTACAAGACTCGGTTACTGCGCAAAATGGGAGAAAGTAGTCGGAGCAAGTCGAGAAAAGTCATGCAACCGCAAAGTATATAAGTAAAAAGGATCTTCGGGTGCTTGTCGGGCATATGTCGTTTGCCTCCAAGGCAGTCGGCGCCCGCACTTCACCAGAATTTTCGTTGATTTCTTGTGCATTATTGATAAGCCGTGGCATAAAATAAAGGTTTATGCGCTGCGAGCAGTCTTCGTGGATTAGTTTTGCTGCCGGCTTTAGCGGTCTCTGTCCGCGCCCGCTGGGTGTCCCTCGGACAGTTATTACTGTCTGCACCGATGCATCCTTTTCGGGATTCGCTGCGGTAGTGGGGAGCACCTGCCTTGCCGGCACTTGGCGGTCAACAAGTTCGAATAAGCCTATTGGCTTTGAACAAAACTGGCTGCTACCGCCGTACGTGCACGCATCGCTCGAACGATATATCAACTTTTTAGAGCTGATAGCCGCCTGTATTCCGCTCTTGGTTTTCGCTTCATATTTTGACGGCGCCAAAGTTGTCGTTTTTTCAGATAATACGCAAACCGTGACATTTCTGAACAAAGGTACAACAAAAAATATAGAGGCGCTGAAAATGGCTTAAGCTCATATTTGCCGCAAGCAACGGTCACAGCTTCCGAGTGGCCGCTACGCAATCGTTGGGCGTTAAGAACGTATTGGCGGATGCAATGAGCAGATTAACCGAGACCCCGCAACACGCCTCGCGTTTCTTTGAATATTTTAAAATTAGTTTTCCAGGCCCCAGTTTACCGTCTTGTGCTTGTTGCATTCTCTCAACTGCGCCGTAAGCTGTCCGAGCTGTTCTTCCCAATGGAGAGCGTTCGTGGCCCTTTGCGAGCGGTATAAGTTCCGCGCTCTTCCTGCTAAGGAGGAGACTGTTGCACTTCACGTTGCTGAGTTATCCAGAAAATTAGCGTCTGCTACAGTTGCTATAGTTTCTAGTTTTGGTTCATTCCATACGCTAAATAATTTTCCTCCTCCGGATTTAAATCACTTTTTAGTAAAGCAAGCTCTGACCGACTTGCAACGCATTCGAACTGAGCTACCGAATAAGCGGGATCCGCTTATGCCGGCGGATTTATAAAAAATCTACGGTAACTTCAGTTCGGAGGAGAAAAAATAACGACGCGGTTTCTGGACAGCTACGGTAGTTGGGTTTTTCTCCCTACTGCGCAGCTCAAATTCTCGAATTTGTTTATAAGCGATGCGGGTTGTCACCTTCTCGCAGGCGATGTGCAGTTTACGCAGGATAGCGCCCTGCTGTCGGTTCGGGTTTTGAATACTGACTGGGTTTTGAATATTGATTTCAACAGAAAACAATAACTTTATCAGTCTTTAAATTTGATAAGAAAAACTCTATGCGCCCTGTAAGGGCGCTTGGAAAGCTGTTAAAGTCAGCTGACAGACAGCCGCAAGACGCGCTGTTTTCGAATATTGATTCCGACCGTTTGATACCGATGTGTTCTTGCCTTTACAACACGTTATTATCCGCCGCCGCCTCCGATGCCGGCATTTCTTCCTCCCGCATATCCGCCCATTCGTTACGCAGCGGCGCCGCAACATATGCAGCATCCGTGGGGATTCCACTCAATCGCTGAAAGCCCAGGGACATTGGCGCAGCGATTGCTACCAGCGGTACATTCAACGGGAACGCCAATGCCGGCTGGAGTTCTGCCACGCCATCCACGACGCACTTCAGTAAACCTTAAGGGCGGTTTTTTGTCTCCCCCGTGTTTACTTTTTCTGGGGTTTTGGAGGTTGTTTTCCCCTTGCGGTTGTGTTCAATGAGAAATAAGTATGCCCTTTTTAGTTGTTGTGTCGCACCGGAAACAATAATCTGCAACATTATCTGAATTATTTGTACTACATCCTGAAGATATCCTAGACAATGCATGCCGGACAACTATGAAATCCAAAGAAGTAAATTTTTTAGCGCACGTTTTCAGATAATTTCAGTTATAATCAGATTAGCTGATACCAGCATTCCAGAAGAAACAGCTAAAACAACTGTCGTGAATTCACAGACTGTTAAGAAAATTACTGGGACATACTTACTGTAAGCACAATTCAAAAAGATGCACTTTTCAGTATCATTTTCTGTATAGCATCGCACAACTGCAGATATAACTTCGACATTGAACTCCTAAACAGATTTGCACAATGTCAGTGCAAAAGCATGGTTAGATTACTTCCATATATATGGAAGTATAACTGTATTTGGGTGTTGTTATAGTAAACGACATTAAAAGGAAAACGACATTAAACGAAGTTGTTTGATCTGATTCCGAATGGTGTTTTGCATATAGGTATGTTTGTAAAACAGTCCCATATTATGTCTCGCGCTACTGCCTCATTTCAAATGACAATGGCTAGGCACGCTACGCCTCGTATACGCGCGGCACGCCTGATTGTGCGGTTGTCAATTGCAGATGGACTAGGTGCATCCAAGTACTGCATGCCAGCCGGTAATAGTGTTTTTGTTCTTTACGGAATATACCGAGTAGAAACGAAACGGTTGTTGCAGCTTTGTGGTCATCTGTGTTAAAGCTTGGTGTGTACGGCACCTATATGCAATAATTAATGTCAAATCGTGGCAATGGCGTTAAGGTTTTGGGTTACTCGGCGACCATGTTTATAATAAACATGCCTCCGCGTAATACTTTATTGCATAAAGACGCATCTGCACTAACCGGTAAAAATACTACCACAGATGTACTTATTGCTATTCGTTATCTTGAACTGTGAACTGTGTCATGCATGCAACTGCTTATGAAAATTAAAGTTGCTACTGCTGCTTACAATTGCAAACAAGTTCAAACGACCGCTGTTGCATAGCAAATATCGGCAAATAATACGAGTACTAATCGATAGTCCTGGAAGGAACACAGTGAAGAGCACCGCAATTTAAGTTAAATGTATTCTTGACTCAAGAGAAGTCTTGCAACGTGGCTTCATTCATGAATTTCAGTCTGTCGCGTGCGTACTTCTTCTCGTAAACGTAGATCAGGCGAAACAAACCATCGACAACAGATGACCGATTTTCTGGAGTAACCAGGAACTGATTTTGATTTCTGAAGGCGTTCATCAAGACTTTAAAGGGCAGAACACCTCCGGCGTGACGTTTTCTAACCAAATGGTCAATATCATCGTGATGGGTAACTGGCTCTCCAAGTTTGATATCCCTAATTACCTTGTAGGCCGTCAAGTCATAAGCTTCGTGCAAATCGCTCTCTGGGGTAATTTTCCGAATTCTACCAGTATCGGTAAGGGTAATTATCACCTTTCCACCTTGGGGAGGCTCGACTTTTTTCCAAAACTCACCGGACATAATGGCGATCATGGGAACCATTACTCCCCAAGACGCCAGCGCAGTAAAGGCCTGTTGTACGCGATCGTTTCCAAAAATGATCAAGTCTTTCGGAATCCCATCGTAGATCATGAGAACAAATAACTTCAGCACCTCTTCCGGTGTCCATCCGCGCAGACCAATGGTGTCGGTGAAGCCGTTATAATGAAGAAGCTGCGCTGTTCCGTCGCTATATGTCTTTGTTGGCTTGGCACCTTTCTTGAGCAGCCACAGAAATGTGGACTTACCGGTGCCTTTTGGTCCCAACAGCAGTAGCGAATCGGTTTGGCGAATTTTCAAGTTGAGCCCGTTGACAAAGTCCATTTTCGCTGCGAGGTCACGCACCGGTTTTTCCAGCTGCTCCTTCATCGATCTCATTTCAGCTTCTGTCTTTTTAATGTTGCTCGTCAAATCGTTTATGCGCTCCTTGTAGTATGCAAGTTCCGCTTTGCGATCTTTTTCCGCTTGCTGATGCTCGGCCCGAAGTTTGGATAGGGCTTCACTATCTGCTCTGGCACTTCGTAATTGCTTTTCGTACTCCTCACGTTCTTTCTCACGCTGTTTCTGATGCTCTTGCTCTTTGGCGTCCATAGCAGTCTTTTTTATGGAATCTACATCAATCGGCGCTGCAGAGGCAACCGACCCCGAATTTCTCGTTAGGATTCCTGCCAAAGCGCCGAGCGCAGTGACTGCTAGGGGCGCGATTACCGATGCTACTGCGCCCATTACAGGGTTGTTAACAATACAGAACGAAAATGCGATATGTGAACCGTGGTAAAATATTATGCTTGATTGCACTGATACTAACACACACGGCTTTCGAAGAGTTGGGCTTTATATACCGTGTACCATCTAGATGGTAACCAGTCATGTTAACAATTCCATGTAGCTCATATCTTGTGGCGCACCTATCAAGTTAAGCTTAGTCAGTGACTTAATTCTATTCTGCGCAACATCTTATCAGGATGCGTCAGTTTTAATAGCCGCTTATTCTCGTTCGTAAGAACACGAACGCTACGATCTCCACCCGCAACCACGAAAAATAGGGGTGACAACGCGATAAATGATAATTTATACACCCGCTCCCCTATTTTCAGTGTTTCGAAGGTTCTGCGATAGTTAACGAAAACCTATGGAATCGCACGCCGCAGTTGTACAGATGCGGTAGCACACAACAACGCAGCTGCTCCTGTGTGCTGTTGTATGATACGGTTGAATCGATCTTTTAACCTTCAGTTAAATCACTATTGAGTTTTTTTTTTATCTACAGTTCAGATTTATTTCGTGCCTGATTTTTTGCAGAGTAACTATGGCATCGGTTTTAAGAGTGAATGCACTCGAAATAATCAAACTGTTCACTTCATTGTACCAAAGTAAAACTGAACTGGCCGAGTTAGGTTGAACCCATTAATGGAACCATGCGTGTCCCCAGGCGCCGTAGTCCGTACCATGGCGAAACTGCTTTATAAATAAGTATCTGGAAATCTGACAAGGCATTCTCTTTTAACCTCGATCTATCCCGATCTACAGCGCTCTTTCCCGCAGCCAGGTTGTTTTGCTAAAACCACCGCCGCGGCCGTATGTTGCGCGAAAACACAGCATCCAAAACAGTGACTGCCAAATGTGGGTATCAAAAAGCCAATTTATAATTATTGAGTGTCTGTAAATTAGGTTTTAATGGGGACCATAGTGTCATCCTAAATATTACTAGGAAATGATTGTTTTCAGCTACTGCATGTTATAAAGTGGAGTTGACATTCGTGATACCCGGAAAATACAGTACATGCCTACTACATTCACTCTACCCAGTGCTTATCTTATCGAACAACAAAAGATAGTTTAACTGTCGAAAAAATTAATTTGAAGCTAGCACATGCTTTTTTAGAACAAATTAACAGATTATAGTAGAAATTTATAGAAATGGTTTTAGTTAAACAGTAGAAATGTTAGCAAGTACTAGCACTGTATATGGGAATGAACCGCATTTCCTATCCGATCACTTTCTTTGCCCATGTCAGCTTGATCGTTGCCGGCTTCCGCATGTCGTAATGTCAGGTGATAGTATTTAATTCGACCATCTTAAGGAGGCAGACCGGAAATGAAAATCGACCTTTCTTCCCCGCCCTGAACACCACCGCTCATTGCTGATCGAGTGATCAGCGGCCAGTAGTGCGACCGTATGATTTTATACTCACAAGGATCCGTTACTGTGAGACATAACGAAATGGCGTTGGCTCTTAACAACAGCATTATTTATTGTAGTAATCTTAATAATGCGGTAGAGAAAGATTCCCACATGACGAATGTGCCCCATCATTATTGTTCAGCTGTAGCCGAACCCAGTTTTATCTGCAGCAAACAAAACATAAATTAATATGGTTTCCGACAGTTCCCTCTAATCAGTGCTTTGCGAATGTTATCATGCAGTGACTAGTGTCAACAGACCTGCAGATAACCGTAACTAAAACTTAGGAGTGCCAACTGATTTGTCTCATGAGAAGTCCTGCATAATGCAGGGCTTCTGTAAATCCGTATACACCTGTACACGACTCTGTTAACTGCAACGGTGATTAAATAAGGTATAATCGGCGCTATTCTGTGAATAAAATATGACAACAGTAAAGCAGTAGCATGGTTGTTGATTCCCTTTAGGCCGCCATCTAATTACATTGTACTAAATTTTTTTACTATATTTTTTAATGGTGTCTACAGATTCTGCACCACCGTGACAGTTCGATCGGGCATTACGGAAGCTGTGGGCCGAACTTGAACAATCGGAAAACGATCACCAAGCTGAGGCCTATCGTTATGAAACAAGGATAAGAGAACTGACGGCACATACCAACCGCAATAAGTAAAACTGTTAAATATATTTGACTGCGTGCTGATACTGCCAAAAAAATTCCTAGGTCTGCTGCTGAAAATCCAGTCGGTTGGTATCGGTACCGATATCTGTTTCCAAGAGGCACACGGATCACACCGGTTGTACCCCAGTACTTCCTGGAAACAGGTGTGGTTTCCGTATCTACAGTAGTTGTTGATTTTTTTCATGCCGTCCTATGATCGAGCCAGCAAACATTACAGAGTTGGTAAACAGTTAAGAAGAGATTATACCGATTTCCACCTCTTTTGACTGTTCTCGCTGGCGCAATGCGTGCACTTGTGCTGCATCATGACTACTCATCTGACCTAACACTATGATATTTTTGCTACATACATTGAAAGTCTGAAATTGGTTAGACAATTTTAAAATGTAAAAGTCACAGATCAAAAGCCGTTATTTTCCGGAAGCAATAACAATTCAAGCAGATTTTTGAAATTTTTCTTTCAAGCGCAGCGATGTGTTCCGCTAAAATGACTAAAGTTCTGTGGAGCGTTTTTTCCAAAAAACTCAACCATTCTTGAAAAAACAAACTTTCTTACACTCAAAGTTACTTTCTTTTATTTTTTACAGAATACGCAAACATTTTTCACAAAAACGCTCCACAATTCTTCTTGAAAATGAATTTTCTTGAATCTAATCAAATGTCAGAATTTTCTGACATCTTTGAAAATTGTTATTGAGTTTAGAAGTGAATTTTGGAAAATTTTTCAGAAAGTGGCGAAGAACCTTCTTTTGTTCTGCGCTTTCCTTTGGTCTTACCGATTCTGCGCTTGCAGTGCCGCCACACTGAATGCGTGCACAGCGAAGAGTAGACTTTGGCCACTCTTTCATGTGCACTATCAGGATAGCGCTACGTGTTTCCATTGTCTAGCGTCTTTGTTATGCTGTATTCGTCCTCACTGTGTAAACATGAGCCTTGTCTGGTCCTATTACACTTGCAATCTGGCATGGAATATAACAGCCACAAGGCATATTCCAGAATGAAAGAAAGCCCATCTCGGTGCAATCTTTCTTTCACTAATTTTGATCACAGGTGGCAGTACTGTAGAAAGATACGCTAGCCTCCAAATCGCTCCTGGTCGGCAATGAAAAAACTTGAATAAGGTTTTTCGTTGCTACCTGAATCTACTCAACTTTCGCCCAGTAATAGATGTAACTATTCTTATTACACTGTAGAATTTTGAAAATCTCATTTTCAGTCTCGCTACCATAGTATAAATTCTCCTTAAAAGATGAACGCTCATCGATGGTTTGCACTCATTCACGAGCGGTCATCTTATCAACAATATTTGAATTGTAGTTCGGATGACTGCATTGGTTGGCAAATTACCCGTAACTGGACTGCATTATCTGCGAGAACTCCTGCGTGCCACTTTCCTTTCTTCATCCTTCCATTTCTTATTCTTCTATGGTACTTGTCGGCGTAAGATTCGGCGCGCCGTAACTAACTGCGCCTGCAAATTACCCGTAACTGGACTCCATTATCTGCGAGAACTCCTGCGTGCCACTTTCCTTTCTTCATCCTTCCCTTTCTTATTCTTCTATGGTACTTGTCGGCGCCGTTGTCGGCGTAAGATTCGGTCTTCTCGTTACACTCGGCGACGGTGGCGATGGCTGGGCTGGTTTTGTGTGCCGCCCGGCACCGTGCGGCCCGCACCGTGTTCGACCAGGCAGATGTCCCATCGGCAAGCATCGGCCAAGCAACCATTAAATTGCTGTGTTTAGTGTAGTCACAAAACTGCTATAAACAAATTTTGATTCAAATTGTTTAGGGTTTTTTATCTATCTTAACCGAATCTTTTTGAAACTTAAACTTCTTTAAAGCCATCAAACAACCAAAAAATGCAAGCGCCGGTACACCGCTTCATAACTAAAAATTGATTTGAACATAAAAAACAGCCAAAATCTGTATTCACCCGCTGATCAAAATTTCATTACTTAACATAGCAGTAGCATTTCTCTTAATGACAGCTACTAAAACGTTGATTGATAAAAGCAGTAGAACGCGCATTCTGAGCCTTTCTCCTTTTATACTCGTACAGTAGTTAGATCGCAGTCTCAAATACTGTTGGGCCGGCCCGGCCCTTTTGGGAGGGCCGCGCCGGGCCGCGGCCCTCGGCCCGGGGAGAAGGGCCATGGCCCGCTATGGAAGTTAAATATGGAAAAAGACGTAGAAAAACGAAAAATTTCATAAGGATTTACTGAAATTCAGTATTTTTCGAGGAGTTTTGCTTAATTTTTGCAAATTAAATGCTTTCTAGGCGAATATCCGCCTGTTTTTCTGTTGACGTACTCTCTGTAGCCGCTTGCATAATGACATCCGGGAATGAAATATTATTGTGCAGCAAGACGGCCCGGGCCGCGGCCCGGTGACATGTCGGGCCGCAGGCCCGCAGCCCGGGACAGTCCGCGGCCCGGGCCGTTTAAACAACGGCCCGGCCCGGGCCGACCCAACACTAGTCTCAAAATGAATTTGAGAACCGCTCGGCAGAAGATACAACTCATGCAATATCTGTCTGTACAGTCGATTGAGCTACGGTTTACGATAATTAGGCAATGTGCTTCATATTATTTTAAAATTGTGACCTTTAATCTGAATGTAACATATACGCACTGTGGTGACAATGCGTACCAGAAAACAAATTACAGAGTACACCAGACGTAAGTAATTCATCACAATCACAGTCATTCAAGAAGATACGGTTTATAAAATATTTGCGATCGAATAGAATATACGCAATTTAAATTAGCTTAACTCCATCAGCTTAAGAAACTCCTGTGTGGAGCTCCCGTTTGGACCGAGTGCCGTCATGATTTCGTCCTTCCATTTCTGCGCGGCCCGTTGAAACTTGTTGTCGTCAACTTCCGCTGTTGCGTTCCAACCGGCGACGGTGGCGATGGCTAAGCGAATATCTTGCGCCGGCACAGTGCGCCCCATTTTTCCCTCTTCCGAAATCATCACGGCCACACCGTGCTCCACCAGCCACTGCGATGTGGACTTCTGGTCAGCAAACATCGGCCAAGCAACCAACGGAACCCCTGTAAGAAAACATCAGTGAAAATAGTTATTGTAGACAGTATTCAACTTCATTTACTAACAGTTGCATCTGCATATATCTAATATCTGTACAGAGTAGTTCCTTACAAAATTAAGACAGCAATTAAATTAGATGCTTTATTAATTATTTAATAAGGTTTCTTGTTAATTTGTTAATTAATAAGGTATGTTTCTAACAACAGTGAGTACCATGGTATTTATAGAAGCAAGTCAAACAACATCAGAAATATTACAAAAAATTTAAGCATCCTTTACCACAAAAAATATTCGCATGGTAAGTTACGAGTGTATTAATTGTAAATTATACAGGAAAGCGTGTGTCTATCCATACGAGCATTTTGGTTCAGGCCAGCAGAATGAATTACTTGAATGAATCAACTGAATTCCAACACTTTTATCAACTGCAAAAAATGACGGGGGAAGGAATTTTACAGCACAACAGGAATTTCACCGGTACAACAATTTTTTTGTGTTGAAAGTATGACGATGCAAATGAAAACACGAATATGAAATTTTCCTAGAGTTCATAATTCGATTTCTAAATTTTATTTCTTCGTTTAAAGTCTGGTTAATTTACTTTCATGTTACGATAACGCCAATTCTTTAAGAAACCTATATTTATTAACACCAGTTGTACAGAAAACTATTAAACACTTTCTGCAATCAGTACCGAAAAATTGTTGGAGAAGTACATTTAGGTATACCTAATTTGTTTTTAATTCTCGTTCAGTTCTCGTATTAGAATAATTTTTTTAAAATCCTCATCTACTACTTTTACGTAAAATGTCTGTAACTTCTCAAATTCTGAAGTTAAATTACACTTAATCGAATTGCAAAATGCAAATATAAACTTTTCATTAAACACAATCAGGTATTTGTGCAACGCTCATACTGTTTCGCCGACTGCATTGCATTTTCGTCTGCATACAGACTGCATTTTCGCCGACATTGACCGGTAAATTTTTGAAGAGCAAAAAGTACTCCAAATAAAGGTTTGTGCGGTGAAAATCTTGTGTTGTGGCTATATATAGAACTGCTTCTCTCTACACTCTAAGTTCCACGTGGCAAACTGTGTTAACTTTGCAAAAAATGTTTACCGGATGACAGTGCTTCCATGGAGCTATTCCATCCGCAATGACTGACAAACACCCCGGTCGCCCGATGCTGCAGCACCGCCATTTGCGGCACCCAGTTCGCGACAACGAACCTGCACCCTTCTCTCTCAAACTGCCGCCCCACCGCGGTCTGCATCTCCGCTGGAAGCAGCCGATGCAGCCCATCCCGAAGCGACCACACAAACGGCCGTCCCAATTCCCTCAACGCTTTAGCGATCTCCACAAGCTGCTCATCGTTCGGACCGACGCTGGACCCGAAGGACACATACACCACGGAGCGTGGGGCTTGTCGGTCCAGCCACCGCAGAATCGGCTCGTCCGCCGCCAGGACTTCCGCCGTGGGAAGAAGCGGACCGACGCAGAAGAGCGGTTTATCCCGGAAGTCGGTGTCCTCGCGAAGGAGCGCGATGTCGTCCGTCTGCATGGAGCGGAAACCGTTCTGGATGGTGCCTGCAGCTCCGGTGATGACTGCGTTCATGTTGCGGAAGATGTGGTAGGTGCCCTCGGCGATGGAGGCCACGCGCTGGCCACGCAGCGGGATGCTGGGGAAGAGCGGCGGACCGGCGGTTCTAATTATCTAAAAATGTTACTGAGGCGATGAAAAGAAATTTCAGGACGAATTTTTCTGTTCAGTTATTAAAACTGTTTAACCACATAAAATAACGGCTGACAAAATTTTTATTAATCATTTATTTTATTAATCGGATGCATTATTCGGGTCCAACGTTTTCTACTGATTTTTTCATGGTTTCTGAATGTTCGAAAGATCGGGCACATTTTTTCGCTAGTCAGCCAGTAAGTATGCTTAATTTTTGTTAAGTCCAAGCATACTTACTGGCTGACTAGCGAAAAACTGTGCCCGATCTTTCGAACAATTTTCGTAAGTCCGTTTAAGTGTTTTCTGCCATTAAGTAAAAGTGAAAAAAATAGCAACAGAAAACGAACGTTGGTTTTATTGAATTTTAACCCAGTTTTTGACTCTCTCTCTAGGTTCCCCTTCTTTGATTTAAGCCAGTGCACTACATTCGTTTGACGCTAAATGTGTGTGCCGGTAAGATCCCACCTCAGGCTGATTTCAAAGCAAGTTTCTTCATGACGCCCATTTCATACGATTCTATAACATTTTTAGGTTAAATACCAAAAGCGAAAGTTTAAATTATTTTAAACGATAATTTTCACTGCGACTCCCGGTACCGATTTCAAAAGAATAAAACAGTTAAACAGCCTAAAAGATTCTATAAAATTTCGCCGCCCGAATTTTGAAAATGAAACCGTTAACGGAAATTCAAAATGGAAACTTCGCTAGTTAAGCCAGTAATGATAAAAGAGTGTGAAAGTTGTACTCGTTAAAAATACAAATTTTACAGGAAAACTGCTCCAGTACTTCAGCTGCATAAGGCTCTTTCTGTACGAGCACTTGAACGTCGTGTTACAAGAGGCCGAATTGAGCCAGCCTACTACATTTATTCTGCGTTACGGACATCAATTACAACACAAATTCAGTGTTACGGTCATTCGAAGCCAAAAGCCTAAATACGCATTCTTTATCCTACCATTGTTTATTGCACTGCACTGCATTACTGTACTTGGTGCATGGCAATTTTCTAGTTTGAAATTGTGCAATTCTATTTTTCTGTTATTTGTTAATACCTGAGCAGTTTCATCGACCAGCATCATGTAGCGCAACAACCGCACCGCCGTGGTGTGGAATCCGTAATAGGGAATGCCCCGTTCCCCACACGCACCCAATACCGGCGCGAAGAAATTATCGGCCACGATACAATCCACGGCCGGAATACCCACTTTCCCTGTTCCTTTTCCATCCCCGGTGTAATCCACATCCAGGATCAACTGCCGTACACTAGGTTCCACCTGCTCCCGGATAACCTTCCCGAAATTCGCCGGGAAGACATCCGACGGGACGTCGTCCTCGATCCCGAAGACGTGGATGTCTTCGTCCGCACGAGGTCGAAAACTGTTCTTGGTGGGTAGAAGCAGCGCACGTTCTTTCGATAAGGCGATGGTGACACGATGGTGCCGGCTGATGCGGCGAGCCAATTCTAGGATGGGGATCAAGTGACCGTACGCCGGGAAGAGCAGAACGAGCACGTGTTTCTTCGGTGAGCTCATTTTAAGACGATATTACAACAGCAGCTTGTAAGTTGATGGTTTATGAAACTACTGTTGCTGTTTTCTGGCTTCGGGCTGTTAATTTAATATGCTGATAACCGGAGGCGGTGTATGCGTGCTTTGAGCAACATGCACCGGCTGTTTGATAACAACAACAATATTATCGTCTCCAGCCCCCAGGCATCGCGCAACCGGCTTGGATGCCGGTTGTCAATGAGCATAAAATTTCGACTGATTGCGCTGGAGCACTGTTGTCCAGATTAGACGTTAATCATTACACCTTCCGGTGCGCATAGTTTCAGTATCACAAAGTCATGCATCGACCTTCAGAACCATATTATTATCTTTTATTCTGAACTTATTAGTAAAAAAATCTAATTTAAAAAAAATTAAAAGAATTTCATTCCCGTTCACTTTTAAGAAAATTAACCTTGCTATATATAATAGCAGGGCGGGTTAAAACAAGTCGCATTATTCTTCGGAAAGAATTAAATTTGGGAAGCAAGTAATTTCGAAAAACGCAAACGGACGGCATCTTCCGTTTGCCTTTCTCCCTTTCGTTCCAAGCAAATGGACGGAACCGCTCTTGTTCGCGACGACACAGACTCTTGAGATAAACCGCTCTTCTTTGTCAGCCCCTTTATTCCGACGGAGAATCTGTGAGAGGTTAGCGAACGTGGATCGGACCACCAAGCTTTGCGCTCGAGCGTGTTCAAGAATACGGATTCCTCGTGCCCAACTTGGTGCCGAATATGGCGGGGCGGGTGGGGCGTTTGCGGGTCATTGCGGATGTACTATCTCAACTCCAACATTATTGACACCGCAACATTTCGCCGAGGCCATATTCGCAAGGATTGGTAGCAAACATATCGCCGCAACGACATTCCGCCGCTGGAATTTGTTTCGCGCAAATTTGTACATGACTCGAGAGTTCCGAGACAGAATTTCAACCTGGTTTCTTGCGGCAAAATGTTGCAAAGTGAAAAAGTCTCAAAGCAATGTGTCGTAAGCCGAAATTTCCCAGCGTCCTTGTGTTCCGCGTCGCAAAGTCCCACTCGTAGTTGTTCACGGGCAAAGCGTCTTTTTGGTTAAATGCAGCGACGGTATGCTTTCCCCGTGACCTCGACTGTTTCACCTTCTGATTTTGGATTAAATGATACTTTTACTTTGTTTCGAAATTTTTTGAGTGTGGTGTGTAAAACTGCCGGTTAACTAAAGCAGGAAGAGATGTGAAAATGGCGCGATACCTTGATTACCAGCTAACAATCGAAATCGGTATAAGCTGTTTTTAAGCGCGTCACTCTTTCTAGTTGCCGTTTGTCATTCAACCATAGAGTATCATACATTATGCCAAATCACAACTGAAAATAAGCGGTGTCATTATACCAGTCTTCCGCAGGGGTTTTCAAGTATCCACCATATAGCGTATTCACCAGCGATTTTATTATGCGTTTTTCTGTACTTGAAGAAAGACCGATTCCTGCAACATACACTGATACCCGCTACAGATCAGAATTCCAAAACTGGTTGCTGCATATTTAAACACGATTCCGGGTACATTGGCCAGCGTTTCTTATAATTGTGCGTAGTTGATTGTCAGTACATGAATGAAAATACATTGTATGTGCACTGAGTAAAGAATAATTACAAAAATATAACGTGAGCACGCTAATCATTCGGCACCCGGACTACCGGAATTCACCAGACAACGTATATTTCTCCCGGCACAAATGACTGACAGTAACTGGAAGCACAGACCAGTATAAAATCACTCTTATTAATTTTAGCTTGCTAATACACCGGTAATATCAAGACTTTATTGATATCTTTCACAATATGGATGATCTGATGGAACTCCGAGGCCGGTTCCGTGGTGTACCACAGCACATGGCACTGTTTATTTTCTCTTTGTTGGTTGTTATTCCGGTCACAGTATCTTCCAACATCCAAGCGGTCAATATGATCACAAGCCCACCCTTTAACAATACCAAGAGATACTCCTGGTTCAAAGGGTTCGGTAAGTATGTCTGGCATAGTGCAAAGCTCGGGAACTGAATGACGCTGTAACCCATGAATGATTGTACTAGTGACGATAACCAGAGCGTTTTAGTAACCTGCTGAGTAATAAATAGCGTTGGATTTCTGCATCCAAGGACAGATAAAATTGGTGGCGGTAGTTAAGTTCTGGGCTCTAAACGTCACTGTCTAATGGAAACCTGACTGGATACATAGTACCAAAATAATGTCGTATAATTAACATCGTCCTGAAGCGATGTTAACTAGTTGTAAAAAATCCTGATAGCGGATTTCAAGAGAATTAAATGTGTCGGGGAATGCTGCCTTTGGGACCAAACCGTGTACAATCTTCCGTTACCTTACACCTTCTCCACAAACCTTTGCACTATCGCTCAGTCAGTGCGTAACCTTTTGCGCACTTTCCCATTCCCATAAATGATGTGCAGTCCCATAATCAGTCACCAATGTCAAATGTCAAACTCCTGGTTCTTAGTCCCAGGTTTAACATTACCATAATTCGCATACCTGTACTAGCACTTGGTACCATTAATCCTGCTGTTTTCATTTAACTGTAGTTACTGTAACACCTCGCTCAGTTCGGCGCAAATAAATTATCCGTCTACATTTGGATGTGCGGAAGTTGATGATGATTAGCCTAATCGCAATGCATTTACTCCCGTGTTTTAATTTTTGATTTCGTAAAACCTGGACCGGAAATTCAACTTTTATGACGTTACAAACTTTTTCTGGTGTTGCTAGGAGAAAACGAAACCTTGCCGGGAACATACAGCCTGTGCCCCAATGTGTCGGATCCCAACGGACTCAGTGTAGCTCAAGGAGTGGAGCGCTACATTGACCGTCGTAATTTATGGGGAATTAAGAACATACAATTTTATCTTCAGTCTCCCTTTCTGCTGCCGCTTTTCCAGTCGTTCCTTGGATTGAAGGAATTCATGGGTCCGTACTTGGTTTCTCTACAAATAAATAACCTAAAAATTGCCGAGCTGCAGGATGCTCTTACTTATGCATGGCTACCGAGTCTCGGTAAGGGTGCTTCGAAACCGGTGTACTTCTTCTGCAAGCTTTCAGTAAACATTTTAGAGAAGAGCAACTGGACAGCAACACGCACCGAAATCATTCAGACTTTTAATGGAACCGGGTATTTTTCACAGAACGGGTAAGTGCGCATTAGAGCATCATATACAGTATGTTTTCCGCGAAAATACTTTGCGAATTCGCAGCATGCCGTTGATGGTTATCGTCTACACGCTACCGGTGCCCGATATCTTCTCGAATTTCTCCCGCAATCTACCCCGTTATCCCTGGTTGTACGCTCGCAACTCCACCCTCCACGAGTTGACCCGAATCGATCCTCCTGTAATCGGCGATTTTATCCAGCGACTGCAGCAGAAAGGTTTGCCGGTCTATGAAGGCCCAGTTTTTTCTAAGACAAACGTGCTGGAAAATCTTTATCTACGGGCCAATTTTACATCCGGCTATTTTGATACTGACCAGTTAAAGGCGGATGTGATGGGATTCACTCAACAGCTGCGTGTTAAAGAGGGCTGTGGGGATGCGAACATGAGCGATGTGGACGTTCATTTTGGCTTACTCAAGCCGCACGTCATGGCTGTGAGGAGAAACCGTGCCTTTTCTGAGTAAGGGGCACTTTTGCAGTGCATTTGTTACCATTCGGTTCATAATTCGCTTTTCGCGCCACGTTTGCGATATGTGATGTTGAAACATTGTTGCATAGTTTGAAGTTGATGCCCATGCCTTTCGTCATCACCGTCCAGCAGAAGAAATATGTCCAATATGCTGCCGATCTGGCGGTGGGACTCGCGAACCATTCCGATCGTTACTACAAACAGGACATGAGTAACGCCACGGAAACGAAAATCCCTGGATTTGGGCTAGTGGAGCTACCACCAGTAGATCCAGCCTTCTCGTTTCGGATGTATCTAAATCGACCATTGAATGTGCAGTACTTACCGTTACTCGAGGTTCTGATGATGAGCCACTTAAATACTGACAGAGGTGACCTTATCGGAATGTACTACTATTATGCGTTGACAAACGTATATTCTGATGTAAACAAACGTATGTTCGATTATTCGTTGATAAACGTATAATTTTTCCAGACCCTGATGGGAGAGTGGAAGTGCGTCTATGGGACTTTGATCCGAATGGTTGGATTGTTAAATTTTTCGTGGTGCTGCGCCACACTAAAGTACCAGTGCCATACGCATCCTTCGTCGTGGATGCCAGGCTGCTTTACGCTGCTAACATCTACCGCAAACTCGATGGCTTCGAGCTCCGATTATCAAATGCCAGTACAGCGTATAAGTTGATGAAGGACTCTTATCCCGCTTACTGGCTGGATACGATTAAAGCATCGACTCTTGCACAATGTGAAGGAGAAAGCATTTGGTCCTTACCGGTTGAAGAACAGCTGTGCCCTCTAAAGAAAACGTTTACGTTGTATGTGGAACGATACTCTAACCTTGGACTGGAGGATCTAATATCAAATACCAAATGGCTGCCGGTAAGTTTCAGCAATTATTTGTGTAGGTTTGCTTTGGAATTTACCTCGTGCAAGAAACACGCAAGCACAAGAAAAAATGCCGGAGAACAGCCAACATTAACGACGCCGACCGTTGTAAATTTTACCATGAAGTCATGAACAAATAATGGCATGAGGCTTTCCCACTAGAAACCCATACCATAAGAACGAAATTTCGATGACGGAGCCGTCCCACGCTAAGCTCGTCCTTACGCAGGGTGTTTACTTCTTCTTCATCCTGAAAAACCACGGTTTAAGGCCTTAACCGTTGCATTCTGCTGGAAGATTTTGTTACGTTAATTTTATTACTCCACGACGTAAAGTATTAAAATCGCAGCGACAGCTTTTTTAGAAAAACCAACAGTAACGAACCAATCAATCCCAAACTGGGAAAAAACTTGTTCCATAGGTATCGTTATAAGCTGCCGAGATTCCGTCCATTAATCACAGGGTCAGTCAAAAACTTTAGGTTGCAAACTGTTCTTTTCCACAGAATTCAGATAAAGTTTTGGATGCAGTACAGCAAGCGTTTGCCGTCGCGAATCCCGTGACAGTGGACCGTCTCACGCTAACCATTGCTTTGATGGAACGCAATGACACCCTGATGACAACCGCCGGGTTAGTGAAATCATTTGAACAACTGTGAGAATTTTCTTTTCTCCCAGAACTACTTCATTGTGCACAATATCGCGCTAGTTAACTTTTCGAAATCATCAGTCCTCTTTTTCCGTAGGCGTGACGCTTTCAAGTTTACGTTTGCTCTGTCCTATCCAAAAATGGAGGAAGAAATTTACTGGAAACTGTGGCGCTATCCATCACTTGACGAAATGAACGGTTTCTTGTTTAGCGTTGCAAACACTGTAATTGCCCACACTTGGACAGTTCTGATGCCCGCTTACAATTACATTGACTGAATTTCACCTATCAGCCCTGGTTACCTGTTCCCGTTGAATTTCGCTATGAAATCTTTGAATCTTACTGAATAAGGTGAAAATTCGGTTAATGTAGATCCTATTGGTTATGATGCATTATGATGACCTTTATCTAGCACAGCTTTTGGTAACGATGATCTTTAGCACCTTTTGGTTATGGCATTCTCTCTAAATTCGACAGTCGAAACAGCGAAATCTTCAAGCTCTTAAATGTGCCATTTTTGCTTCTCGGTTCTGGCTGCCGTTGTCATTCAACTATGTATAAGCTGCGAGCATAAAATCTGCCGAATCCAAAAAGACAAGTACAATGAATTACAAACGCTGGCATTATATATTTCTATTATCTTACCTATATCTGTTATTCGTTTTCTCAACCTGAAGAAAGACCGATTCCCGCAATATAAAGTGACACCAGCCACAGATTAGAATTCCAGACTGGTTGCGGCATATTTAGGCAATTGCTCGAAGCGATTCCGGATACCTCAATCAGTGTTTCTTATAATAGTGCTGAGTTGCTTGTCAGCACTTGAGTGATTCAGATATGCGCAGATTAAAGAACATCGCATAATCACTAACGTTTAAATCATTTGGCACTCGGACAACCGGATTTTTCAAGACACCGCAAAATTTCTTCCGGCGCAAATGGCAGACACTAAGAAAACTTACAGAAGCTCCGATCAATACATTGTATACTCGTGTTCAGCTTGCTTATACACTGGTAATCTGAAGATCACAATGACTTTTCACGACATGGATAATTTGCTGGAGCACCGAGACCGATTCCGTGGCGTACCGCAGTCCACGATACTGTTTCTTTTCTCTGTGCTGATTGTTATTCCGGAAATAACCTCGACCGACGTCCAAGCCAATGTGACTACAAGCTCATCCGTGCATAGAATCAGGATGTATGGCTGGATGAAAGAGTTAGGCAAGTACACCCATCAAAGTATTTCAGCCCCAGTGCAAACAACGAGAATTCACTTCCACGTCGTAACTTATCGTACATATTTTTATTTGTCAATAGCCACCACACATACCGGGTGGCCGAAAAAAATGTCACCCCCCGCGTTTGTTTCGCCGCGTGCGAACTACTTAACGTAATTTAAACCAAATCAAATCTTTCGATAGACAATTTCTTAAGCTACCAAACCCAATATAACATTCTTTTGAAAAATTGAGACCCCTCGTTAACAACGGCGCCACGTGAAATCGTATCGAGATTTTTAGTGTCCCAGCTCGCAAAGTTCAAAATTTCGCCTCAATTATTGTCAAGTTGTGTAATATTTCACGTTTTTAAATTGTTTTGTCTGGAGTAAGATTTCGTCTTTCAGTCGAGAAAAAATTGTTGGGATGGTGCATGCACTGGATGAGCTATGCACTAAGCAACCTTTTTGACATTCCGAAAAAGTTACGATTTTTTTCATCAGTTTTTTTAAGTATTTTAGTTACAGTTTTTTTGTTCATTACTGGGTGCAATGAAGAGCGCCGCTTCAACTGAAAACTGTAGGTCATTTGGTAAGTATTACTTGAAAGCCCGCGAAAATTAAAACGAAAGGTCGCGAACATTTCCATGATTTGGCCCTGTTTAGCCAGGAAATTCTTTGTCCCTTAATTTATGGTGAAGGCTCCGCATACCACCTTTATACCACCTTTGGCTCCTAATACCACCTTTCATACCACCTTTGACTCCTTATACCACCTTTTGCACACCACGTTTGACTCCCCATACCACCATGGTGAAGGCTCCGCATACCACCTTTATACCACCTTTGGCTCCTAATACCACCTTTCATACCACCTTTGACTCCTTATACCACTTTTGCACACCACGTTTGACTCCCCATACCACCATAAGTTTTTTCAAGCTTTTAATAAAAGAATAAGTTAAAATATTTGTTGCTCTGATGTTTTTTTGTAAAAGTTCAAGGTTACAATGTCACAAGATCATTTTACCGGTAAAAGTCCGTGATGAGCCGGAAGAGCAGTTGCGGGTACGGTACGAAAACGTACAAAATCAAACAAATGGTGTCGATTGTGGACCATTTGCTGCCGCATTCGCATATGACCTTTTCCACAAAAGTCGTACACCGGCAAAGACATCGTACACCGGCAAAGGTATCCGAAAATGGATTTCAGAATGCTTTGAGAAGAAAGAACTGGTTCCACTAAAAAGACGGGCCGGACGACAGGCCGAAAGAATTGCCAATCCGGGATTTGATTTCATATCCGCTATAGATGCGGCATTGTACGAAGCGAAGCGTGTAGATATGGATGTGGCTGCGCAAGCTAATCATTCAGTTATTCCAGATATTAAAATCTGGCAGACCTGTTAACTGTTAAGTACTAAATAAATGGTGGTATGCGGAGTCAAAAGTGGTGTGCAAAAGGTGGTACTAGGAGCCAAAGGGGGTACGAAAGGTGGTATTAGGAGCCAAAGGTGGTAAAAGGTGGTATGAGGAGCCTTCACCTTAATTTATTCCTTAGCTGTACTATTTTTTTCTCAATTACTGCATTGGGCTGATTCCTGCGCAAATAAATTAAAGGTCAACCTTCATGACCGATGTCGCTGCAGTTGCCTCATGAAATCGTACCGCAGTGACTGTCAGTACTTTGACTTTTAGTTGTATTAAGTTCTGGTCCGGATTTCGGAAGATCAGTTTTCGTCAAGATGCAGCGCTTTTGCAAACTATTTCCTGTGTCACTAGGAGTAAACGAAACCGTGCCAGGAACGTTCAGCCTTTGCCCCAATGTGTCAGACCCGGACGGGCTCAGGGCGGGTCAAGCCGATCCCTCCGACCGTCCTTTATTACGGGGAATAAACAGTACACGCTTTTATGTTCAGCCTTCCGTTCTCTATCAGCTTCTCCAACCGTTTCTCGGATCCAAAGAATTTATGGGCCAGCACCTGATTACGCTGCACATCAATAATCGGACAATTGCCGAGTTAGAGGATGCTCTCACGTATGCGTGGTTACCGAGTCTCGGTAAGAGTGCCACGGCACCGGTTTTCCCAGATACACTATAAGGTTTTCGTGTACCATTCAGAAAAGAGCAACTGGACGGAAACCCGTGTCGAAATTCTGCAGATTAATAACGGAACGGGGTATTTTTCAGCGAATGGGTAACTGGACATTATCGCTTAGTATGTGGTTCTGCAATGATTAAAAATTTCGCAGATCGCCGTTAATGTTTATAAGCTACACACTACCGGTGTCCGATGTTTTCTCGCCGGCGAATTTCTCCCGCAATCTGTCGTGGTATCCTTGGTTGTACTCTCGCAATTTCTCTCGCCACGAGTTAATCCAGATTCTTCCACCTAACGATTTTATCCAGCGATTGCAGCAGAAGGGTGTGCCTGTATATGAAGGCCCGCTTTTTCCTACCACAAGCGTACTGGAAACTCTCTACTTGCGGGCAAATTCTACGGGTGCCAACGGCTATTTTGATACTGACCAGTTGAAGACAGATTTGATGGGAGTCGCTCGACAGATGCGCGTAAAAGAAGGCTGTTGCGAAGCGGGCATGAGCGATGTGGACGTTCATTTTGGCCTGTTCAAGCCGCACATCCTGCCAATGAGGATAAACGGCACGTTTACTGAGTAAGGATGGTTTTTCAGTGCAGTTGCTATACTAACCTTTTCCAGTAGCTGGGTAAGACTGGAGAAAGATCTTCTTACCTTAATTGAAGAACTTCACATTTCTTTTTGTTTGACTTTATGAAATAAGAGTCAAGAAGTTCATTCACTTTGCACGCCACGTTTGCAAGATGTGGTGCTGAAACACTGGATTTTTTTTCGCAGTGTGACGGTAATGCCCATGCCTTTTCTCGTAACCGTGCAGCAGAAGACATTCGTCCATTACGGTACCGACTTAATGGCACTGGCAAACCATTCCGATCGGTACTACCGCCTGGAAGACGTAAACGCCACGGAACTAAAAATCCCCGGAGTTCGTCTAGTCGAACTGCCGCCAGTAAATCCGGACTTCTCGTTCCGGATGTACCTGAATCGACCTTTGAATGTGCAGGGGCTACCGTTACTGGAGGCTCTGATGATGACCCGTTTAAATACTGACATAGGTGACATTTTCAAAATGCACTAATTTTGATTTTTACTGCGTACCCTGACCGCTAGCCAAACGTAAGTTTTTCCAGATCCTGATGGGCGAGCGGAAGTGCGTCTGTGGGACTTTGATTCGAATGGTTGGATTGTCAACTTTTTCGTGGTGTTGCGCCACGCAAAGATACCGGCAACAGATTTATCGCTCGGCGTGGATGCCAGACTTCCTTACGCCGCCAGCATCTACCGCAGACTCGATGGCCTGGAGCTCCGATTATCCAATGCTAGTGCAGCATATAAGCTGACGACGAAGCCTTACCTGTGATGTCTACAGTGATGCTCGTTGTCGTAAACCGGTGTTTATGCAACTGTTGTGATTTATGTTCACGTAGTTGTGCGTGTCTAAAGACATCTGTTTTCTTTGCTGATTTCTCAGCGCTATTCTGAAGTTGTGATTGAGCGATTCATTATCTATCGTGCGCGGCTACAGTAAAGATCATTGTTAGAATTCGCCGGTATTCTCCGTTGCATATAATGTAGAAGGAACGAACATATATATAATCAGATAAATTCCGAACAGCGCTATCCACAAAACCATCCGTGTAAATGTCACCACGTGCAAATAACACTTCCCGGCAAAGTCTTACCCTAAAAAAATGTTTACAGAATTTGCAGAAATGCCCCGAAAGTATGCATTACGATACATCCAGACAAAAAAAACGTTAGTACACACATTATGATAAACAGAGCAAAGGGCAACATGATGCCACCACGATCTTCGTTTTGCCGTCACAACGGCAAAATCCAAAGTGAGTGGTTTATCCTTGGGAACGAAGGATCTCGATAAACTGCTACACAAAGTTAGCAAAAAGATTTAAATGATCGCAAGTGCATTCCACGATTGTGTTGTCCCATTTGGCAAGTTTAGCAGTCATTCGGCAACTGTCTTCAGATCACTGCTTCAGTGTGTGGTTTAGAAAGGTATACTTTTTTTGCCTCCTTGCTTGGGATGGATACTGAGAGCAGGATACGAATAAAACATCGACCCTTATGCAATTCCATTCTGTTTTTGTACCAGTAAAAAAACAGCCGCGTCCTTTGAATAAAACCTTTACTCTGCATGCGAAGCGGTCTCATTGCCAAGGATGGGTGGTAGGCTGTGCGACTGTTTCCGGGAGTTGGCTAAGACACATATCGAGCGCAAGATAAGATACAGGAGAACTATTCGCTGCATCCATCCAGAATTATTTCATAACAAACTGATCTCGTTTCCGCTGGATTCATATAAAATTCCGGATACAGTAGAGCAAGCTGGAGCCCTAGCAAATCCCTTAACGGTGGTCCGTGGATAATATCACGCTTAGTATTTCACTGATGGAACGCGATGACAAGTTGCAGGCAACCAACGGGTAAATTCAAACATTTGCACAGCTATAACCGGAAATAACGGTTGTGTTTGCCTGTTCTTTCCATTACTATTACATTTTGCACAACATCGTTTCAGTTAATTCTGAGAAATTTCGGCCCTTATTTTCCACAGGCATGACGCTTCAAAGTGTTTGTTGCGCTATACGATGCTCGTCGACGAATGTGCTCAAATAATAATTAAATCTGTAAAGTAAGAAGTTTAAATAAATTACTGTTCCTAATTGATCATTGTAGAAAGGTTAAATGGATTAATCAAACGGCATGTTGCAGGTTCGAATAGTGTTTTCTGATCTAATTCAGTTTTATTGGGCAACGGCCATCAGTCTACATAACATAAATTGCAAGCGCGGCTACGGTATCTTGCAGTCAAAATTTAATGACTAACAAAACAACCCAAATCGCTATCCTCCGGTGGGTCAAAAGGTGGCAGCTGAGACTAATTTAATTAATGCAATCTTGCAGTTCCATAGCAAAGAGAGGCGGTAAGCAGTACTTGGAATCGGTTAGTAGTCGGAAGCTGGCCCCGCCAGATTCCTTGCGCGGACAAGTATAACGTTTGCAGTGCTCTGCAAGGCGGCTTTCAGCTCATCAAATGATGCATAGCGCCAAACGTTCCAGTACAATCCGCTCCTCATTTTCGGGTACGACACGGCAAAACTAATCTTGGCAGCTTCAAACCTGTGAGGTAAAGGTAAAGCAGACATAAATCACATAATTATTATAAGCACTGAATGTCGAAAGGTTCCATACTCTAAAATGTCGCTGACGAAACCCGGTAAACACCACTTTTGTAACCTTATGTGCATTTTTGCTGCGTACCTACATGTTACTAACTTACCCCGTGGGAGTTGGTACACTGTCATTGCATTTCGTCATGGTAAGGGCTAGAGTGATGTTATCCATTGTCACGGGGTTCGCGGCGGCAAAAGCTTGCTGCACTGCTTCCAAGATTTTATCGGAATTCTGCGAAGAAACGGTTCAAGCAATGACAGCTACTTCTGCTTTATTACTACATCCATTACCTGCCCCGCACATGAAGCACTGAGTCTGCCTACTGAAAGTCTGAGCCTGGGTACTCAAAATAAACTCCGGCTACCCAGAATTCGGGCCGTACCACTGCCGTAACAAAGATGATTTTGCTGCTTACCGGCAACTCAGTTACAGATCCATTCACAAGGTCCCGTGAATGGAGACGCTCCGACTGCCATTCGATGTACAGTGTAAAGTTTTTTTTCAGGGGACACTCCTGCTCTTCGGTCGGAAAAAAAATCCATGTACCCCTTCCTTCGCATGCCCGCAGGATTGTTGCTTTGATCGTATTCTTCTGATCTTCGTCAACACCGTGCGTCATCAACCGGTACGCTTTACTAGCCGATGGTACGCGAAGCTCTAAGCCATCGAGTTTACGGTAGATGCTGGCAGCATACTGCATTCTGCCATCCAGAACAAATTCAGCCAACGTTCTGTGTTCATCTTGCAGAATTACAAAAAAGTTGACAACCCAACCGTCCGGATCAAAATTCCATATACGCACCTCCGCTAAATTGTAACGATCTGCCAGAATAAACCTTTGAGACACACCTTCCTAGTTCCTACAAGTCTACCAAAGGCGGCAGAAAACGTTACCGGTGGTGTTGTTATTAAGCTGCGATGTCATCTGAGCTTCCAGTAGCGGCATCCACTGCACATTCAGTGGTCGATCCAGGTGCATACGGAAGGAGTGCGCGGGATTCAAGGGCTGGTGATCCACTAGATGAAGACCGGTGGTATTAATATTTCTTCGCTGCGCCGTTAGTGAATAAAGATAGTAGCGATCGGCATGGTTGGGTAACGGGAACCAGTCGACAAAATTTGTCCTGATTGCCGCAGAATCAGAGAGAAGGACCTTCTGCTGCAGTATGAGTTTGATAACGACTGGAATGGACATTGCATTCACACTACATGAAACAGAACCGGGTAATTTAGCAGCACCTCACGCCAACATGCCATAATATACTTAAGCCTCTAAATCAAAATCAATATCAGAGGGCGGCAAGCAATGATGAGCGGTTAGATAGTGAATAGGAAATTTTCTCGAAATTTCTAATCGTACGACTTTTTAAGCGGTCTAACAAAGCGGTTCCTTCGAAGTTTATTAACGCCCGGGGCGCATATGTCGGGGCGTCTACTTATTTGTAATGCACGGGAGAGGGCGCTTGAAACCACAGCGGGCGTTACCTTTCTTAATTGGGGGGAGGAGCTTCGGATTCGGAATTTCCGATGTCTCGCCAACACTTGATTCTTTTTTTAACGTAACCCGTACGCAACTAGACAGCAGTGGCATTCCGCTGTTGCTCTTTTGACGATGATTAAAACTTTAGTTTTCTGGATTTAAAAAAGCTGCCGTCGGTTCAGCAGAACGATTCGGTTTTCGATTCAGAACTTCCCCGATTCAGGGGTTACCAAGCCACCGAAAATAGCTCAACTCAGAAAACGTTATTACATTGTGCTAGCTGATTTTAAGCCGCCTTCCAACATTTGTGCAATAGTACTAACTGAGATATGTATCTCCGATTTGCAAAATTTGCTAATTTTCTCAGTTAGATGAATTACCGGCATACTCGCTAATCTTAGTTTTCTAACAAGAGTGAAATAAATGCATCGATGTTCATAAAGGGTTTTTTTTGCAAATGTTGAAATGCCACGAGTATTAGTAAGTAAAAGTAGTAGTAAATCATCTGAAATAGTAAATGCCCATCGCATTCAGCGCTCCGTGTGCCTGTGGTTCGAAGCGCATCTTTTCGAGACTCTCAAAAAAATAAGGCCCAGGGCGTTTAATACATGTTGCCGCAATACTGCCGAAACGAATGCTGCCAAAATTATACCTGGTACCGATTCAAACCCAATAGACCTCGACGGTTATTGTCGTACTGAAAAGTGCACCTACTCAGAATATTTCCCGTTCGCCCTCGATGTGACGATTCCTGGCTCGAGTTGACCAAAATGAACTTCCACATCGTCCACGCTCGTGTCGCTACAGTTCTGTCTAATGCGCTTTTGTTTAACAATTCCCAGCACATCCGCCTTCAACTGGTCGGTATCAAAGAAGCCGTATGTAGAGTTTGCCCGCAGGTAAATATCGTCTAGTATGCCGCCGCTCTTGTATAGCGCCGGACCGTCGTATGCTGTCAAACCCATGATCTGCAATCGCTGAATGAATTCGTTCATCGATGATGGACCATTTTGTCCTAACTCATTGGGAGCGAACAACCATTTATACTGAGGCAGGCTGCGGGGGAAATTCTTCTCGAAGAAGACATCTGGCACTGGTAACATGTAGGTAATCAGCATTAATGGCGACCTGCAAAATACTTAAATACTCCATACATACTTCTATATATGGTATACCGTACATAAATATTCCTTTATGAATTACCGATAAAAAGTATTGCCAGCAGTACTGCCCAATATCTTATCAATCAGTGGCAGGGTACTAGTGATGGCAGTAGTACTACTGAAGTACCCAATATCTGTAACTTATAAGTCTACGATAAGGGAGACTTCGGGTCCCCTTAGATAAAAGTGTTATTTCATAAACGAAGTTAAATAGGAAACGGGCAATTGAAAATGAATAAATGAAATTCATAGATATTGATATTCCGGACTAGAATCCATTAACATGGGCACTTCCATGCGGCCTGGAAGTGGCCCTGTTAACCGCCCAGGGACGGTGGCGATGGACCATGCCCGACCGTCGCCATAGACGATTACAGATTCCACCGTGTCAATGGAATTTTGTGTCCTTACCCATTCGTCGAAAACCTAGTTCCATTCTCTAGTTCCATTCCATTCTCGATTTCAGCTTGTGCCGTGCTCCGATTGCTCTTTTCTGAAGTGCACATCCACACACAAGAGTTAGTACAAAAACAGCGAACCGGGAAAGCGATTCAATGGTGGTTAGAACATTTTACCAAAACTGGGTAGCCATGCGTAGGTGAGGGCATCTTGCAGCTCAGCCACAGATCGGCTATTTAGCTGAACCGCAACTGTGTGCTGGCTGACCAATTCTTTCAGTTCGAGAAAGGTTTGGAACTCCTTGAAGAGGGTAGGCGGTTCGAAGCTTCTGCTAAACAACCCACGTGACAAGAGAGGAAGAGCATAGCGCCCTAATTCTACGGGATTCTCGAGAAGATCCGGGTCCGACAGGCTGGGACACACGCTGAAGGTTCCTGGGAAGGTTTCACTGGCTCCTAGAAAAGGATGAATGCACCAAATGTCATCGTCATGGTAAGTTAAGTACCGAAGTTTATCAAACCAAACTTCGAAGTACTGAAAATTAGTACTTTGTTACATGGTGGCTGTTCGGCAGTAATTATAAACGGCCTGTATGGGACATCATCTTTTCCTTCGCCGACGATATAACACTGTATACGTGAAGAGATTTCGTCGTCTGCGCTAGGCAAAAGGACGTACCTGATTCGCTGGCAATACTACCATTAGAGAAAGCAGAAACCCTGTCGAGAACTTCGATATAGCACGAAAGGGGATCAGATGTTCCATCATGTTATGAATCGTTGAGAAATCGATATACAGATAGTTCTCTTTTACAGGTATAATGGCAAGCTGCATGCAATCGCGGTTTTGCATTAATATATGCATGCATCCGTTCAGTGTGCGAGATTTACGCCGCAAGATATGTCAGTTATATGGTGAGTTCCGGTTATCCGGGCGCTGAGCGACTAGAGTTTTCCTGTAAGAGGTGATTGAGCGATTTGCCTTACTCAATCACGTTTCCATTAGAAATATAAATACAGTACACTAAGGACGGGTAATTATTATGCTTTGCGGCACCTCCGGAACCTACTCGACTTCCAGGCATATACAGATATAATCAGAAGCAAAATGCCGGTTTCTTTTGCAATGTGTTTGTTACATACGTACTAATAACAGCTACGCGCGGTGCTTTGCGGAATTCTTCTATCCGGACAAGTCGTATAGCACACAATGATAACTATTAAATTTTGCTCTACGCAAGCAGATTTTATCGTCCGGGATTGCGCGAGCTACGCTGATTTACACAGAATCTCAAACGGAATCAATTACGATCGCTGTGCCTTCCTAGTCGACGGGTACGACTGTAATTGCTACATATGACTCAACATTTGAAACTCTCTACAACGGGACATTCTGTCTGTGTGACGATTAATTGTGCAGTAGCTCATTGTACACACCATTTTCTCACGATCGGTTCAATATATTCTGTGACACGCAAGCGGGGACCATCTAAAAATTACAGACGCTAGTTTTTCAAAACTTTCGACCGCTCTACCTGTTCTTGCACGGTTTTCGCCTTCCGAAGTCTATTGGGCCATTGGGTCGTCACATTTCTAGTACCGCTCCTCCAAGGTTCATTCCATACCCGTACAAAATTTGTAAATGGTCTCAACGGCTTGCATCTTGCGATCTAAGCGTCGATTGAAGTTAGCGCATTGCTACGAAAACGTTACCGGTAATAACGTAACACCGGAATACGTAATCCCTGATTTTACTATTCCCAACACCGTTAGTATACCAAAAATCTCTATAACATAGGAGCAATATACTTTGTGTCGAATGAGCGATGTCTACGACGAGGCTTTCAGTATAGAGCCTATCATGACCCATCACTAGGTGGCAAAACCATTTCGTTTATGGTATTTACAAAGGATGCAGTAACCCAAAAAGATGTGACAGAAATAATGCTCCACAAACACCAGGTTCTGTGATTACCGAACTTTCTCTTAAATTAATGTACTCGTATTGTATCGACGGTTGAACGTGATCACAATGTCGGTAGCATACGATGCAGAAAAAAATTAGCCGGAAGAGTTAGGTAGCTCACTGATGGATGAAATTTTGTTGTTAACTGGAAGTAGGCACCGTGACAGTCCATGTGTGGGCAATTACAGAGTTTGCAACGCTCTGCAAGAAACCGTTCAGTTCATCCAGGGACGGATAACGCCACAGTTTCCAGTATATTCCTTTTTCCATCTTCGGATACGACAGACCAAAAGTAAATTTTGTGGCATCTCGCCTGTAAAAATAAAGGAAACCTATTTCTGTGAATTACTGGACAAGTTGCTTAGCATTACGAAGTTCTGCTGGGAAAAACTGGCAGACATAAAAAATATTTCCTCACTTCTGTCACTGTTGTGTAAATTAGCGAACTTACCAGTTGGTTGTTACCAAGCTGTCATCGCGCTCTATTAGTGATATGGTCAGCGTGATATTGTCTACTGTCACGGGATTCGCAACCGCGAATGCTTGCTGTACTGCATCCAAAATTTTATCTGAATTCTGCAAAAAAAACGTTTGCAATAAAACCGCTTGATAGGCTTCCTGAATAACTGGAAGAAGTTTGGTAACGGGATAACAACGCGGGTAGTACGAGTTGTACGGGGCTCTTACGCTATTAATGATTTAGTCAACTGGTGCAAATAGCTGCTGCATAGCTCACCGGAGTCCATTTGTTACGTGATATTAGATCGTCCCATCGAAGTTTAGAATACCGCTCCACATACAGCGTAAACGTTTTCTTCAGAGGACACAGCTGTTCTTCCACCGGTAAGGGCCAAATGTTCTCTCCTTTACATTGCGCAAGGGTCGATGCTTTAATCGTATCCTGCCAGGAACCGGCATAAGGATTCCTCATCAGCCTATACGCGGTGCTTGCATTTGATAATCGGAGCTCTAAACCATCGAGCTTGCGGTAGATATTGGTGGCCAAAGACAGTCTAGCATCTACGAAGAACTGCATATGTGACGCCGGTATTTTTGCGTGGCGCAGAACCACAAAAAAGTTGACAATCCAGCCGTTTGGATCAAAGTCCCATAAACGCACTACCACTCGCCCATCAAAGTCTAGAAACAGATACGTTTCACTGCGATAAATACAAACTTAGCATGTTTTTGTAAGGTCACCTATGTCAGAACTTAACCGAGCAGTCATCAGACTCTCCAGCACTGGTAGCCACTGCACATTCAACGGTCGATTCAAGTACATGCGAAACGAAAAGATAGGATCTACTAGCGGTAGTTCGGCTATACGAAATCCGGGAATTTTTAGTTCCGTGGAGTTATTCGGGTATTCCTGTCTGTAATATCGATCGGAATGGCTCGCCAGTGCCGCCGTCAGGTCAACATAATACGGTACGAATATTTTCTGCTGCACGGTGATGACAAACGGCATGGACAGTACTGGCTCTCTGGAAAAAAACCTCATGTGTTTCAACATACGTGTCACAAACGAGGTATGTAAAGTTCATTACGAAGCGCAAAGATTGCGATTGCACTGAACAACAACCCTTACTCAGAAAAGGCGCCGTCTTTTCTCATTGGCATGATAAGCGGCTTGAATCGACCAAAATGAACGTCCACATCGCTCATGTCCGCATCTCCGCATCCCTCTTTAACACGCAGTTGTCGAGCGACGTCCATCACATCCGCCTTTAACTGGTCAGTATCGAAGTAGCCGGATGTGGAATTGGCCCGCAGGTATAGATTTTCCAGTACGCTAGTCGTGGAAAAAAGTGGGCCGTCATATACTGGCAAACCCTTCTGCTGCAATCGCTGAATAAAGTCGCCGATCGCCGGTGGCGCGATTCGGGTTAACTCGTGATCGGTTGAGTTGCGAGTGTACAACCAAGGATACCGTGGAAGAATGCGGGAGAAATATTCCGATGAGAAGGCATCCGACACTGGTAGCGTATAGAGAATCATCGTCATCGGCGACCTGCGAATCCCAAAATTATTTATGTTATGAAAAACATACAAATACGATTTTATGTAGTGGAAGTGCAAAGTTACCCATAGGATGAGAAACTTCCTTTTCCGTTGTTAATCTGAATGATTTCGGCACGGGTTGATATCCAGTTGCTCTTCTCTAAAATGCGCACCGAAACTTTACAGCATACGTTTGCAAACGGATGCCGGGGAAATCTTACCGAGAGTCGGTAGCCAAGCATAAGTGAGAGCATCCTGCAGCTCGGGTATTGTTAGATTCTTGGTTTGATTAGTGTGTAGGGCAATTACGTGTTGGCCCATAAACTCTCTCATTCCTAGGAACTGTTGGAAAAGTTGTAGGAGAAGCTGAAGCGGAACATAGAAGTCTATGCTCTTCAATCCCTGCAAACGACGAGGGTCAAGGTAGCTCTCAAGCCCTTTGGCTGCCTGGAGTCCGTTCGGGTCCGACGCATTGGAACAGAGCCTGAATGTTCCTGGCAGTGTTCCGTTTTCTCCTAGCAAACAAGAAGCAACCACTGCATCTTCATGAGAGTAGAACTTCTGGAAAGGGGTTTCATACACCCGCCCAGCGGAAGTACCGGCAGATAGTTGAACTACGATTTAAATATGCAACGGCAACGCCAGCGCATTTGAGCGTCCCCGGAAAGCTTATCTGCACCGACCTCAGCTAAGTGCTTCAAAGTAAGGAAAGCTTGCTCATGCTCGGTCACTTTCGTTTCTCGCGCACTTTTACTTAATCTGTTTTCGTTATTTTATGATATTTTATGGTTGCAAACACGGACCAGGCACCGATTCGTGCGCGCAACATCCGGTTCGGAAATTATGGGTGATACGTAAGATTCGGTAAGAAGGAGTATCAGAGGTCAGTACGATATCAAGCACGACACTAATTATCTCTGTTAATACCGTAGTAACACGCTAGAAATTGAATTAAATCTGCCCTTTTGCATTGGCCACTGGCCAGAATAACTTACCAGGTTCTTTATACCAGTTAGACGTCCTTGTATTATTAACGGTTTGATTGGCGATCATATTGACAGCTTGGATGTGGGTTGATGCGGTGCCCGGAATAACAACCAGCACGGAGAAAAGGAAAGGAGTCAGGCCCTGTGGTCCTCCACGGAATCGGCTTCGGTGCTCCAGAAAATTGTCCATGTTGCAAAAGATCGATATAATCTTCAGATTAGGGGTGTATGAGCAAGCAAAATACGAGCCATTTTATACTGGTCTTTGTCCGTTTAGTGTCTGTCAATTGCGCCGGAAGAAATACGTATAAGGTGTTTTCTTGGGAATTCCGGTTATCCGGGTGCCAACTGATTGGATTATCCACAATAAATTTTGGCGATTATGCGATGTTTTTACTGTGAATCATTGAAAGACTGACAAGCGACTCAGCACTATATCGAAAAACGCTGGTTCACGTACGCGGAATCGCTTCCAGGCTGTGCTTTGATATAAAAGAACAAGTTTGTGAATCCTGATCTATGGCGGTTGTCAGTGTCGTGTCTCTTTCCTCAAGTGCAGCAAGCGAATAATAAAGTCGCTTGCTTCCAATTACGCCGTGTGATGGTGCATCGATTACTGACGAGCGGCGCCTGTGGAATCCAGGCAGTTGTCTAGGTCGAGAAAGGTATACTGACAAAGAGGAAGAAAGGTCTGTAGTGAATCGGCAGATTCATGTTTCGATCTTTCACGTTCGGTTTTTATTTTAACCGCCACTGTGTAAAAGTTATAATAAAGACATTGGGAAAAAAATCTGAGATTTGCCCAACAAATGGGTTTGTAAAAGAGTGAGTGAGAAGAGTGAGTTTCAAAGTTTAAAACGCTGCTGTATAAGGCTTGGTAAGCTTCTTGTATAAAGCATGATTTTAAATGCTGTGCTTACTGGAGAGTTGTTGTTATTGTGAGTGTCTGCCACCTCGAACAGAGCTCTGCCTTGAATGCGTGCGGACGTTGATCCATTAAACCATAATAAAAAATGTCGCTTTCTCCGCACGCTCATAAAGAAGTTATCCGACAGCACAGGAAGAAAACACAGAAAATCCGTAGAAAATACATGCTCCGTAGAAAACACAGGAAATCCTTATAGAGTTATTATGTTAAACAAATATTAATTTTGTCGCTGGTCGCTAATTAAATGTTATTGAGATTACCTTTCATGAATATCTTAATGATCACGGAAATCTGAATCGATGAAAGAACGATCTGCATGGTTAAATCCATTTATGGCCAGAATTTGCAGGAAACCAGTCTATAATGAGACTTTTGTTTCCTTCATAACTCGGCTACCGGATGTTGCGCACGAAAACGGATGCCACGCGGACCACGCCTATGTATGCAGATCATTTGTCTTCAGAATGTCAAAAAGCATTAAGAAAAGGGGCTTAGGAGTGCGCGAAAGGGAAAGTTCCTCTCGCTGTACATGAATTTAGTGCCATGTATAGAGAGTCTCTTCCCTCAAGATTGCACCTGCATGGGGAGATAAAAAATTATTTATTTTATTGTAAATTTTCAGTTATTTCTTCATAATATGATAGATGGAAGATTACTTTCGTAAGACTCGTTGAACTTGTGATAAGTCAAAACTACAGTAATTTTCTTCTATGTATCTGTAGCTATCGTTAAAAATTTTTATAGACTTCGATTACGCTGTTTTATTCCATTTCCGACCAGCGCAGCAAGAGCAAGCGCAGAATGAAAAAATTTAATACCAAATATGCCAGTAGATTCAAAAGGTGTTAGTTAAGCCGTATGCAACAGAAAGCCATCCAACGCGCATAAAATGCACGTTTCGACTTCAAAAAGCGCATTTGTTAGCACCATAAGCGCTAAAACTAGGCATTTCCTTTGTAACCTTCACTGGAAATCGTTTGCTTTACGTGATGGCATTCGCTATGGGCTTGATTGCCACCAATCCCAGCGTATTCCCTTCGGCGAGATCATTGTCCTCCGTTGACGGATGATTCGGCAGCGCCAGCCCATATAATCCAATATCGTCTACAACAAACCCCGCCGCTTCCACCAACGCCTTCAACTCCTGCGGTTGGAAGGCGTACACCAAATCCGGAACGCGGCCCGTCAGCCCCTCATACAACATGGTCCGGTTAACCCATCCTGGCCATTCCACGCCGCTATCCCGCTTCCGCTCGTACTCCTGGTTCACTTCCGGTGGACACCACGCCTTCATCGTGTGCACCGTGATACACAGCGCCCCGCCGGGCTCCAACCAAGTCCACGCTTTCCCCAGAAAGTCGCGGTAGGCTTCTGGTGTGGTCAGGAAGTGTACCCACCGTCCGGCCATGATCCCGGAGAGTCCGTTATCCGGGAAAGTCATCTGGGTGGCGTCTCCGGGAACCAGGGTGAGCCGGGAGCGTTGTTCGACAGGAACTCGTTGCTCCACTTCCCGGAGGTTGTCCGCCGAGAGGTCGTTGGCGATAACGGTGGCGCCAGCCGCCAGGAGGTGCTCCGTGACGATTCCGAAGCCACTGCCTAGCTCGGCGACGGGTTTCCGGGCGCCGCGCATTCGCTGCAGAAAGATTCCGGTGTAAGGATCGATGGCTTCTATGCTGTAGCCCATTTTGTTGTGGGTGGCTGCCATAGGTGGGGCGGGCGCTGGCATTGTTGAAATTATACACAGAAAATCACTTAATAAGAAATAACCAACAAGCAAAACCACAACAGACTTATTGCAACTGCTTTCCATTTAAAAGTGGAAATGCTGTTATCAGGCTTTTAACTGGTTATCTTGCCTGCAGCAAACCTGCTGCCGCGCTGATAGTTATTGCTCATACAAAGTAGGAAGTGCAGAGTGTATTAAACGCGATATACACAGAAAACCGCAAACAGACGATCGGCATTGGGTACGCAGCGCACCGGTTATAACCGGGGCTGCCACAATCAGATAGCTGGCAATCTCATTTCCTATCGGCAGAAGTGTCGTTAATTTGTTCCGTGCCCGGTTTTGTTCACGGCTACCGACGCGAAACCTGAGCGATTCATCGTCAGCGCTTGGTTGTTGATCTGCGTTGATTCCTGATAAATAAAACAGCCGGCATGTGCGTTCATAAAAAGCTGTAACATGCTCACGGAAGTGACGACTGGTTTCCAGTTTTTTGCAGGCTCAAAGGTATCAGAGCTGGTGAACCGAATATCCATTTCCTTGCACCGCAAAGCTATTGTTGTGACAACTCCAACATTTATTCTGATTGGTTACGATTCGCGTAGGCTTTAAGTTAATTTTATTTTTAATTTACTTTGAGAAAAACAATAACTTGCCAAAAATAAAAATTTATTCTGATTGGTTATCTCTTGCTCTATGCGTTTACTTGGATTCCCACTTTTTTTCTGGAAAATTTATCTTGACCGGTTACAAACATATCTGGCTTCTTCCGGCTTTGTTTTGATTAGCTACAGCATTTAAGCATTCGCTTAATAAAAAGACCCGAATGTAACAGACACTTCAAAAAATTAATAATAAACAATAAATTACGCTAACCAGCCATCACAGCTCGATTAATTTGGTATAAGTATAGGTATCCCGTGGCGCACGCCGCATCAGACACACCCGACAGCAGAACTCGCAGAGAAAAATACTGGCTAACGAATAACATCCACAATTCATACAGCACGGTTTACTCTCCCCGAAAACCGCCAGCGCCTGATCGACATAACCCGGGATCTCCAGGATCTCGCGGAAATTGTAAGCCTGATCGCGGCCCTGGTTCTCCATGATGAACTGCATCTTCTGCACCTGGAAGGACTGGTGGGCGTTGGGGCCGACCAACTGGTACGTCTTGTAGAAGTCCACGAAGGCCTGCTCGAAACTGCGGGCTGCCACCAGCTGGTCCTTGTTGGACGCATCCGACCAGCCGGTGTAGGCCAGGTAGCGGGAGCCTTCCCAGCTGGTGACGCTGACGTTGTAGGTCTCGTACACCCAGCGCACGTTCCCGTAGGTGTCGCGCCGGCGGACGTGGCGGGTCCGGAGTTCCTTGTGGTAACATTCCATCTCGAAGCGAATCTGCGGCTGGGCGTCCTGTACCTGTATGATTTACAAAGGTAACATTTTTTATTTTCCTGTGGCTTGGGGAATAAAAATTTAATAATAAAAAATACAGCAATACAGTAATCAAAACTCCGTATGACGAAATGGCGAGGTAGCGAAATTTGATCCATCAAAATTCAAGCTTCACGGAATTATCAATCACAAAAAACATGACATTAAAATTTTCGGTAATAAAAAATCGCAGCACAACAACACCTTAGTATAACAAAAATTTGGGCAAAACAACAGATTATGGAGAAATTCCGCCATTTAAACTCATAGGTACTGTACACAGAGTACACTGTATAAACAACTAATTTCCATAAGATTTCAATCGAAATTAATAATTTCTAGAAATTTTGAAGAAATAAACAGAGAATCATTGTAGTGGAAATCCTTGAGAATTTTGTAAGGAAGTCTTTACAAAATTATTACTTGTACATACTTACCTAATTGTTATAACTTGTATGTGTATAAGTTTTTAGTTTTGATTTTTGATTGGCGCTGAGAAAGTACAAATCAAGAAAACGCTGTCCGGCCCAATTCTTCGCACCCTTACCTCCTTGATATGATCGAAGATATTGTGCATCTCCGGCGCCTCTTTCAAAAACTTGAGGTAACTGTTATTGCAGAACGTGCTGACCATGTAGAAAAAGTAGCTCAGCCCCAGAAAACATCCGCCCAGGATGATGTAGATCATTTCTCCATCAAACACAACGATGCCCAGCACCAGGAGAACAATCCCGGCGAGGATGCCGACGAGCGCCACTTGGCGGACAACGCAGTCCCGATTTCGCTGGCATGCTTCACGGCACGCCCCTTTTAGAGACTGCGCCGACTGCAGGCTGGGTACGGAACGCGAGCGCCGACTGCTGGGTTGCAGCAGGGAGGCGCGTTTCTTCGGCATCGGAGCCTGCTCATTCTCGGACATGGCCGCGCTGTTCCGCGATCAGTTCCAAGGAAAACTCATATGTGCTAGATCAGTTTCTACCGGACCTGATAATTTATTAATTTGCAGATTAAGATTTAGTAGCGCCATAACAGAACGTTTTGCACATTGTTTAAATGCATTTTTGTGATGCTAATAACGGCTGTACAGCATAAACAAATACAAACACCATTCAATGTTGCGTGTAAATAATGCTGTATTAAAGTGCTAGTATAACGAAGATGAAAGCGCAGTGGTTGCCAAACAACAATTATTTCAATGCGTTCGTTTCCATTTTCCAAAATATCATTAATGTGCTTTTTTGACTTTTATTAGTACAATTTTCGAAATCTGTATTGCGCTGCAAGCTCAAATCTATTGATATGCAATGCAGATATAAAAATTAATATGTATTATGGTGTTTTGTACGTAGTTAGTACGGATTCCAGATGAATGTATTTCGGTTTTGCCGGTTTTCATACAATCTGCCTGCGGCTGCGCTGCTGCCGTTGCATCCTGCCTTTTTCTACAATATTTAATTTACAACAGTACTATTCCTCGCAAAAAATACTCCGGTATTTTCTAATTACAGTATAGTGTTATTGTATGTAACAATTAAATTTGAGATCGCTGAATTTCGAACAATTGTTAACTTGAACCGCACCTTTTGTGCAAACGTAACATGAACTTAAATTTGTTTTGTTGTTTAAAACGGGTACTGTTGTAGTGTAAGGGCTTAAAAGGAAATAATCAAAGGTACCATTAGCTAAGTGCCTATGCAGTTCCGTGACAGACTAACAGGCAGTGGTATGCTAGTCGCTGTAGTTTTCTTTCAGTGATTTATTCCAACGGCAGTAATTAATAATAAGGTTACATAATGGGATAATTTTCTGTAAGGTCCCTGGCCATGGCAGTGTCTCCATTAGCATTCGGCTTTAACGGCGGGTACAACATACGGCCGAATCAGTGGCGGATCATCCTCAACAGTATCCATTCCGTTCTGAAACATGTTGCAGGTATTATTGCGTTTTCGCCGTTGATATATGATTCTTTTTGCTACAGATAACGAGCTTACCGCGCCAATACATAGGCCATCGTAGCTTTCCCGGTTGAAATAAAAGTCCTCCCACACTTTGACCTTAGCTGGCGTCCAGTACTGATCCTCGATGTACGTGGTCAACGGTCCCTTCAAACGCGCTTTGATCTCTTCCGGGTCACGATCGTTCAGCTGACCGTTGAGTAAACGCTGCATCGTGGCGGCCGGCAACGCTTTGCCTAATTGCTGTAAACTGCAAACAGGACATTATCAAATCGTTTTCGTGTTACACGCTTATCAAGCCATTACGTGTTGCGATCCATTTGCAGACCGCTCCTCAATAGGTTGATCAATGGGAACGAGGCACCGCAGTCGTAGAGGTCACTCTTCGGGAAATAATCCAAGAAAACCATGCACATTTCCTCATCGGACCCTTCGCCGCCCTGAAAGCATTTTGACGTCAAGAAATCCATTAAATTACTACTCTCAGCAAACCCGTTCCTTACGAATATTGGAGTGGTGTCTTTGATCGTTGTATAGTTGCACTGCAATACTAAACGATCGCCCTAAAAAAGAATGGTTATTTGAAATGAAATAATTTGTTATTTGTGGGATAATTAGTGCAGGTATTTAATACCGGCAAAACAACTCGCGGTGGCGATACTTCTCTTCCTCCCTGACGATTATAGTCAAAGGAGGGATTAACATCAATCGGTTGGAATTCCCGAGTGCCGCGGAAATGCCGCAGCACAGCTCCACTACCTACAAAAAATGTAACAATTTACAAATAAAAAAATACGTTATACAGACTTGCATAAGGAAGGAAAGGAAAAAGCCAAAAGAAATACTAAAAATTATTCAGCCAGTTCAGCAGTATTTGGTAATTTTTCTGACCTCTAGTGTGCATGTGCAGCGTGCTTCCAAAAATTTTGATTCCATCCTTGGGAAACTATAAGTAATTGGCTTTAAAAATTTGAAATCACCAACATCGGAATAAATGAAATTATTATAGTTAGAGGAAGGAAGACGTACGTATCGTTTAGTGCATTCGCTCGGGCACTGTGCCTGCATTTTGAACACCGGTTGCTCCGGCGGAATTGCAAACGATACTGCAGAGATGTACCAGTATGAACTGCCGTTACACGTCCGTGGTTATTATTTTATGGGCAGTACATACAGTCAATATCCATAGCACCAACGGTTAGTGACCCGGCATCATACTGACGGAGTTTGTCGGATAGCAGAAACCGAATACCAGAATCATCACTAAATTCTGTCGAAATGTCCGTGCGTTGAATTAAAGTTCGCAGAACACACACTCCTGAAGACTATTTTATAACACTGACCGCTGTCGTCACTGTTATCATAATGCATCTGGACGACCACCCACTTCCCGGCCATATCTGGTGTGAACGGCAGGCCAGCGTTGGACGGATAATAAGTTGCCTGAAATATCAACCCGTATTTTCGGCAAATTCGTACTGCTGCTGATAAAATACCGGTTTACCCCGGTGCCGGACTGCCAGCCGCCCAGGAGGTTATTGCACACTGACATGATGATAGTCCCGTCCTCCGGTCCACAGGGGAAGGTTCTTCCGTCCACTTGGTCCTCGGTGAAGCTGTCATCGCAGGAATAAGCGTCCATATGGTGCAGATGCGGGAGATTCCTCTGATTCAGCAGCGGCTCATACTGAGAAAATTTCGTAAAAATATTTATCGTATTGGTTTGATGCGAAATACGACTCAACGTACACCGTAAGCGTGATACTTCTTGTCCAGAGCTGGTATCTGGGAGATGGTGCAGTAATACTGGTTCTTCTTGCCTTTAACGACTTGCACCTGCAACGAGCAAGATGCGTACAAAATACTTTTGGATCGTAGAAGAAAGATGGGATTCACATTGTCAACGCGGAATTCAATTCGTTTCTTGATATCCCGCGGATCCGGCTTGTTCTTGGTGTCGTCAGCCTGACTGGGGATGAAATTAATGCTGACCGTCCCGCGGACGTTGTGCTGACTGACGGGCCCGGTTTTGCTCGCCGGGGTTTTGAAGTTGTAGCTGTACAACACCGGTACCGCGGCGCTCTATTAGGCGTTACAGTTAGGTTAGAAGATTTTGCCTGCAGGTTCAACTTACACCGAAAGCTCTATCCTGGCTATCGCAGGTTTTTAATTTTCGGGTGGCACGAATGACGGTATGTGTGGCATTCTTCATTCCGGAGACCATAATCCAGTCTTGCTGTTTGTCCAAAGCCAGGTTAACCTGGCCTTGTGCGAGATTCGCAGTTATCCAGCGATCCTGTAAGAGAGCATCATACTGCCTAGAACGACGGTAACGATAAAAGTATACTTTAAGCCAGTGCCAAACTAACAAGAGAAATTAATAAACAAATAAATACAAATATAAGTTATTAGATAGAAGGTGGAAATTCTAAGACGTTTCAGATAAACACCTCCAATAATTCAAATACCACTGCTGCATAGACATTCCGAAATATACAAGGAAGGAATAATAAAGTGTCCGGAAAAACTGGTAACTGCGTTGCGGAGCCTGCCTAAGCGGTTGAGTACCTGTACGACAACTTCCCGGGTCCGATCGTCGACGTAGGCGAACAGCACATCTGACTGGTCCATTCCGCCATTGGGCGACAGTCCCATGGCCAGCCAGCCTAACGTCGGATAAGCCAGCTGCACTTCGATGTGCGTCTGATTGACACCCCACGCAATCTCCACGAGTTTCCCGGCAGATTGACCGTACGTTGCCGGCGGGAGCGATTGCCGATGCGACAGCTGAATACATTGCACCACAAACAGTAGCGACAATATTTCCACGATACATGCAATCAATATCGCCATATTCTGTAGTTGTTTTCTAACTGCTTAGATTTAACAAGCAGGCAGTGAGTTCTTCTGCCGAGTTATAAACCTCCCTACTGAGTTCGGTTAACGGCAGACGACTGGTAACTGTTTCCAGCCGGCTCGATTTTCCTTGGCGTACCAGTTTGTTTGATCGGTACCGGTATTATGCACGCTTCAGCAGAAAGTCAGCCTCTTGTCGGCATTCACGCTTTTGTGAGCTGCGTTCAAGTGTCATCTGCCAAGAACAGCAGCGAGAATTTACCGTGGCCGTGTGTAGTGCGCATGAGCGCTGTTTTGTGGAAGAACCCGTCTTGCGAAGTTGCTTTTAAACAAACAACCAACGCGTGAAAATTCTTCTTTGGTCCAGCGGTAAAAAGAGTGTCTCTATAACATGAATCAGCCAGGTTTTTTGTTTTTTAGCAGCTCTCAGAACACTCAGTATTTTTTTATTGACAGTGAAAATTTTCAAAATAAAACAGCTACAGTAAATCAGCATCCGGCTTCCGTCTTTTGGACTACATAGGGACGTATAACCGGCGGATGATCATCCATAAAATCTTGCCCGTTCTACAAGATACCATACAAATATATAACAAAATGCGTACAACACTAACGTAAAAAAAACTTACTTCGCCAATGCAAACCGCGTCATAGCTGGCCCGGTCGAAATAGAAGGCCTCCCACGCGCTGACCTTCTGCGGCGTCCATGTTGTCTGTTTAATGTAATTGGTTACGGGAGTGGTCAGCTGCCTTGTCACCATTTCTAGTTCGTCATCTTCCAGATCGCCTTTCAGAAATCGGTTGAACATCTCGTTTGGTATGGTTTTCCCGAGCGTTGTCAACCTGAAAGGTCGTCAGTTATTAAGCAAGAGTTCCTTTAAATTCGATTCGTGAAGCATACGTTGGTTTATCGATTTGCAGTCCGCGCTGCAGTAATCGTGCTAATGGATACGATGCACCACAGTCGTACAGGCCGCTTTTTGGGTAATAGTTCAGGAAGACCATACACATTTCCTCGTTAAGGCCTTCGCCACCCTGGAAAGTGTCAGATGTATTTTGCTTAACAAACATTTAATTGCACTCCGAAGTATGCAATACTTGTAAATTGTTTTTGCTAAAACTTGTATTTTTTTAGCCGCAAATTTTTTCATGGTATTTTATTGCTAAGGGATTTTCAATGCCGTTTAATTACTGTACTTACAAATACGGGCGCAGCGTCTTTCAGGGTTGTGTAATTACACTGCATCACCAGGCGGTCGCCCTGTAATGAGGAGAAAATTTGATTCTAATTTCAATGACGCAATAATGTTAATTAAAATTAACTTGATTTGGGATTTTTAACATGACGCAAGGGAAATATTGCGAATTTTCCGAAAGATAAACGATCAATTGTTATGGTTTCTCCCACCGGTAGCACTTGACGGGGCGGTGTAACGGGTCGTTCGCCTTGACGATTATAATCGTACGATCCGTCCACGTCGATCGGTGGGAATTCGCGCTGGCCACGGAAATGCCGCAGCACCGCGCCCACACCTAATCACACCAATCCGAAAACCCACAGCAGAAACAGTGCAAACAAATATTTTAATATTTTCCGTAAAAAAATACCTCGCGTGTGCATATGTAAAGTGCTGGAATAAATTCGAATTCCATCCTTCGGGAACTGCAAACAACAGCAGCAAATTTCAATGTTTTAGAAAAAGAAAGGCCGTTTTCTGGGATTTACGTATTTGCGGGTGCAAGCGTCCGAACACTGCGCTTGCATCTGGAAAACGGGCTGCCGTGGTGGTATGGCAAAGGACACTGCAGATGACAATTATCGAATTACACTACCGAAGAGATTCTTCAGTGTCGTCAAAAGAAAACTGAACGTACGATCTTCGTCCATGGCACCAACGGTCAGCAAACCGGAATCATATTTTCGCAGACTATCCGTCAGCAAGAATTTAATTCCAGAATCGTCATTGAATTCTACACAAACCAATAAAATTTATGAAATAATAAGTTATTTTACATGCAGTACAATTTTATCCATTCAAACTTAGTGTAATGATGTGTTATATTTAAATATTATGTAAAAATATCTAAAATAAATAAAAATAATGGATGAATTTGGTACTGTAAATCGTAAGGGAATCGATTATTATTATTATTATTCTGTGGTTTATTACATTCATCAGAAGTTTTACCGTACCGATGTTGTCTGTGTTGTCGTAATGCACCTGGATGACAACATACCGCCCTGACATTTGCGGTGTGAAAGGCACGCCCACTTCGGGAGGATAATAACTGGTCTACACGGAAAATGTTTTGCAGACGCGTCAGCAATCGTCGACGGTTTTGACTCACTTTGGTCAAAGATTGCCATCCAGCGAGGAAATCGTTACAGACCGACATAATCAGCGACCCCTCTTCCGGTCCGCAAGGAAACGTTTCGCGTCGTTTTTGGTCAGCCGTAAGGCCGTTGCAGAGATACGCGTCCATGTGGTGTAGATAGGGGAGATTCTTCGGGTTTAAATACACTTCATACTGAAATCAACAAAACAGTCTCTAATTTAATTAGATTTCGCTTCAGAGTTTCTTAGATTTATACTGTACTTACCCCGATTGCGTGGTATTTCTTGTCCAGATCGGGAATCCTCTTCAGCGTGCAGTAGTACTGGTTCTGTTTGCCTTTCGTGACCTTTACCTGTAGAAACGTTCTTCCTTTGTGTAGGTGTTGGATATTAATATACGCAACAGTATTTACATTGTTAGCACGAAATTCCAGTGTCTTTCTGACTGGTTCCGGAGGCGGCGTCTCGTCAGAGTCTTTCGGGAAGAAGTCTACCGTTACCGAGCCACGGACATCGTGCTTGGTGACGACGGCATTCGGACCTAATGGTTGCCGGAAACTGTAGCTGTAAATCACCGGCATATCCGCGTCCTACATATTAAAGACGCGTTTTTCCGGTTAAATAACAAACTTTGGGAAAGCAGAATTTATGTTGAACCGTTATGCTGCGATCCTGCGCATCACATGTCTTCAGTTTCCGCACGGCTCGCAGCAACGTGTGCGTGGTATTCTTCGAGCCGGACACGGCCATCCAGTCTTGTTTCGTATCCAACGTTAAAAGAACCCGGCCTTGCGCCAAATTCGCTGTCAACCAGCGATCCTATCAATAAATGGAAATAAAAGAAAATCTGAAGCAGAACATAAAAAACGAAGGATTTATTATGAAACGGTTAAAAATTTTTTTTAAAAATCAAAATAAATTAAAAAAGATTTAGCCAAATTAAATGAAAAAAGAGAACTGAGATAATAGTAGCAAATTTATAATAAATCACGTGGTTTGTACCTGAACAACCGGTTGATGAGTACGGTCATCAACGTATCCAAACAGCACATCTGATTGGTCCATTCCGCCGTTGGGTGACAGTCCCATGGCCAGCCACCCGAGGGTCGGATAGGCCAACTGCACTTCAATGTGTGATTGATTGGTGCCCCACGTGATCTCGATGCCTTTTCCTGCGGATTGCCCGTACTGTGCCGCGGGCAGACGCTTCACTTGATTTAACTGGATTCCACGTGCAAAAGCCGCCAAGCACAGCACAATGACGAAAAAATAAACATCCATTTTTCAGGACCGTTGCTCAACGAAAATTTTTATGATGGAAATTTAAAAAAATGGACCAGTCAAACGTTTGTCAAATACTGTTGATGAAGTTTTATGTTTGCCGGTAATTTTTTTCTCGGCTTATAAGAACTGGGATATTTCTTACCGCTGCTGAATGGAAACCGGTTGGCGGAAATCTCCTGACAGCTGAACACCGTTTTCTCAAGTGCGGATGTGCTTGTTTCTGTTTAAACAAATGATTTCACCGGCATGCCTTTTCATCAGGTGTTTCATGGATGAATGACTTGCTGACACGGTCAAACTTTTGTTAGACTGCTCGCGTTGCTTTCATGCGGTCAGCGCAAGGTGTGGTACTCAGTATCTGTAGTGCAGTAATGCGGTAATTTTTGTCTTGGGAAATACTCTGATAACAGAGATTTGATGAAATTTGAAACGGATAAACAACGCTTGCGTGGTAATCATAATTCGTACACGAAGCGAATTCTTAAGTGCTATTTATTTAGATAAAAATTCCAAAATGAAGAATAATAACAAGCATATTAATATTATTGTGCTGTATAGTGCCCAGACGATGTACCGTACTATCTGAAGTGTAAATAGGCAGGCGAAAGGACCAGGAGACAGAAGTACAGTATATGAAGGCAGAAATTTGCAAATGCGTAGTTAGAATTTCTTCAATTTTCCTTCCTACAGCTCATTCAGTGTCAGCTGAAAATAAATCTTAAAAAAGGCTGTAAATTAGTTAAAGCTGTACGAGGAGAGAACAAGCATCTTCGGTAGCGCGTTCGAATAGTCAAGACTCTTTGAAAACTGTGCGTCAAGTGTGCGACAGCATAATTCACTTAACAGCCAACTGTGGAAGGTTATGCATCTGCGTACACCTCACCGTCAACCGTGGATGGGTGCCCTGATTGACAGTGGCCAAGTTAAACGTGGACTGGCAGCCTTACGCGGTCGACTGTTAAGCCAGATTTGCAGCCACACGAGTGTTCAAAGTGTCTTGACTATTTGAACGCGCTACCGAAGATGCTTGTTTCCTCCTCGTAATTAGATTAGTTAAAGCTGTAAATTAATTTTGAAGTCTGTAATAATTATGGTATTAGTAATACCAGTATCATTCACAACGACTAGTGCGTATAAAATTTTGGAAAAAAACAGCAGTCGGTAAAAATAAGATATTTTTAACGCTATCTCGAGAGCAAAGGCGTTATGAATCCGGCTTGACTCATAAACTCCTCCATCGACATGTGGACACCGAATGGTGCTTCCTGGTTAATCCAGTGGCCGTAACCATCCAGCAGCCGCAGCTGGAAGGTCCCCGCCACACATTCCCGTGACCTTTCGGCGGCACTGACACTCAGCGCCGGATCCCCGGTCCCATGCAGTAGGTGTACCGGCGGCCGGATACCCATCAACGAGGGCATGGGTGGCGGGAAGACGCGGATCAGGTTGCGGTAGTAATTGAGGAGCGGCCGCAGAGCACCGTCTTTCCCCAGATAATACTTGTATACTTCCACTTCTTCGGGGTAACGGCGCTCGGCGTACGACACAGCGGTGGTTGGGTCAACATGGCTTCTACGCGGTACAGATCGTTGCTGAGGAACATGCGTTCCGGGAGATATGGAAGTTGGAAGAAAAATATATACCTGCGTACATACACAAAATCTGTACATTTGAAACACAAATTTTCCTAGTATTTTGCTTTCCAATTGAATAATTTTTAAATTTATCTTTATATGTACTGTAGAGTAACCCTGCACTTGACAGCTTTTTTTACAGCTCAGATAGACGTACGCTGTACGAGCACATTCACCATTCACATGTGCTGCCTGAGACTAGGCAGGCAGCACATGTGAGTGCAGTGCAGTCGGCTCTGAGCCAGCTGAACGTTTGTCAGTACTACAGTGCCGTATAGCTCATATCGTACGAAAAAGCTGTCAAGTGCAGGGTTACTCTACAGTATTTGAGTTTTTTAGTTTTTTAAATTTAAAGAAATTATTTTAATGCTTTTTCTGACTTTTTTCATTTTCAGATTTTTAAAAATTATTTTACATCTGAATTTTAATATTTTCTGGTCGCTTGTTTTTCTAAATTCTTTTGATTTGATTTTGTTTTTCTTGTACAGTTTCTCATTACTTTTAAAAAACTTTTTGAGGCAATACCAGCTTTTAAAAAATTGTCGAATTAGGTCGCCGAAGGGCATCCTGCTAAATGCGAGCGGATGAGGACAGTTCATGACAATCAGAAGATCCACCATTTCCGGGAAGACCGCCGCAAAAGTCCAGGATATTAAACCTAAAGAAAAAGCTCGAGATTTTAAAATTTTCGTCATTGTCCTGGGTTTCTCGGTTGAGCAGTGTGTGAAGACTGAGCGTACCGCCCCAGTCATGCCCCACCAGGATGCACTTTTCATAGCCCATTTGCTGGATGACACTGCGCACATCTCGCACCAACAGCGGCAGTGTATAAGCGCGCCGATCGGTTGGTTTATCCGATTCTCCGTAACCGCGATTATCAATAGCTACCACACTAAAGAAAATACTTCGGTTTTCTATAGTTTCTATAGAACTGGCTGGCATTGAGTATATTGCGGCTTGATTGAATTACCGAAAATGGGACCGGAAATGCTGTAGCTGGTGACGCCAGCCGAACCACAGATCTGGGAATCCGTGGATGAATAACATGAGCGGTCGACCGGGTTCACCAGCTGCGACATAATGCAGCCGGATTTCGCTATCCCGTAGCGGCTCACTCTCGTTTTTAAAACCATGGTACGTCTGGAAGAATACCGCAGCTCGTTTGTGTATTATTTCTCATTCGAGTTGGAGTCTTTGCTAATTGGTTTCGTCAAGATCGATTACTTTTAAGTGCTATACAGATACATAAAAACACATGTATTAACATACAGGAACTCTCAGGAATCCGTGCTCAAAATCCAGTTGATCAAGAATTTTCGGTTTGACGTCGCGCACGCGCCGAGGAACTGCGAAACAGGATTCATACGCTAATTGGATCATTACGCCAATGCCACAAATTCCCCCGATGATATACGCGAAAATTACGGCAAACAAGTTGCCAATGAATGCCAGCGGTATTGTCGCCAATGCCATGCTAATGTTGTATTATTTTATTAAGCCAGATAATTGTTTTATTCTTAGTTCCCCTAATATTGACACGGAGGAACTGATATTGACAGGGAGCGCTGATGGATAAGCTAGATTAATCATTAAATTAATACAGTTAGATCGTTCACGTTGGAACACATTTTCGTTACGAACACAACAGTGTCAGTCACGGATTACAATTTAACAGCATGGCAACAGCAAATGCTGATAAGCGTTATCTGACTTCCGCGTTATCGTTTTGCGTTACGCTGTTCGTTTCTGCAAAGCCGGCATTGAGTAGCGGAAAAATGTACGGTCGGATGGTGGTGGGTTATCGTTAGCCACTCACTTTATTCCATCCTGTAATACACGGTTTATGATAATCGTATTAGTTTGGAAAACAAATCTATAAAATTCGTAAATGAATATAATGACATATTCAAGCAGAAACCAGTGGAAAAGTTAAAACGGATAGGAGTGTTAAGACACAGACACGTACGTCATACGGTCATATTGCAGACATCGATGTAATACGCAGGTGTTTTGTCCAGTCACCTCGTTTAATCATAAAAACATACTTATAGAATGATTATCTCAGCTCACAGAACTCAAACTGCTTTCCTTGGCGCTTCTTTAATAAATGGAAAATTAAACAGCAGTCTCAGCTTACAGGCAAAAAAATGCACAATTTATTTCCAATGATAATAACTGAAACTAGACGCAAAATTCTATGCTACTGCTTTACATTAGTAGCAAAAATCAAAATTCAGACAACCAATTCGGTCTTTACCTTCCTCAGATGGATTAGCTCGCGGCAAAGTGCTTAGAATCACGGTCACATTGCCACGTACAACAGCAGCTCTGAAACGTTGCTCTGAAAAGGAACTCAAGCTCACTTCCACCGTCTTCGCGGGAATCCTACGACCGAAACACTTAGAAAGATCGTGTGTCGGCTGGCTGAGCACTGCCAGAGTTTCGCTAACAGCAGGACTGACTGCATCCGACAGCTGTCGGAAACGGTAGTGATTCCGGTTGCTGGTTTCCGCTGCGTGTGGCGGTTTGTCGGCGCACTTCATCGAACGGGGTTGATGAGAAGAAGCGTCGGACTCGTCTTTTCGTCCTATGTCACATACAGGGCATCCCACGGCGGCCGTTAGGACAGAGCCGGTGTGGAATGCATGTTTACACCGGAAGACGGTTACTCCATCATTAAGGTCAGAGTTGGTACTGTTCTTCCGAACCACCCTGTTCTTGCAAATGTGGCAGATTAATTCCGAATCAACAGAAAGTCCTCGTTGGCGCAGTTTAAGTAATTTCATCAGCAGTTCATAACAGTCGCTAAGCATTATCTTTCGATAACCGTCTCGTAAGGTCATCTGCAAATTGCAACAGACCAAAATGAAAACGGAAGGAAGTAAAGAAAGTAAGTACTATTAATTTGGAATGTAAACAAAATTAATACTAACAAATAAAACATCAGAATAAAATATGTTACAGGAAAATTCGGCTAAGTTTCTCAAATTTCCGGAAACAAACGTGCCAGATATAGATCGTACCTGCCAGTTATAATCCTGTAGAATTTGAACGAGCGAATCCCGGAGACCGGGTATCTGCAACCCATTTCTGATCTTGCGAATTAAAATGATTGGATCAACATGTGTCCCGATATGATCACTATGGTCCGTCAGCAGACGCACAGTTTGTGTAATATCAATATCCATTAAGCCTACAAGCACCTGCTGGTCAACGATGGCTTTGTATAAATTGTGCTCTTTGATTAACGGGAATACGTCTGGATGCTTGAGCATTACGCTGTTTTTCAGCGCTTGATCATATTGTCCAGCCAGCGTATAGAAAATGATCAGCGATTCCAGTAAGACCGGCTGCTTAGGATTGTTCAGCAAGGTCTCTAACACTGCGTTAATAATGGATTGAACATTATGTAATACGCTTGACCATTCCTTCGCCTTGCGAAGAAATCGCTCGTAATCATCTGGCAGAAAGGATAACAGAGCAAGTCTATACGATTCGGGTGCCAGCTGGAAGTCGTTGGAAACCGGTATGTACGGTGCCAGAATTCTCATCTTGCCAGCACGAGAGAATTCTGCCACTTGTTCTTCCCACGCAACTCTGTCATTGCCCAGCAGCTCTGGGCAGACGCGTGCCGCTTCTTCATAATTATCTTTGAATCGTAGATAATCCACATATTGCCGTCCGATGTCACGAGCGTTAGGCCTTTCATTTGCCCTCTTAAGATCTTGATATGTCTGCAAAAATGGACGTGTAGTTTTTTTTTGCCCGAGTGCTTATATTTGCAAAACTTCCTATGGCCCTGGTAAAATTTGATTAAGTTAGTGTGATACAGCGAGCTACCAGTATTGACATACAGGTATCTTCAGGAATGAATGTTCAATGGGCGGAACATCGAAAACGTCCAGCTGGGCACCGCGCAGGCGTCTTGAAAGCGCACCGCAGCGTTTACAGGCCAATCTGATCGCAACGGCAATTCCAGAAATTCCCCCGACAAAATATGCAAACACTACCGCTTGCATATTGGCGAAAAATACGGGCGCCATGTTGGCATGTACTGTTACGTCTTCGTATTTTTTTACACTTGAGTCTGGTAAAACATGGGATTAGCAAATTCCTTTGTAAAGCTTTGCAATATGGTAAATTGTGTATTGCGAAGGAGGCGAGACTAGAACATCGGCTTATTGACCCGTCACACCGATGAAGCACAAATTTTGTTGCGCTCTTGTGCTATTTCTGTGCTAACAATGTTTGCATTTAGGCAATTGCAATGGGAAAGCAATTCAGTAAAAGCACCCTGACAATCGTGCAACAAAAAGTCAATAAAAACACGTTGTTATACGTCATGACCACGGCTTTGCCGTTATCGTTGAATGGGGTTATCATGCGCGTCGGCACCAATGGCGGTTAAGTCTACGTGTGCTAATTTGATCAGGACGACGATTCCACAAATTTACCCGATTAAGGTGCGCACGCTATTACCATTAATAGATTGCTAATATGTTTGTGGCGCCAGGTTGTTAATGGGTCAACATCGTCGTATTTTACATAAGTCTAGTTTCAAGCGTGAATTTGTATTAGCGGCAAGTGCAACCGAAAGGGGAAATCAGACAGCAAGCAAATACACCCCGAGATGTGTTCCGGTTATCTTTAAACTGAGTCGGTGCAACTACAGAACAAAGCGCTCCCGCTTTAAGTTACTTCATCTGACAACAAAACAACGAAACAACACCAATAAAAGTCTATAGAAAACAATGCTGATCTGGAAACTCTTTTCGAGATTTACTATTATTAGGTAGAGGGACATTAATTAGAAATAATAACACTACTTTAGGAATGCGATATGCACTTTCAGCGACCTGTTAACCGTATTCGGTACTGTGCAGTGTACACAACCAACTTATGATGCGAAGCCCGATAATTTTTGCTGCGTTTTGTCAATAGCTATGCTATGTACTAATTACGGTTGTAATTTACGTTATTTTACAGTTGTACTTAATTAACTCGCGTGGCGTCAGCCGTATCTACTCAACGTGTCCTTTTTTCGGGAAAAAGTTCAAAACCAAATTGTAACTGCCGGCCTCCGACCATCCCAGTGCTAGCCTGGGTGGTAGCGCTGGAGTCAAAAGAGAAAAAAATTGTTTTGCATTCTTAGCCCCGATTCAAAGTGAATTAATAACGCTGGTATGCTGTTTATGATTTCTTATTTTGAAAAACCACATAAATGTTTATTCCCAGTTACTTTAAAACTGACACCGAGTAACTACAAGCGCTGGCGTGCAGAAAGATAAGCCAGGTAAAATTATAATTATAGTTAGATCGTTCACGCTGGAACACATTTTCGTTAAGAACACATCAATCATGTCCGGTATAACTGTTTAACAAAAAGGCAATACAAAAATGCTGATAAGCATTATCCGACTTCCGCGTTATCGTTTGACGTTACGCTATTCATTTATGGACAGCCGGCATTGAGTGGCGGTAAGACGTACGGTCGGATCGGTGGTGGATTATCGTTGTCGACTCGCTTTACTCCATCCTGTATAACACGATGTGTACAATAAGCGTATTAGTTTTAATAAGTCTATCTACACAATTTGTAAAGCAGTAAAATGACATAAACAGATAGAAAAATTTAAACGGTTAAGGCTGTTAAACACGTACGTCCATAACGCAGACTCCGATGTAATTATTGCGAGCGAAATAGAAATCCTGCAGCGGTTTGGCCTTCTCCGGTGTCCAGTAGATCTCGTTGATAAAATCCGACACGGGACCTTTCAGTTCACTCATCATCTCCTGCTTCATCATCATGTTTGTGTTGGCACCGCCGCTCATTGCTTGGCGCGCTTGGCTCGAAACAGAGGCGCCGATGGATGTTAAACTGTAATTAATATTGCTAAAAGGGAGGCTTGACGCGTTCTCATAATTTATTTTATTATTTAAAAACTTAAACGATAAGGCTATTTCCTATTTCGATTCGCTCGTGCGACGTACGCGTTGCGGTCCATCATGAGGCCGTTCGTGAGGTATTTCATCACCGGGTAGCTGGCGCCGCAGGTGTGCATCGCGGTTTTCGGATAATACTCTAAAAATGCCAGGCACATTTCCTCCATTGATCCTTCTCCGCCCTAATTAAATTTTTAATGAGGGCGGACAACATTTGAATTTTATAACAATACTATTAATTTATTATAAAATATAACTGTATCATTTATGATACGTAATACGTATGACTATACTTTTGCATCCACGTAAATAATTGTATAAAGAATCTGAAAAGTGAAAATGCAGCGGACGTACGAAAACGGGTTCCGTGTCGTTGGCGGTGGTGTAGTTACACTGTAAAACTAATCGATCTCCCTACAAAACAGACAGGTTTGTACAGTCGGTTTTTATGTTTTGTCCATGCATAAACATTTCGGCTGACCGGAAGGATAACACGTGGCGGATCGATCTCCCGTCCGGCTTGCAAGTTGAAATCGTAGGCACGGTCCATGTCCAATGGTGGTAGTTCTTTTTGTCCGCGGAAGTGACGCACAACGCCACTAACACCTGGGCACATCAATTAAAAAAGCAGTAAAATTAGCTTTATAATATTGTAATTGTGATTGTATTAAAAAGACATATGGAAATTTTCGTATTTAGCGCAGGTTTTCAATAAATTACATATCTAGAAAATTGTAAGATTCGCTGCGCGGTACCTCTTGTATGCATGTGGATTACGCTGCCGAAAACCTTGATGCCATCTTTGGGAAGCTGCGAATAATAGAATACGCAAGTAAGCCACTAAGTCATGCAGAATACAGGCAATTAAAAAAAATTATGGCTGTAACGAGAATAATGGCCTGAACGCTTTTGGTATTTTTCGTTTCTCGAAAAATGTAGTATAGGCGGAAATTTATTGTTGGCATTTTCTCTTGCAAGTGACAAAAAATCCGCTCATATACAGTACTTATACGAGTACGAAAAAAAGTACTTACTTAAAGCGGACAAAACAGGCTGTTGCGCTAAAGTGGATTGAAGTTTTATTAGCAATCCCAGTTAGTATAGTGGTGAGTATCTCCGCCTGTCACGTGGAAGACCGGGGTTCGATTCCCCGACTGGGAGACTTTTTGCAATTTCTGTAGATCAACCTGCCTTTTATTAATGATTTATTTTTTCTTCAGTTTATTGGCTTTACAAAAAAACTTTGATTAAAATGTTTAATGGAATAGCTAAAGCGAGAGTCCTGGCAGCAATAAAAGGCAAGCTGGTTTGTAAAAAAGGCAAAAAGTCTCCCAGTCGGGGAATCGAACCCCGGTCTTCCACGTGACAGGCGGAGATACTCACCACTATACTAACTGGGACTGCTAGTGGATATGCAATCAACTTTGACGTGATAGCGTGAGTTGTGCCACATGCGCAATAATTTTTGATAATAATGCGCAATAATTTTTGAAAAAGGCCAGACATAACTGGCTTTCACGCAAGTTATACAAGGCACTTAATTTTTGTGCTAATACCTCTGTACGTGCTCTTACCGCTGCTGAAGTGCACTGATCCGAACACTGTGCTTGCAGTTGGAATACTTTCTGTTCCGGTGGCAGGGTAAAAGCAACTGTCAATAAATAACAATGTTTTGGCTGAGCATATAGCATAATAGTAAATTTTATTGCCAGGAAATTAATCAGCCTGTTCCTTACAGTCCAATTCCAGAGCGCCAATCATCAGCGATGCGCTGTCGTATGTTCGCATTTTATCGGTCAGCATCATTCGCAAACCGGAATCATCATTAAAATCTGTAATAACATTACTTTAGTTAAGCATCTCGTAACATGATGGCAGCGTCACATATGTAACGTTTCCAAAATGAGCGAATAGCAATGATGCATTTTTTAAGCTGATTATTATATTGTTTCACAAACCTACCGGCATGATCGGGATTGTTGTAGTGCATCTGGACAACGACATACTTGCCGGACATTTCCGGTGTGAAAGGCTGGCCAACGTTAGCCGGCTGATACGCAATTGGCTACAAACAAATTACCATCAACACCTTCGTCGCCAGTTGCAAATTCCGTGTGGAATTTGCATTTGAAGGAACTTCTACGCGTAGAAGTACAACTGGAGTAAAGTAATATTACCGCAGCGCCCATGGCCCATCCAGCCAGCAGATTCTTGCAGTACGACATCACAAACGATCCGTCTTCCGGGCCGCACAAGAACGTCTTCTCATTCATCTGCTCTTCGGGGATGTCGTCGCACGTGTAGGCTAACATGTGATGGATGTGCGGCAAATTATCTTGGTTTATCAACGGCTCATGCTGCAAAAATGCCGGTTGCTAAGCGCAAAAAGTGGTATTGGATCTTCGGAATTTTTATCAACGTTCATTAGGCTAGTTTTAGACCAGTTTTCTTGTGTAATCTTAACAGCTGCGTTCAGCCAAACCGAAAGTAATTTATCGATTTTAAATCGGTACTGTCTAATTCTATTTCAGGAAAACAGCGAGCACTGGCAGCATTTTATCGCTATAAAACTGTCATCGCACTCAGCGCATCGCAGTAGCAAGCTGCTAAAAAATATTCTTAATCTGGTTACGTTTAAAATGATAAATTCATAAATAAAAATGTAGAAAATAATAAACTAAAAATACTGACTTAAAAAGTGTTTAAACGAAAAAGAAAGCTCATAAAATTTTTATTTGTTTCGGTATCCCGATCTGCAGAACCAGGTTATTCAGCTTTTGGTAGTGTTTTGTTCTTTGACATACGGCGATAGATTGGTATTTCTTGTCGAATTCCGGCATCTGCGTCAGCGTACACCAGTATTGTGTGCTGGCCTCGCTGGAAACATGTACCTATAAAAATCCAGTGTATTCAGCAATAACTCTCCCGTCAGAATAATTTCTACTGTACATTGTCCATGCGGAACTCCAGGACTTTATTGACATCCTTCAGCATTTTGCTCCTGTCCTCCTCCTTGCTCTGCAGGAAATTAATGCTGACGGAGCCGCGGACGTCATGCTTACGGACGGCTGCCGTGCGACTGGTGGGCTGGGTGAAGCTGTAGCTGTAAATCACGGGACCGGCAGCGTTCTGTAAGAGCAGAGGTAAACAACGATTCTGCCGTTATGCATTAATTTTTTTGTTGGCTTACGGTGAACGGGCGGTCTTTCTCGTCACATGTCTTCAGGCGGCGGACGGCGCGCAGCACCGTGTAACTAGCGTTCTTCGAGCCGGATACCGGTTGCCAGTCCTGTTGTTTGTCCATCTCTAGGTTGACTTGGTAGGTGGCCATATCAGCCGTTAACCAACGGTCCTATATTTAATAAATGCTTTAAAAACCCAAAGCAAATATTGCTGAAGATGCAGCATAATTTCGGCCGGCTTTTTTCGATAATTCTTTGATTATTGATTAAGTAAATAAATTCGTATGCATGCCGTCCAGAACTTATTAACTTTAGTGTTGAATACTTCTGTAATAAAAATTAAATAAAATGACTCGCAGTAGTGATCACGGTGCCATACAGATAAACGAAATCTCAATAAGATATCACAACATGAAAAGAAGAAAGAAGAAAGAAGAAAGAAGAAAGAAGAAAGAAGAAAGAAGAAAGAAGAAAGAAGAAAGAAGAAAGAAGAAATAAGAAATAAGAAATAAGAAATAAGAAACAAGAAATATAAGAAATAAGAAATACGAAAAAAAATCAGGAAAAAGCAAGAAGCGATAAAAATAAAAAAACAAGTCAAACAATAAAAAACTATAAAATAATAACAAAATGCTAAATTAATTCAAATGAGAAAATTAAAAATAAATCACAACATAAGGTTAAAAAAACAAGTAATAAGTATTATACCTGTACGACAACTTCATGTGTTTTCGCATCAACATAACCGAACAGCACATCCGATTGGTCCATACCGCCGTTGGGCGACAGCCCCATGGCCACCCAGCCGCCGGTCGGGAAGGTCAACTGCACCTCCACATGGGTCGCATTGGCGCCCCAGGCGATCTCCGCCGCTTTCCCGGCGGCCGCGCCATAATTCTCCACCGGCAACGTTTGACGGTGATTTAGCGGCAAACACTCACCGGACCACACTAGTCCGCTAATTAATAAAAACACTCCGCTGTACATTTTCCGGTGGCCGTTAAAACGTTCTACGACGAGACGGTATAATTTTCTCGTCGAACGTTTTTGTTGTTATGTTTGCTTAACGAACGCCAGCGCGAAAATGGATATTCTTCGATTCACTGATTATATATGGTTTTTTGTCAGGGAAGCGTCACGTTGACGCAGGCTGTTTTTTTCCAGTACATCAGCAGTTTTGATTTTATTACACCGGAACAATTTGTTTGATATCAGCCGGTATCCAATAAATGCGGGAACTTAGGATTATAATGCCCTGTCGCGCATCTATTCATTGCGGCTTTAAAATTTGATTTTCACGATTCGGGCATCAAAGAGGATGAGCGAAGAGCACAATAATGCAATAAAATCTGGCGTGTCATCACCGCCGCTGGAAAACGTGATCAGAGAAGAATGCTGAGCTGGGTGATGAAATACTGACATTACACATCGTGTCAATAAATAAATAACCCAAAACCAATAAATAAATTTAAATCCTAAACGGGAACATAATTTAATTATTTTGATAAACTGACAGCAATCAAAAACTAAAAAGATAAGATGACAATAACGACACTGATCAGATATAAAAAATAAATTTTTTTGGAAAATAAAAAAATGATAAAATGATAAGTGCACTTTTATATATCTCCAGTAAATAACCAAAAATGGTTTTATTTATAGGAAATAAGTGCAATAAAATTTATGAGTATACAGAAATTAATTTGATTTTTGCCAGCTTTAGACAGGAACCGACGCCAGCCTCCCGGGTTCTTGCGGCCTCGACCCCAACAACGCCAACTGCCGACGCAGCAACGTAACACTAATAGCGAACAGCGTCTGTTTATCCTCCTTCGGCTCCGCCGCTTCTTTCCTCTCTTTTTCCCGGCGAGGCGTTTTGGCCTTGACCCGTTCCTTCTCCACCGGCGTTACGGATTTCGGTGCCGGAATCTCCGCCGGCAGTTCCCGGTCCGCCACACTGGGCGCGATATCCGAACCCGACGATGTGGAGATACTGCGGGATTTCAGGCGGCGCCACTGTCGCGACGCCGGCGTCTGACTGGATTCGGCGTCCGAGTCCTGCAAATGCAGGGTGGTGTGCAGCATGGTCTTGCTGGAGAAGATGTTGGCGGCGCCTGGGACGTTGATGCGGATGGGAATGCGGTGGATGGCCGGAAGGCTCGGGCCGTAGCTGCTCCAGGTGCGGGAGTTGGTGAAGTCGCGTACTGGGCGTTTGAAAAAACTAATGGACTTCTATACAAACCATGTGAAATCAGCACCTATACAATTTTTGTCTTTGTAATATACTACAAACTTATGCTATAATGATTTAACATGCTTGGGTCTAATATCTACAAAACAAAATGCTAGTGACCTTTTCTGGTAACACATGATCTTTCGGTCGGTTGGATTTGGCATCACAGAGGTTTTGATAATGAGAAAGTACGCATAATTCTCCATAAATCTGAAAAACATAGAAGCTTCGAACTATCGTCTCTGGTTTTAGAACATGTCTTAATCGCAATTACTTGTACAGAAATAATAAGCTATGACTAAATTGACTAAAATAATTTTAGGTGCAATAGTTCATGGATTTCTGTGCGTTGTGGTTACTTCCTTAAGGCTTTCTCCTTCATATATGTACTTCTATAGGTACTGTAGTATTTTATCGATTTGCCAGTGTTTATTTGTTTAGTGATCGAGTATTATGGATCGAGCTTACGTTAATCAGGCAGAAAATCGTGGACATAACCAAAATGAGGACATCGGCACCGTTGCCCCTATAGGGCTTTTCATACTGCAAAGAAACCCGTTGTTTACGCTATCCATTAAAACGCTGCACTCCGCAGACGATACAAAAAAGTAGCCACTTGACATGTGATCCGCGGTGGTTTACAGTTGTTAACAGTATACTCGAGCGATTAGTAAACGTATGGCAAAGCCGAGCGGCGTGGGACGTACCTTGCGTATGACTAAGTGGATGTTGCCGGTGATGAGGACCAGCGTGAAGAGCACCATGCAGACCATCCAGGGCAGCAGCAGCTGCTGGACGCTGCGGTACACTCCGGCCACCAGCACGCATGCCGACACGCACAACGCCACGGCGCCCGTGATCTCCACATAACTTCCCAGACTCACCACATGACCTGTCCCGTATAAACACTGTTCAATGGAAACACCCAAGAAACCCTTACCGCATTATTAAAAATGCTTACACTGTAACCCTAAAAACATTTCTGAAATCTGAATAGTTTTTAAAGGACCAAGTTCAATTATTGGTTCAATATCTTATTTTAAAGTTCAAGAAGTGCAAGTTGTTAATGCAAGTGAACAAAAAAAATCCCGCTTGGAAAAAAACAAAAAATCGCGCTTGGTTTCTGCAACTTATCGTTTGTATTTTGCTGATATTTTCCCAAACGGTAGTGTGTGGATGATTAATATTCGGAAACATAAGAGTGTGTTCAATACATAAGAGCGTGTTCCGAAATAATTTAAAGCAGCAGGTTTCAAATTATAACGATTACATAAGAGGTAATAATCATAACACACCGTGAAATGAATGGCCGAAGAAATGGAATGGCTGGATGTCGAAGATAACAAAAATGGTGAAAATCCCACCAAGAAGCTAAAGTGCCGTAATAAAACCGATTAATGCATGAATTGCCGGTAAACATACATAAATTCCGATTACGAAGCACGTACAAAGCTGTACACCGCGCTGCCATAGCTTCCGTAGGCCACCTATAAAGACACCGAATTCCCAATACATTCAACTCCAACCATAAAAAAATAAGTACGGAAAGAGCAAGCCGATAAAAGATGTAACAGATGAAAATACGCTGCATTTTTAAAACGTTAATTAAACGGTAATATGCGACAATATACGAACATTATTCCACCAGCAGCACGATCGCAAAATGGCCATATCCAATTAACTGGGAAACACTCCTCCATTCAAATCTTAAAGCAGCAGCATTCCTTCGACAAACGTCCGGGAGAAAATGCGCGTCAAACACACGGCACACGGACTGATTGGCAATTACTGGCAAATGACCGCTGCGTTGCTCCATGGCCGCAACACAACAGCCGGCTGATGGATTAGGACAGCATCCCTGGGCCAACGAGTTTGCACTGGAAACCGGTGGCTCGCTTGTGATGCCGGCATTATACATAGAGAGTAAAGTTTATTGCTGGCCAGCGTGAGGTGTCAATGGCTCGCTGTAGACCTTGAACCTCACCCGTGTGTACGTTCGCCGCGTTCAACGGGTACCGTGTGTGTGTGTTACGTCGGTCCACATGCTGCTGGTCACGGCTGGTTAAGTGTGGGTAATAAAATCGTGTCGGCTGTGTTTAATGGCTGAGACGGCAGGTTTTTATTGCGAACTGCTGATTCCCGGTATTAAGTTATTTAAATAGGCTCGGTCTTTCACTTTATTTTCCCCGAACAATTCTGAAATTTTCTTACACTTAATTTAACCTTCTTACACTTTATTTACCCTTTTTTTAAAAGTGTCATTTAAAATCTGTTTTCTTTTTAAAAAATTTGATTTATTAAATTCTGCTTTCCGTAAATATTTAATTGCTAGACAATTTTCTTGCTTAAAATTAAATACCGTTAATAAAAATGGATTAAATCAAATTTCTTATTCTGCCATTTTTTTACGAATTATTAATTAATGAATGCTAAAAAAAATAAAACCTTCAGTATTAAAATTTATTACTTAAGGTAAGTTTTGTTAAATGAAAACCCGAGTTTTCGCGCTTCTAAAACCCATAATTCTTTTACCGGTTTACATGAATTTCTTGCCAGTTCTTTCTTTCAAGAATGCAGCCAAATACCTGCATATAACTTTTCTGGGGAACAATTTACAAGAACCCCTGCAGTGTTGTTAATATAACACCGATACAACGCGATGCGCAAAAAAACGCATAACTGTCTGTTGAACCAGCATTTTCTTTTAAACGCTGCTCATAATTTTCTTCCGCTACTTTCATAGTGGCGCACATCGTTATGTTAAAGAACAATCACGCCATATTATACCGATTATAAAAACACTAACCAGCCGCATAATTGCCAAACCGTTCATCTATCTCCGTGTAGCAACAATCAACAATGCGCCTCGTTATCATAGAAATATGTGTGATTGTGTAACACCCGTCACGATAGCGGCAATTGTACACGTTGAACGTATACCGTACAAAGTACCGCGATATTTCTTACAAAGTGCCTGCGGAGTAATGTACAATGTTTACTCGGGCAGTTCCATTCAAAGCACCTTATCGACAACACTTTCACTCGGCCAACACACACCGCTCCATCGATCGGCATTAGTCAACAGACGCACTCAGTGGCATGTGACTAAACTATAATGCATAGTTCGCCGCAATGTGACTTTTTCACAATATACGCACCGGCGCTGACTCATCGCATACCTGCGTGATTACACGCAGCATATTCGCTGTATAGAGTAAGCAACATGATGCGCCGATTCCCTTCGCATTCCTTTTCTCCGTGGTTTATATTCGAATTTCTCGGGCAACGGTGATATTTTTCTATCGTTCCTTATTCCATCCTTTTTTTCTACTTCGCACACCTAAGTTTTTACCGGTTGTTTAAACCGGTGAATTATTATCAAAGATTCTGTGAATCTTTTACATAAAAATGGGGAAATTAGCATGGATCGTTCATGGATTATTCGGCATCGTGTTAGTCGCCGGGATTATCGGGATGGCGGTGTACGGATCGTATTTAGAAGCCCGTGGCCCATTTCTTCTCGTCAATAACTACATCGCGCTATGGCTGACATCTCTACTAACATTTTTTACGCTACAGTCGTTTTATACATTAATCGCTCCGCATCCACATTATGAGCAATTCGCCTTCGCTCTTATCCAATTCATCTACCATTTTTTAACCGGTTCATTATGCTTAATAATCTGCGTCGGATATGCGCTATACGGCCGTGTGGAATTAGCCATCTGGTCAGCAGTAGCGACTATAATCTGCTGGATAAATATTTACCTCGTTATCTACGTCCGCCGGGATAAATTACTGGATTACACAAAAAAGAACATTATCGCGATGATTGTCTCTGTTTTTAACTGGCTACTCCGCTTTTGCTTCCTGGTGATGGCTTGTTTTCTAGCGGCCGGAGCGCTGTACCACGGAACGGGAGCGGTAGCCTACCCCCCACGGGGGACGCTGCACACCGTCACCCTTCCCGATGGGCGGAGCCAGAGCGTCCATGTGTATTGCGAAGGCCCGGTTAATGCCAGCATCCCGGTGGTGTTGTGGGAGGGGTCAGCCGCCCACGGGTACGCGGATTACCTGGGTTTGCAGCGCGTGGTCAGTGAGCAGCATTTCCGGTCGTGTTCCTGGGATAAAGTGGGACTGGGGTGGAGTGATTACATGCTGGTGGATCAGCATGGTCCAGAAGGGTATTATCACAGCCTGATAGAGTCGGTGAAACAGACGGAGCGGGCGCCGTTTATCTTTGTCGGGTATGTCAGTACAGGGAGACGTTGTTTAGGTTTGTTTGCACAGGTGTGATTGCGTTGTTCGACGAGAAATCGGTGTGTTGTTAACAACGTGTGAAAACATCTGCCATACCGGTATATGGTTAATTTATGGTAGTCAACGGCCAAATAATCCGAATATTAGCGACTGTGTCTATAGCACAATAACGTTTTTTTCACACTGTTCATAATAAATATGTACTTAAGATACGAATACTTCATATCTTGCTTATTTTATTATATTACGAGTATGGTTCCTTTAACCTTGTTTATTTTTTAGATGTTGTTTTGAATTGAGGTGTTGCACATTATTCATTTTTTTCATTCTGCGCGGTTCTGCTATCGTTGTTTAAGTACATATTACACATTTTAAACACTATCGTTTGCATTAATGCAAACACTAAAATACGTAAAATAACTTCAGCAGCGATGGAAGATTAATAACAATCAACAAGTCTATTCAGACCATTAATTTCTCGTCTACTGAAAAGTCATTATCCACAACAAAACGTTTTGAAAACTTTCCTACTCATAGGCTTCTTTTAATTTGTGCTCACATGATCCAAGCGAAGCAGTTTGTCTAATTTGCCTAAATTATTGCGCTAAGCTACGTAAACTGCCGGAATCTTTTCGTTCTTTGGCTCGGTTCGATGTCCGTCACAGTTCGCATTGTACGATTATTAGTATTGCGCAAAAACTGCTTCCGGTACCGGTTAATTCTAATTCGCTTTTTAATGCGTTTAGGTGGGGCGCCGGTGGCGCATTCGTGTACGACTACGCGGCTCACCATCCGGAAAACGTAGCGGCCATAATCTACGTGGACGCTTATCCCATCCACGCTGATTGGCTAGCGCTGAAAGACCTCATCAACATGACCGACGCCCAAGTCAACGCCACCATGGCAAACGACGTTCAAGACGGCATCCGCGGCGCCCGCATGCACAACGTTATCGGTGTCCCTTGGGGACTTATGTCCGCCCTCCTCCCCGCCGACCATTCTTACCCGGAGGAACTCCGCAGCGAGAAACGCTGGTTTTATCTAACTGAGAAGATGCGCATCACGCAGCGCTGGGTCTTCGAAGACCTTCCCAATCAGAGAGACGTCTTCGCACAGAATATTACCGGGAATATCACAGTCAGCGCCGTGATGTCGGCGTGGAACGCTTCGCAGGTGGGACGGTTGGTGTGCGACACGCTGAAGCTGGACAACGATGCGTGCGATCTACAGAAGAAGAATAATGACTGGATGATCGATGCCAAGAAGGGGCTGGTGAAGAACGGTGGGATGATAGTGGAGTGCCGCGAGGATGTGTGTGATCAGGGATACTTTGTGGATGTCAGTCCACACTATACCGTTAATCAGATTGTTCGCATCTGGGAGTACGTTCGGCCGAGAGTGTCGTAATGCGATTAACGGGCTATTGCGTTGGATGAGTGAATTAGTCCGAGTGCTGTCGTTATTTGATATGATGCAGGAAACCGGCAGCATGCAGTTTTCCGGTTGACAGTGTTATTGCAGATCTCGAAATTCAATATGAACGGTTCAATTTTTTTATATTAGAAATGCGATGAGCGGAATAAAATGTTGGCTGCAGCATTCGATATTCTGCTTTTGCTTATCGCATATTGCCTGCAGGATACAACTGCGCACTATTAAATTTAATACACCTTTTTCCGATTTTATCGTAATGGACCACATGCAAAAAGTGCAACGAGCGCGTATCCTATTGAAAACACCAATATGTTGTTTCCCAGATACTGCTATAAGTACACTACAACAAAATATTATTTAGCAAATGCTGAAATCATGTAGAGTAACTGCTGTTTTTACAAATGTGGAAATATTAGTGCCCTGTTGTAGATTACTTTTCTCAGGCAGGTTGTTGCATATTTTCATGTTTCGCACCGCTGTAACAGCTCTGCGACCTCCGTTTCCATCAACTCAAGAGACGAGAACAATTCTTTTCTTTCTTCCATATTGCCCGGATATGGGTGCGTCCGTTCAGTTGACGCCGTGGAAAATTGTAGACTGGGCCTTGATACTACTGCCGCAATTCCCGCCAACAATGGGCCGCTCTCCAGAGTGGTCACATTCCCGCTATGGCAACGCTGACGATTAATACGACACCAGACCAATGGACAGCAACTATGACGAAAATGACAACAGCTCCTCCAGTACAACCGTAAATCCATTGGAGTATTGCGCTCTGCTATTTGTTTCTGCAAAGTTTGACCAAGAAGACAAAAATCGTTCTGAACGGCCAAAATAGGGGAAATCGATCAGCAGTGCAGCGCTACCTGGGAGCATGTCTTTTATTTGTGGCGATGTGCTTTGCAATGGCTGTTCCACTGACTTCACAAGGGCCTGTTCCACTGCGTAAAAAACAAGAACAACAGCAAGTATGTTAACAATTATACTTAGTGTACATCGAAAATTGGCATATGTTAAGCGAATTATCTATAGGCGAATAAAAAGATAAATAATGAAATATTATTATCTCTTCTGTGAAGCGACTAACCGATCACATGATCGGCGAAAAATTGCACATTCTGGAATCTGACAATTGAGCTAAATGTTAGAAAGGCAGCCTCTATACAGATATATATATATATTTTTAGTATTTTACATAGCGATTCCTTTGTTTTGTCGATAACCGTTGGCAATCATATCGGCCTAGGATCATGGTGGTACGGTTTTGACTCTCGCCATCGGCAGATGTTTTCAGGGTTTCTATGCGAGCTTAGCCCAGCCCTTGCATATATTTCAGATGGCGACACTACATCCCTGCTTATACTCCTTCGAAGCGCGAATAAGCAGTACAAGTTGACATATTCTCAGGGCATCGTCGCCGCGATGATCTTAGTGTTGACATAAAGCTTTCTTTCGATTTCAAAATCAGAACGAAAGCCAGATTCTGCAGCTGACCGGATTCGGGATTGAGATAACAACATTCAGCATAGAAGCGCAGCAAACCTGACCGAAACATTACAAATTAATATTATTCCGCACCGACTTATTCTACGTATCTCAACCGTTTTTGACGTCCGTTCGCTATCATGCGGAAACAAAATCTGTTTCAAATAAGGGGAGAAAGGCTCGCATAACTTATTCCTTTTCAAAAGTTTTGTACAGTATACAGAGTTTTGTATACAAGTTTTGTACACAGAACTTATGTAACGGCAGCACTTTAACGTACTTAAAAGTCCGTTTTTACTTTCTTCCAGTCCATACTTTAGATATTGTGGTCCCTTCGCCAGATCGTTTCGTTGATGCAACGAATCTTGACTTTATTAGGACTGATAAGAGCAAGGACCAGAGGAGGTTTCGTGTTTAGCAAAAGAAAACAAAACTTTATTCTCAGAAGTTTTTGAGCTACTCTTATCGCAGTTTTTGAGCTACTCTTATCGTTTTGTGGAAATCGGTACAATGACGGAAGTTACAATAAAAGCAATGAACTTCGAAAGGGATCGTGTGTGAAAAACAAGAAAATTCTTTAAACTAGCGGGAGCTGTTTTGTTTTCGCATCCCCAGTTTTTGTCGAACTTTTTGATTTTTCATACAACAATAGGTATTTCAGTTGTATGCACTTTGAAATGGCTGAAACACAAAATGAGAAGTTTGTTTTCGTACCTACATTGCTTGTACTGTAGAACTATAAATGTATTTCTTTGGGCGAAATCAGCAAAACAACAAACACAAAAGACACATATTGTTATTCAAATGTCACAATTTACCCGATTCTTGTGGATGCTCGGAAAATGGGGTTTTGCATCGCTCATGGTCATAAGATTGTGCAGTTGGTGTCATGCCGGTTTCGCCTAAAGGATAATAAACTGTACATAAGAGGGAAGAAGCGCGTAGTCAGGTTGGCTGAAGCGTATGGTAATAGTGGTCAAAATGGTATGCTATGCGAACATGACATGTTGCTGGGAACAAATAACTAGCAAAGTGCACTCGCCTTTTATGGGCACTGCATGACCGAAGCGTAACAGGATTACACGATTGCCGTATACTATAGGAAGCGCAATTTCAGATGCATGGCTAGTTCGCTTTTTATAATATAGGAGCATAAAACCTTTAAAATGGATGTACAGCATACGCATTTAACCGGCAAAACGTAGAGATGGTTGGACCTCAGATTATTAAAACACCACCTCCTTAAACCAGGCCTGACAAGTTTTTTTTACAGTTGCGAGTGTCCTCGCTAGCGTACGGTTTTGTCGAGGTGCAAGGTAAAACCCTTTGTACCAGAAACTTTTTACGACACTGCAGCGATCTCTACCATGCTTCACGCACGTGGTGATATTTCGACAATAACGTTCATTATCGAGAAATCAGTTCATTCTTATCATTTCCATGTAATGCTCTCTTCTAATCAAAAAAGCCCATTTTCGAAATGTTCACAGGGCGAACAATGCACATTTTTTGTCAGACTCTCCCGTGTATTTTAAAAATCGTTTGTTCACGCTCTCACACTTTTGTATACAATTGCTTTGTTAGGAATTTCACTGGTGGAAGTCCAGTTGGCCGAATCGAAAAGTAAAATAATGTACAGTGTAGGCGGCAAAATTTTCGAAAAATGTTTTCCTGGACTTGGGAACAGTTTTACCGGTTTAAATGTAGTGTTATTTACTGTACGGGGAGGATTTTGGTGGACTCGGTAGCGCATTAGCTGTTGCGAGTTTAAACTGAACACTAATTTGGTTAAACTGTTGACGTAACAGCGAACCGTGGATGCCTAAACCAACAGCTGAGGTTGGTAAGTGAATAATGCAGTCACCACGGCTGGCTGTTGCGCAGTAATTGGTTCATGACCCATCCGCGGTTGACTGTTACGCCAATGGCTAACGGAACTGGTGTTCAGTTTAAACTCGCTGCAGCTAATGCGCTACCGACTCAACCAGAATTCTCGTCGTACAGTAAATGATCCTGCGCTTGAACCGGTAAAACTGTGCACTGGATGACCGGGTGACAGATATCACGAGTTGCAAGTGGTCTGAACTGATATACGGCCACCGAACATGTTTGCATAATGCCGAAATTATACCAACATAATGATTATGTTGGTATAATTTCGTTCATGGCTACAGGCGCATAAGAATATTCTTCAGATTTTCACAGCTTGCCTCCTATAATGATGCTTTTGCCAATCAAAAGCGTCGTTATTGGCAAAAGCATCGTTAGAAGAAGCATATTTGGTTAGAGCATCTATTTTGCCTACGCCTCCAAAAGGGAAAGGGAGCGCGAAATTCGAAGACTGTAAAGCGCTGAGAACAGATTAGTCGTCCAGGTTATAGGACTAACACTTACAAAGCGGTTCGTTAACAGAAAACTCCGGTTAAGAGAAATCGAATACTGGCTCAGTAATATTCGACAGTTTGGCAAGACAGTCGAGAGGATAAAACATTTCATTTTTCGTAATTCGGGGATTTCCAACACCGCCTGGAAAAAAACGTTATTTCGCCTTCCTCCAGTTCCATTCGTAATGCCTTGTTACTGTTCCTCCATTTGCGAAATTCGGCGAAATCACAGCTACAATGGATTCTGAATAGGTAATCTGTTAGCTGAGACCGGCTGATATTGAGCAAAGTACTGACTGGATCGAACAGTCTTTCTTCCGTTCTAAGCACTTTGAGATTTAGTAGCGAAATGAAAGCCCCAGTTTCCAGATTTTGTATAGTGCTGCTATTAAAAGTTAGAAACTGCAATCTGGGAACCCGTGAAAATCCTTTTTTCTTTTTATAAGCCCGTAACACAACCACAACTCGCTATCCGTTAAATTAATGAAACCGAAAATGGAGAGCATATATGTAGAACGACAGTCTTGGCAGTGTAAAACTGGGTTCTTTAATGTGTAAAGTAACGCGGATGTAGAATGTTTCTACATTGATTACAGAATGATTCCTAATGCATGTGCAGTAGCAGCTTATAAGCTAGAACAGGATTGACGTCATTAGAGTACATGAGATATACATGTGGCCAGCATGCGTTACTCACATCATGACAGCAGCGACCAAACATCATGAAAAGTATTTGTGTTCAAATTGGCCGAGACGCACTGGGCGTTTCATTCATCTGACCAATGCCCCACAGATCCAGTCGGACAACATGCAATGGCAGTTTTGCCACAGTTCAAGCAGCTTGCTTCCAATCATTTATCCTAGTCCTGTAGCCACATTCCAAATGTATGTTAATCTGTGATGTACAGTTGCGAATATTGACACAATTTAGTGCCGCCAGCTCGCTACACACTGTCGAAAAGAGAGGGGTTGCAGCAAACTTTGGAATTGGTTCATAAGCTCCATAGTATTCTGGCTGCATCGTGCAGTTATAAGCAGTACACAGCTCAACAATGTCCTTTGCCCTCAAAGTTCGACGTTGTCCCATTCTGACGGGTTTTCTTTATGCGTCGTCACGATGGGAAGAAATACCGGAAGTTCGGGATGTTGTGTGTCGGTCAAATCGAATGCGCCGTAATGCATGATTGATTCCAGATCGTATTCTGTCCCGTAACTGGCCATCTGCTGGAGCTTGCGAAAAAGAACGCTGCTTGCATGGAGTTCTGTTCGATTTGGATAAATGCGCAGGTACTTATCGCGGTCTGTTCTGTGATGCTCATGAAAAAGTCCGAGTGCATGAAGAACCAGATGCTGGATAGCGCCACGGAAAATGCACGATTGAGGCAGCGTAATATTCTGCTAACCGCCCTGTCTGCCAACGCGTGACTGGCATCTGTGAAAATGCTGGATACATGGATGTTGGAAACTGCATGCAGGTCTGCCAGGCATCCGTTCAACCATAAAAACTGAGTTTCTGATCACTAGTGTGCGCCGTCCTCGCCACACCATAAATCTTTACGGTTGAACGGAAGCTTGACAGACCGCATGCGCACAATAGCGGCTGAGTTTTATCTTAAAACGGCGACAATGTCGCGACAGAAAGATTTGCGACTCTGCACATCCAACATGCCGTCGGCAAAAATTTTTACTCGGTCCGGCAGAAAGGGTTAGGCTTAAACGGCTTTGCGTCTCTTTGGGGACTGATGTCCGAGCTTTTTCAGGCTGGCCGCTCCCGGCCGGAAAACTTCCGCAGTGAAAACATTGGTTTTCCATAACGGAGAATTTGCACACATCACGCGCCGCTGGTCTCCGATCACCAGTTAAGTCTAGAATGATATCTTGGCCCAGATCGTTTCCAGTAATATTACCGTACGAGCCGTGATGGCGGTGCGGAATGGCCCGCCTTTAAGGATGTTGATGCGCGATGTGCTGAACCTGGATCACGAAAAGTGCAAGTTGAAGAAGTGGAGTACTGTGTGAATCATGGCGGCCCCGCGGCGGCTGGCAAATAACGGTGGGATGATGGTGGAGAGTCGCAAAGGCATTCTGGTCAGGGATCCTTTGTGCCCGTTGTTTTTAGATTTTATTCAGGGCTACACGGCTTATCAGATTTTTCGCGATTGGAAGAACGTTAAAGTGCTAATGTCGTGATGCAGGTGTTGGGTGCGTGCGTAAACTGAATAATTTGATTTTTGGATGATTCGTGAAGTTCATCAATATCACCAACGGTCGCCGACGAACCATCAAACCTTGTTGTATATGGTACAGTTGTGTAACTCTACTACTTCACTACGGACAGCTAAAAAGTTTGTCGTTGTAATTTACATCATTGTCTGATGTCATGCGATGAACCAGCAGTGTGCAGTTTCCGGTTAACAGAGTTGCTGCAGATTTACAAATCCAGCATAAACTGATCCATTTCTTCTGTATCAAAATTTGATTAGCGGACGGGACATAATGTTAGCTTCTTCTTACCTCCCAATTCGTGCATACACAATTCTAGAATACTCAACTCAGAAAAAAGGTTTTGGCTTCACAGTGGAACAGTATCTCTGCGCTGGAAGACGGTATAATAGTGCTGTGCAAAACTATGTAGTTAGGTTTTTCATAAAAAAGTTGATAAATGCGGAATGCACCGTTTCCGGGCTATTTCCTCGGAACAATCAACAATTTCACTAGGATGGATCATGCTGAATATTTTTGTCAGCCATATTGCTGCTCAACGGTAATAGTTCTGTGCCTTCGGTGGTCACCAAATCGGTATGCGGCACTTCGTCCACATCGCCCATATAAGGGTGGGTCAACTCTGTAGACGCGGTAGAAATCTGTACACTCTTGGCCTTCCAACAGTCGCGACGTTTCCAGCCAGCAGTGGACCGCTCTCCAAAGTTGTCGAATTCCCACCACGGCGAAATGGGCGACCAATACGTCGCCGAGCCAAGTAAAGAGCCAGCACAACGCATAACGCAGCAACTCCTCCAAGACAGCCGTAAATCCAATGAAAAGATGGAGCAGAATATGACACCGTGCCAGTGGCTCCTGCGAAATAAATCGTACGACGAAAAAGGATTGATAATAAACTATTTAATACTGTACCCGCGCGAGTTTAAGGGACAGAAAATTTCCCCAGACCGCCCGCACTAGGCGTCGGCTTCTTTGACATCAAAGAAACCGACGTCTAGTGCGGGCGGTCCAGGGGAATTTACTGTCCCTTAAACTCGCGCGGGTACAGTACAAAAACGTTGCTCACCATTAACTGGATAAGGCGGCTCCCGTTCATGGGTTGCGCGTTGCGATGTGTTCTCTGATAACATTAGCGGAGGCCGTTTTTCTGAATAGCATGCATTCACAAGCACACATGAAAAATAAATAACAAAAGCCCAGAATAGTGCTCTGGGACGCAGAAAAAGAATATGAGGATGCTACGAAGTACGAACAACCGGGTTAGCCTATGCCATAGTTACAACGCTAGCAGCGTTGCGCTACTGGCATTACGGTGCAAATGCATAAACTGAAACGCACATTGCGCGTAGCCCGATGTTCATCGCACCCAAATCGTGCACAGTATGTTCACGGTACTCAACCGTCCTCGTAGCAAATTGTAACGTACCAAATTTATGGGAATATTTCATAAATGCTGCTTTACATGGGTCTGCGTCAGAGGAAACTGTAGATGATGTGGTGCCGGCCTCACCTAAACAACAAACGTGTTCTCAAGGCTAGCGTGAAACTACGCTGTGCAACTTAACATGTTTACAGATTCAAACGAGCAAATAATGAGAGGCTTGTGGTATCATTATTTTGGCTACATAAAACTACTGTACTTTTCGTTGTCACTCAACTTTCGGCTTTAACATTATTGTTACATTAAACAGATATGCTATGAAGAACGAGTGCCAAGCGCATGATGCGTACCTTAATGCGTAAAGCGCTCGGATATGCGATAGCAATTAGCAGAGACGAATTCACGTGACAGTTTGAAAAATATCCACTTACACAGCGGCTCGTTGATGGAATATTCCACTTGGGCAAGATTAAATTCGGCATCTCTTTTGTGACAGTCTACTGGAAAGAAAACGTCCCTTCTCGATATTCTTCCATTTTCAACAACGACTTCGAGAAACGTTATTTCGCCTGGTTCCAGTTCCATTCGTAGTGCCTTGTTGTTTTTTCTCCACATTCTAAAGTCTGCGAAATCACAGCCGCAGTGGATCGTGTATAGATAGTCAACCAGCTGCGTCCGGCTAACATTAAAAGCCAAGCTCGTCGGATCGAACAGATCTTGCTCGATGCTTAACAATTTCAGATCTGACAGCGAGGTGAACGTCCCTGCTTCCAGATAAGAAATAGTGCTGCTACTGAAAGTCAGAATCTGCAACCTGGGGAATCCGCAGAAGTCTTTTTTTCTTATTATCAATCCGTAGCACCACTGCAAATCTATATCCATGACGTTAACATATCCGAACGTTGCAAGAATCATTGTAAAACGACTGTCTCGGCAGTAGGAAAACGACGCTAAAAGGATTTGCCTTCGAATTGAGCGAAAGGCGTCGGGCGCTGCATCCATGTGACCGCTATCCGAAATGTCCAACACGACGACATACAATTGCAATTTCGATACAGCAGCAGCTTGCTCCCAGTCCTCTATGGTCGTGCTGTTGTCACATGACAGAAAAATCATTCTTTGCGATGTGCAGTTATTCATGTTTGCGCTGGCACATTTCACCTTAGCTAGTTGGTCACACACAGGCGGTGAAAGACGGCTTTTTAAAAAATTGGGAAGTGGTTCATAACCACCACGGGGTTCAGCCTGCATCGTGCAATTATATGCAGTGTATAGCTTGACAATGTCCTTTGCGCTCAAAGTCCGCCTTTGACCCATTTTAATGCGCTTACCTTTCTGCACTGTTTTCTTGGGAAGAAATACTGGCAGATCGGGGCGCTGTGGGTCTGACAGGTCGAACGCGCCGTAATGCATGATCGATTCCAGATCGTACTCTGTTCCGTAACTGGGCATCTGCGGAAGTTTGCGCAACAGAATACTATTTGATGGAAGCTCCGTACGGTTGAGGTATATGCGCAAATACTCGTCCCGATCGGCTCTCTGATTTTCGTGAAAAAGTCCCAGTGCATGAAGAACCAGATGCTGTATAGCTCCGCGGAAAATACATGCTTGTGATAGAGTGATGTTTTGCTGACCGCCTTGTCGGCCAACGCTTGACTGACATCTGTGAAAATCACATATGAATTTTTGGTAAAGGTAAAAATCTGTACCAGTACGGTGCAGATGTGCGGTTCGCAGTAAGCATTTGCTGTCGTCGTCGCTGGACCACGGTGCAGACGTGTCTGATTTAACTACACGCTTAAAACTACCAATACCAAAAAGTATTATTATGCCAGAAAAGAGGAAATAAAGTCAGCGACACATATCGCACCCTTGTTTGCAACTAAGACTTTGTCAACCGCCGCCGCCGCTGCCTTGTATAGCAACAAAGTTATTGGAACAATTTGTTACGGGCCACAATAATAAGTTTCTGTAATTTTTTGATATTTCCGTACACGGTGCAAGCAATGTTATTCTTATCTTTGGTAGTATTATGAGAATTATATTATATTGTGGCTTGTTGTCGTTGCCGTTGTCGGCGACGCACATATTCATTGCACTGTAAGCTAATGCGAAAACCTATTGTGCAACATAGTTTAAATTAACGATAAGTACTGTAGGGCCAAGTATTTGTCGTCGTCGGCACCATAATGCGCCCGTGCAGTTGTTTCTGCACCGATTTTAAGTTTTAGATGTTTGAAATGAGCTGGGAGTATCTAAGACTTTCTATGCATAATATGTGTGCAACTAAGGACGATTGAATGTTTTAAAAAGGTCTAAACACGTATGCATTAGAACACAGCGGTCGGAGCGGCACGGACCGACCATGCAATGGCTGTGTATGCTAACTCGGCTAACTTTCAAAAGTTTTAATTCTCTCTCCGCTTTTATTACTGATGAGATCTGCATCACAAAACTTGAAATACTTTCCCTTTCTTTTGAGCAACAACTCGATGACCCCACATCACGGGAAGCGCGTCTCGGCCTGTTCGGGGATGTTCGGGAAGGTCACTATGGTACACCAGTACTTTGGAAGAACTACCTCACTTTCAAACTATTGCTTTACTTTCAAAGTACAGCCATACTGTCAAATGTCCCAGCTCCTAATCGCCAGTTGCGGCCTGTTCGGGGATCTTCGGGAAAAGTACTTTAAAAGTATCACGTCATTTTCAAAGTTTGGTTTGCCTTCAAAGCACAGCCATAGAGTCGGGCCCCAGACCAGGGCAGTTGTAGAAAAAGCACCTACCGTTAGAGTTACGAGTTACAGGAAGCGTGCGAGTTACGCTACCTACGCAAGTAAAACCGAGCTTCGAGTTATACCGCGAGTTACGCTACCATAGACAATACATACAGATTTTAGGCGAGTTGCGTTAGCGTTACGTTTTTGGGGTACCGAGTTACGCTTCAGAGTTACGTTAAAACCTCGGAAACTCGCTTTAAGTTATATATAACTGCCCAGGTCTGAGCCATACTTTCTTCCATCCATGAGACTTGCAGCACATGCTTGTCGCGCTCGTTGGCACGTGCAATTCACCAATTCATCAATCGTAATGCAACGTAGAACGAGTTCACCATTGCAGTCTATGGAGTCTACGAGCCTTAAAGGACTGCACTAATGGGCTGCTTGCCTTTCTGTGGCGTCACCAGTGCCGCGTGTACGCCTTTTAGTACCGCCATGATATAACACACTGAAGCCGTTGATTGAGAAAATTGCTTCCAAACTGTCCTTCCCGAACAACGCCGAACAAGCCGAAACAGACGATCAGGCACTGAGACATTTTATAGTATTGCGGTACTTCAAAAGCGCAGCAACACTTCCAAACTACAGCAGTACTTTCAGAGTCATGCTGTGCCATGCAGCGATACTTTGAAAGTACTGTTGTATTTCAACTGTTGTATGGACTGTTGTGTGTAAAGTACTGTTGTATTTATGTACTGTTGTATGTATGCACGTTGTATAAGGGGAATTCAACTGCTGAAGCCAGCGCTCCGTGTACTTGCTGCCGTCACCCGGCTGGAGGTTTACGTTGTGGCTAAACATGGTGCTTATGTACCGCGCCTGATTTAACCTTATGTATTGCCGTAACGTCACACTCTAGGCGGGTGACGACAACAAGTACAGGGAGTGCTGGCATCCGCAGTTAAATTCCCCCTACATGTTGTTGTAGTATGTGCTGTTGTATGTAAAGTACTGTTGTATGTACTGCCGAGCTTTTCAAGTATTGCAGTACTTTAGAATGTCTCAGCACTTGATCGTTTGTTTCGGCTTGTTCGGCGTTGTTCAGGAGGGTCACTTTGGTATAGTAGAACTGTCTCCAGGCAATACAGTATGCAAAGCAATATGACATCATTTTAAAGCACTTCGAATAACAGGCTGTACTTTATAGACAGCAACATAGTACCGTAACTACAGTAACAGTAAAGTAGCAACTACACGTACTGCAGTGACTACGTTAGCGCTGTGCAAAGTTTAACCTAATGCAAATTAATAATGGGATTGTATTTGATCAGATAGTATTTGTACGACACAATACAAAATTCGGTGCGTTCCAATTAATTCCAATGCAGTACTTAACGTTCAGAACGACGACCTCTACACAATAAGTACAGTTTTGCAACAGTAAATTTTGCTGCCAATGACTGTCAATTGCTGTCAGTGATACCTGCATTCCTGATCACTGACCACTGCTGTTTCCCAAGGGCTTGGGTATTACACGCTTGTGCAATCAGTACACAATATTGACTGCTCGACGAGAAAATACCACTCTCAAGTGCATTCTGCTTCGTGTTAGTTGCAAGAAATAATTTTGTTTTGCAAAGTTTCGCAAATGATGAATCGACATAAAGGTCACAAGGTAGTTACAGCGCGTGTAAGCATAATTAACTGCAGTTTGGTTCGGCAGTGAGTCGCAGGGGGTTTCAACGCGTTTCAGTGTGTTTCAGTGGTTTGCAGTAGGTTCCACGCGTTTCAGTGTGTTTCAGCGGGTCGCAGTAGGTTTCTACGCGTTTCAGCGGGTCGAAGTGGGTTTCAGCAAGTTTCATTTAGTTTCACTCGGTTTCACTAAGCTTTAGCGGGTTTCAGTTTTTTCTCACAAGTTTCAGCGCAATAACCTATTCATACTTTATAGCCTTTAAGAAACTTTACAGCTGAAACCGTTATTAGTGCCGTTGAAACGCGTTTCAACAGAGCAGCTGTTGAAACATACTGATGAAACCAAAACACCCTAACTTGGCGATACTATGACTGAACTGCATCAGGGAGAATTACAAATAACGGGGTAACAGTTACAGTACTTTGACGGTGACGAACATAATCGATATTGCAATAATACGGATGGGACGACGACAGTAGTCAGTCAACAGTGCATTACACGTTTACGGCAATAAATAAAACAATGGACACTTGACAATAGTACTTACAACACGGCGACGATTGTATTTCAAATTACAAAATTACACCATATAATTACAATAACAATGCACTAAAAAACTTATGCATGCACCAATCATCATGCACCTATACGATCCAGATCTTTATGGTTTTTGTAATTTTTTTAATGAAAAATCTTGTGTTCAAAATTGTTCTGTCGGAAAAAGCACATTTTTCTGTAGTTTTTATTAAATAAATATAAATAACACCGTGTCTTTTTCTTTTTGTTTTTTAATACACGATGTGCTTTGTATTTCTACGCTGCAGAGTTTTCTAACAATTTTCGCGGCGAAAACATTCGCTGCCTACACGCCAACAGTAACACTTATGGAATTTTTGAATTTTCTCCCGACACCCTGTTTTCCGCATACAAATTGAACGAGCACTATCGCTTTTAATATGGTATATATTACCAACATGAATTTTTCATCGTAGTATGTCACCGTATTCTGGGATCTGAGTGCCCATCCGCTCAACCGAGTCAAATCTGCTTACGCGAAAACCGTCAGGAGAAGCAAGAAATTTGTAATACGCATACAGTAGTCAGACATCACTCTGACCGGTCTACCCCCTTTTCACTCTGACCGGGCTACCCTCAGTGCAAAGCACTTTGGTGCAGGTTATGATTCACAGAGATAAATTTGGGAACAGAGAAAGCATCCTTGATCATTCGGAGCGGAGATTAGCTCCTGACTGTGATGACACATGTTACCAGTCGTTATACTGTATATGCGCATTATGCATAAAAAAACTGGCGTTTGAACGATACTGGAGTGTCTGACTTTGCGTAAGATATTACCATTAATTTTTAAGGGGGAAGGAAGGCTGGGGTTTTCGAAATGTCTCTCCCAAGGGGGCAGCCAGTATAGCCTTTACACTATTTTAGGCCGGGTTATGCGGAACTTTCGGTGTCTTTCGTTTTAGAAAGCATAAACCGAAGAACATAATTATTGAAGTCGGGCGGTATTTTATGAGGTACGGACTCTATCAAATGACAACGATACCATCGATCGCTAATGAGGTGTGATTTCGGCTCTGTTGTGTCATTTAGAATGAGACCCTTCGCAAGGTTAAGAATATGCGTCTATGGGAAAAGCACCAGGGCTGTCCATATTTCGAAGTGCACACGCTCTTCTACTTTTTTTCTGAATAGAATTAAAGAGGACTAATTCAGCATCAAAATTACTACACAACTAAACTAGTCTTAACAATTTTAGTTGTATTCATAAAATATTACACATCGTTTTTTGCAAGAGTAAATATTTTCTCAAATTATAGCTCCATACACCTAACCAAGGCGGCGACTACGCTGCACTTGCATGGCTTTCCATTTACTCTTGTACAGAAACCGTAAGGTCTGATCATCGTTTTTTGTCGTTACGGCGATTGTAAAAAACGATTCATGACAAGTTTTTAGGAAAAACTTATGCTACCTTGTATTTTTTATATTTACTTGTAGTTTACGGTAGGACCGGGTAGGTTAACAAATAGAACGGGAAAAAGCCATTCCGCTTTCTACATAATTTTAAGTTGTCAAATTTTCTGTGCAGTGTGCCGATGGGTCTTCAACTCTTACCGTCCTAAGAGATCTAAAATAAATTTTTATATAACGCGTGTTTTTGGTAGAATTTTCCAATCAGTCATAATCAAATTAGCTAATTCATCCAGACGGATACCTTCCATACATACGACATTTCAACAATCACAAATAGAATTTCATTTAACTGTTGTTATAATAAATGTCGTTAAACGCAAAACGGCATGAAACTACGATGTTTGGTGAAAACAGATCTGATTCCGAATGGAGCTTTGCATATGATTGTAAATGAGTCCCGCATCTCTCGCGTAATTCTCTCATTCCAAATGACAAGCGTTAGGCATGCTACGCCTCGCCTACCATCGGCACGTCTAATGGCACCGTTGTCAATAGTTATTGTACAATTTACCTTTGTCCCAGCCGAAAGAAAATGTAATCCTCTTCCATTTCTCTGGCCTTGAATGTTACACATTGCGAAGTGTAGGTTGAGATGGAAGACAATGAGTCCTTCACTTCCTCTTTGTCTGAGATATCTTTGCAAAACAAACGACAGATACTGTACTCCAACCATGTTCTTAACGGAAATTTGTACGCTATGAGCGATACGGTGCGGTATAGCAGGATAAACGTTCAGCCGATTCGAGTTCTCACGTGCACTAACTGCAAGCCGTGTATGTGAATGGTGAATTCGATCGAACAAGTGCGTGTGGCTGCACTCAGTGCACTGTATACAAATTTCCGTCAAGTGCAGGGTTAGGGTACTGTAGCAGCTAGATGAAGAGTGAGACCTGTGTTAGATCAGGGCGATGCCTTCTCTCGTCGGGCATTGAGCACGATCCTTCCTCCCACCGGGGGGCGCACACTTTGCATTTGCATTTCGTACTGTACTGCCCTTTCCAGGGGCAGCGTAACTGCATGAGGCCATATATATATATATATATATATATATATATATATATATATATATATATATATACATATATAGGCTAATATAGCCATGCCAGGGGAACCCCAAAAACCACAACAGATCAGGTATACAATCAGAAAACTGTCAGAGGTTTGACATTGTGCTCTTACAATAATTACCTTTCGCTGCAAAAAATGAAAAAATATCAAAAAACAGTAAAACATGCAATATATCGGTAGCAGCAGAGTGAAACGGTTTGAAATCGAAAACATTTTTGCAATGGAGCAAAGTGTGTATATTGGGCTTGCATTTTTTCGTACACCAGACTCTGTGGTCTCACTTCATCTAGCGGCTACAGTACAGTAACTTCAGATTGGTCTAAATATACTGTACCTCGCTTACTGCCTTATATGGGCTCCCCTTATCCCGAGCAATATGAGCAACCCTCTACATCGGCGGTTACGTTATTACTCACAGTTTTGCAGCTGTTATCAGTGTTATGACTGGATGAAAATTTAGATATATGTAAAATAGTTATTTCGCCAGTACTTTTGTAGCATTGAGTTTGTATCAACGTTTGTGGCATTTTTTAGTTTGTTCATTGGCAAATCCGGTTGAAATTAATGAAAAATATATACAGATAATATAATTCTATAAATGTAATTCGGATGTAAAATTTCGGAATTCTTTGGTGTGCTCACTTGTAAATCCGGTTGAAAGACGTAGAAAAGGGTTCTGCTATAAATCCGATAAATAATTTGACGGGTATTGCTCACTAGCCGGGAGCCCAGATAAGGGAAAATAATATCAGGGGAGCCCATATAAGGAAGTATTATAAGCAGCAGCAGGAGCAGTAAGCGAAGTATTTATTAGCTGCAGTCAGACTGGTTGATTGTGTTTGGCCGTAAGCTATACGGCTATTCGTACCAAAAGCTTCGCTGATTAAATATGGAACATCTTTGCCGTTGTTCGGCCAGAAGCGGCTGGTAGCCAAAAGCCCGGAAAACCCAGCCGGGTCGGTGCTAAGCGCTTGGTCGTCGTAATGGTACACACTGCCAGCCGCATCCACTGCCTGTGCCGTAAATTCGGATCGTCGCTCTTGCAGGATTGGTTTACTCAATTTGACGGTCCAATCTGGAACACACGATAAAAAAGTCAGCTGCCGGCCGGTAGTACAGTGTCCAGATCACGGCTGCAAAGACGTATGCGGACGTTCCTAAATTAATCACAATGCGTGTTAAAGTGTTAGAAAAAGGCTAGAAATGTGAATTTTTAACTCAGTCTTAAGAGAGAACTTTGATAGCAGCTGACATAGTTTCGAAATGAGATTATCGGCATGGTAGTTGTGCTGGCTGTCCATTATCGAGTTGCTTTCTCACTTTTTGTGAGTGTTTTTCGGTCATTGGTTATAATATGCACTTCCGCTCATCGCTTAATCAAAACACGTACATTATAGAATTTATTTTTCAAAACACCAGCCACACACTGGAATACACGCATACTGCATGGAGTCTGCTATCGCATTCAGCCAGAAAACGAACTTACTGAACATTGAATTTGTGTATGTTGCCCGCGCGCAAAAGGGCTGTCAATGCATCTGAGTGTTTTCTAGTAATAATGAACCGCATAGCGAAATTGTTTCAAAATAGGATTGTGTGAGTCCAGATAACAGTTCTCGTATCTTTGGATAGCTTCAAGTGACATGTGTTACGTTAAATTAGGCACTCACCTTTCTCCGGGGTGGCAGTTCTGTTTTCCACTGTAACATTTTTGTCCCATGGCTTCGCTTCGCTTAATGTTACTGGTAAGAGGCTTGTCGCAACGGTGCTTTTACAGCTTGGGACGTTAAATGAGTATTTTAACGGTCCACGGTTACAAATGTGTATTGAGCGCCGAAACCCGCTTTTGGAATGCTCGTCTGCGCAGTCGAACGACGGATACAATTCCTCCTGCGTCCATTCAAACCTATTCGAGTAGGTTCCGCCCTCGATATCAAATCTGAGGAATGTTGACCGCAAACGCCGCTCTTCAACAAGACAATGGGTCATGTTTCCATTGTCATACGAGTTATTCACGCTATTCAAGGGAGCATTTTGCAACCGGTGTATGATGCGCCGCTGTAGCCACTTACGAAACAAAGAATACTGACAATCACAATGCAGTTTACGTAGATACTGATAGTAACTAAGGTCAACATCGAGCACTGCGACCGCTTTGTATTCCATGGATAGAATTTCAAGATTCGGAAGAGAAGCAAAGGTGAACTGTGTGACGTCGACCAATGTTGACTGGAAAAATAGTAAAACGCGAATATTTGGGACAGCGGCGAAATCGTCTGTTTGCACAATCATATCTTGGCAGTAAGCGAATGCAAGATATAACAGACCCTCAAAACCCAAAGAACGTAGTTTTGCGGTTGTCTGCTGCATTACGCAATCGTAGAGTCTCAGGCTTAGAGTTTGTGTTTTAACGGGTGCAAAGGCACGGTAGACCAAATAATCTCCGTCATCCACATTCAAGTTTATCGTACGCAATGGTGGTTTGGCCAGCCCAAATGATATTTCTTGCGCTTCCCTCACTGTAGTATTACCCGGACATCCAATAACCAGTGCCAATTGGGAGCTGTTGAGCTGGTTTTGGCAATAATCCAATACTGTCGATTCCGTAGCTGAGCGCACTGAACTCCTGTGCCACGGCTTGCAAGACTTTCCAAACTGTAACCGGCATTGTGCGATGCTGATCCGAGAGCGAGAAAAAGTTCGTTTAAATTTAAAAGAATCGTATGTCGCGTTGACTATGGGTGCTGGACAATGTGGTTCATTGACAGAAAATTCTGTTTGGGCAAAATCAATCATGGTAAAATCAATAGGAAAGGGCTGCTTTGCGCAGTCAATCGGTATATAAATGTCGTTCCTCGTTATTTCCGGGATGACGAACAACTCATCGTCATTGAAATTATAGACTTCAGATCCCTTAGGAGCATGCTCAAGCATGCCGCTCTCATGAAGCCATCTCCTCAGCCAAGCAAATTCACAGTCGCAGTGCATTCGTTTCAAATATGCCACCATTCTCTCGGCAATGTGGCCGTGGTCGTCCCCACCGGAGGCAAGCTGGCGCTTTATCGTACCAAAGTTAGGCTGAAGTTCACTGTGCCATGCGATTACTAGTAGTTTCGGTAAGTTCGTGAAGGTTCCTTCTTCCAAATACAGAATAGTTGTATCCAGGAAAGTTACCACTCTTAACATGGGCAAAAATTTAAAGTCGGACTTCTTGATTCGAAGGTCTATGCAACGCCCGAATGTCAAAACTTGGAGATTTGCGAAAGAGAAACTTGAAAGTTTTGCCGTTGCGTCACGGGTGCGGCAATAACTCATCAACATTTCCACCACCTGGTTCTCGATCGGATACAATGCTTCTGAGGTTATTTGAATATCCGTTAGGGATATTACGATCGGCCGCACCGGCGCCTTTGCCATGGCCGTGGCCATTGTACGCAAAAAAGATGCGTCTGCGGAAATCTTACAATTCATCACCAACATTCTATCTTTTGTGCACTTTTTTGGCTTTTTATTTTCACAGTAAGAATTAAACTGTAAAGCACATTGATCGGTTTGCATCGGTAACCCGGAAAATCCCGAAAACGACCGCTTTTCAGGATCCTGATCTTCGAACCCCTGATCAACTTGGCAGTAATAAGCATTACGCAACTTTGCGACATCGCGTACGCTTAAACCCTCGCGTTGACCCATACGATAAACTCCATCTTTTCTGGGAATGATAACAGGCCAGTCCATGGTCTTAGCGAAGTCGTACATACCATAGTGCATCAAGGATTCCAGATCGTAATCCGTTCCAAAAGTAGGCATGTTGGGAATGATGTCATACTGCGCTTTGTAACCGTCCATTATCTCGTCTTTGTAGATGATTACACTAGAATCCCTGTCACTCCGGCTGTGCTCGTGAAACAAGCCGAGAGCATGCAGAATTTCGTGCTGAACTACTCCTAGCTGCATGCACCTGTCTGGATCCAAAAACACCGGCTGACCATCTTGAAGATCTTGAAGACCAACATAGGACGAGCAACTAAAATATCAAACCTTCTAAGTAATCACCAAAATGTTAACGGGACTCCAAAGTACTGCAGAAACAAAAATCTAAAAGAAAGCATAAAGCTGCGCTTTAAATACCAAACTTTGTGCGGTCAATCATCGCCATCCCCTTGTTCAGCAGGTACGAAGAAACTCCCTATTATTTTCGGCAACATTTTCACTTGTTGTGTTTCGTTATCTTTGTTATATCCTGACATCGCCCTTATTACCTCCTATCTCAACGGTTGCGATTCAGTTGGAAATACAGACGGCAATTACGCGCGTAAGTGTCCTTGCTTTCCTTTTTTCCACGGTTTTATTTTGAAAAACAATTTTGAAAATTTTCAGAAATTTGTAATTTAACAATTAACGTATGTGGGTTTTGGTTTTATGCATCGACCCCATCGCGATCGCCTCCCACCCTTTTTCCACATTAACATTGACGTATCGCAACCGTACGAACTACTTCATAGAAAGCATTAGCTGTGCTGTTTCTTGTACTGACGGTTGTTTGTTTCGCTTTGTTTATTTTGCGTGTCGTCGTAATAATATTCATGTTTTCATGGTACCACCTCTCCATATTAGCGTCATTTTGTGGTGTAATTTCTTGATGTTGTTCTGCTGTCTGAAGCCTAGAGGGGGCAACCGCTCCGTTTGCAAGGACAATAAACTTCATTATTATTATTCAACATTGTAAGGTGAAACTGTTGGTAGGTACTAGCACAATGCTATTCACGGTCTCTGCGGGCTTGTTAAAAGTTATTATGCATTAGGGTACTCGTGTCGGGCTATCAATCTGAAAGTACAGTAGTTTATTTCTTACTTCTCCGGCTAAAAGCGACTCTGCTGCTTTCAGGCGCCTCGACATTAAAACGCTTCTGAACAACAGCTAATACTAACACTACAAAGTACTCGCTACACGATGAAGTATTTTGAATTTCGAAATACTCCACCTTGGTAATTTACCTTCGAAGTTCGAAGGTAAAATCACCATGGTGCGGTGTCTATAATTTCATCACTACATGGATCATTAAAGCTTGAAACAAGCACCAGTTCTTTAAGTTTTTGTAGGCCACAGACAATGAAAGATCTTTTAAGCATTTGGTCGGATCTGCTAATCCGCATCCACTTTTTGGCGAACCAGTGCGTAAAATCATCAACTATCAACAAGGTCACAATGTACAAGTGACGGCGATCACCGCTTAATACGCCTACTGAATGGCATCCGACTTAGCTTTGAAATATGTTCTCTCATTCAGTTGTGTACGTAATTTGTTAACAACTTCAGCCGCCCATGGTACCTGGTCCACGACTAACTGAAAACGTCTACCCGAAGCGCATACGTATTTTAGAAAGCTTGTCGTAATACAGCTACCTCAATCGTTCTACGAGTATTTCAGCGGCCTACTTTTTTCCGGGCTTGAAACTTATATAATTCCGGTCGCTTTTTCTCTCCACAAATTTCACGCAACGAAAAGTTTTGCTTTCGATTGTTAACATTGCTTCCTTAATAAGGAAAACATCTTGGGATCCTGCAATTGCAAACGTATGATACGCTGGAGCAGGAATGTATCTTTAATAAGCATGCTGCTTTTTGAACAAAAATCCGGACGCAGAATATCTTTTGACCTCACCGAATGCGTCACTTATGTGATAAGGGACTTTTCCGGATGGCCATAGCGTAAGATTTCTCCTTCCTTAAAACATAGAAGAACAACAACTGCATCCGTCTGCGTCAGTAAGAAGCGTTCAAAAACAAGGTTTATATTCTAAAGTAGCACTTTCTTTATACGAGTACAAGTATTTTGGTTGTAGTGCTTTGCGACCCAGAATGACTTCAAGCGTAACACATTCACTACGTGAAAAATAAAAGTACACTACTTAATAGTAACATAAAGACAAACAAATTTTGCTTCGCATAATCCGGCCGTACAAAGTGACCGTCACGTTTTACTGTGCAGATATTACCATTAAAAAAATAGAAGAAATTCCTTATATTAAAGACGTTTTTGGACTGGCATTGACTGACGCCATATTTTTGTCCTGCAGGGTCAACTCGGAAATTTTATGTCAGCATTTTTTACACTTGGTCCAGGGGTACCTCCAACGTATTCCGATGCGATGCCGAGGCCAGAATCAGCAAACATGATATCGTTTTCCAACGATCCACGACGGTTCAGATTGGCCAAGTGGGCTTTCATGATATCCGGGTCAATGCGAGCCACCCAACCTATATTGCCAAAAACAGTGCTTAACTGCGATACTTGACAGTTTTCTTTGTTTTCTAATTTTTTCGTTTAAGAAAGTGATAATTATTAACAACCTTTCGGTTTTATGTGATTTGCCGAAAATGTTTTTTGTGCCAACAAGTCGATTGACCGGAACAGATAGTCAGATACGCTACACCAATGCACACAAACAGAAAGAATCCAGATAGCTTAGAAAGTTAGATGTACAAGTCCGCGACAACTATCATTACTGGCATAACTAATTGTAAGAACTTATGGTGTACGGTCGTGTCATTGTATAAATCTTTTCGCAATTGGGAACTGTGGCTCCTTGTTGATGTAGACCTGTTGAAAGTGAGTCAGCGGCGAGCAACTGTTAATTCTACGTTCATAAGTTGGTAGTTACCATCAGGCAGCTCATCCGAATCGTCATGGAAATCGTCGTGATAATCCCTGTCATCCCAAAAGCCGTTTATAGACTGAATTACGCTGATGCAGAAAATCACCCAGAAACGGAGCATTTTTTTCGCAATTAAAAACTTTGATCTTTCTGTACATCCACTGTGTACGAACTCAAAATTTAAAAAGCTTCCAGTGCACCAAAATGAACTCCACTTGAGCTTGGTTCAAAGAGTTTTTGTTTCAACAGCCATCAAGAGGACTTACAGACTTTTTCTTAGTCATCGTAATTTATTGGAACAATAAAAGCGGTTTGTTTTGCCCCGAGCGAGCACCGAAAACTTGCCGTGTGTGAATATCTGTTCGCCACTCTGTGCACATACGGTGGTTGTAAATGTACGACGCAGATAACGTTAGTAAGTAATGCGGTGCCCAGTTAAAAGTTAGTTCGATCCACCCTCCAGCACCAAGGCAGTATATCTCGGCAACATCCGGTTGACGAGATATGGCGAACTAAAATGGGCGAAAAGATTAAATCATTGTCATGTACCAAAAGTCTGGTTATTACCCGATCTTCTTGAAACTTTGCTGTAAAAGACACTTGACCATGAGGTCGAAAGTGAACCAATATCAGATTAATAGCATTTTTTTCCGATTTTAAAATAATTTTCAAAAATTTTAAAATTCGTTTTAAAATTATGGGAAAGTGCTACGAACGTGAAATTGGTTCACTTTTGACTTTACGACTATGCGTCTTTTGCAGCAAAGTTTCAAGAAGATCGGGAAATAACCAGACTTTTGGTAGACCACAATACATTTAAACTTTTCGCCCATTTTGGTTCGCCATATCTCGGCAACCGGATGTTGCGCGCACAAACGGTTTTCAGATCCATGCATACAAATGATTTACCTTCAGAATGACAGAAAGTATCACAAAAAAGTGATTCGGAATGCGCGAAAGGTAAAGTTTTAGTGCATGTATCCCCTTTTTGACACTATGTACCGGGCCATCTCCTTAACCAAGGGCTTCCGGTGCTAGATGTAGTAAGAATCACACCATGAAAACTAGGAATTGTCGATGGAATAATTCACTTAATAAATGTATTCATATATTATTCTTTGACGTAACAATCATCACAGACACAGTGAAGACAAGTTTGCAAACCATAAGTACGAGTACGGTATAATTAAATGAAGTACTGTATTCGATCAGTTGTCAACTTGTCAAAGGTACGGCTGACCAGCCTGAAATACTTATTCTGTTGGCATAACAGTTCACGGTAAATGTCTGACAATTTATTACTGTCAATATAATTTCGTAGCGCAAAGGAAATTATGTAGACAAATATCTCCAGCCAGCCGGTTTCCGTTGTGATGCAGGGATAATGGATCTTCTCAGCCCAAAGACCGCGCAAACACCTGACAAAAACGGGGATAGTTTTGTCCGGGCGGTCGTGACACCAGTACGCGCTCTTCCTGGCGAATCTGGCGCACATCCACAGCGAACTTCCCGATGATCCATATGGCATAGGCGGTCATCAGCAGAAGCCAAACCCACAGTTGTAGTGATCCAGGGATGTATAGCTGCACCAGCGGGTAGGGAAGATGGTTCCAGCACAGATAGCGATGTTTGTAATCACAAAGACAGCCACGATGCCGGCCCACACTGGACATGCACAACGAACGCAGTGCGGTGGTTCGTCCACCGTGTCCTCAATGGCGATAGCCGTGCTGGAACTGCCAGGTTGGACAGCACCCTCGGCTTCAGCCAGACAATCTTCTTCGAGCATTTCCTCCAGTTGCTCGGCTTCTTCTTCGTCCTCTTCAGTCGATACTGGAATGCTGAATTAAAGAAAAGCGAATAATTTTTACTACCATTTTAAAGCCTTGCCGTCCCGGCGGAAGCGACAATACAGACATGCAATCTTCAACAAAAATCATAGCATAACCCACTTTTCATCGCAACTCGCAAGCAACCGATTCTGCTTGGTTAACACCTCCCATACAAAGCCTGCGCACACTGTTTCGCACTAAAATGTACAAAATTAAGAAACTATTATCTTTCCGTCGCGTATCGCTTCTTTTAGAACAGCCAAGTAATATTGCGTTAGTCACAGTGTGCGCAGGCTTTGTATGGGAGGTGTCAACCAAGCAGAATCGGTTGCTTGCGAGTTGCGATGAAAAGTGGGTTATGCTATGATTTTTGTTGTAGATTAACACACGTGTAACATTGTTAGACATCTGATGAGAGACAGAAAAGCGGTTTGCCAGTTGAGGTTCCGATTTTATACTGCGGTCAAATGTGCGTCGCCTTTGCCTTTCAAATTTTTGTCAGCCGGTTTAATAATCTCGCAGTTAGGCGGGAAATTAACGTTTTGAAGTATAAAGCTAATGCTGCACTCAATACAACTTAAAGAACCGGTTTTCCAGTCGCTTGTTGGATTATCCCCAGACATAAGGGTCCCAAAGACGGGATCACCAACGATCCACCATATTGCCGTAAACTACCTGTATCGTCTATTAAAGGCGGAATATTTTCCGGACGCTGCCTACCTGCCATGCACTCGGCCAGCGCGCCAGCGATGCCGCATCCATTGCACACACTGGACAAGCAGGTAAAGATACGGTGCCCACAGGACGCTGAACAGCAAAATAGTCCATACTCGGAGAAGTATATACATGTCCATCGAAAAGGTAGATGAAAAGAGGGATCGCAGAGCGGGTTGGCTGGTGTTCTAGCGCGGATATCCCAAATCCATCCAATACGATAGCATGGCTTGGGAGTACCTCAAACCCTATCACGTATGAGCATATAGAGATTTCTCAGAACTCAGTGCAAGGTTGAATTAGAAACGATTCAGGCACCACAAAAATTATATAAGTGTATTTACGACTGACTGAGCAGTGCCAGTGATTCATACCGTTATAAAGCCGGTGTTGCAGGTACGGTTGAAAGCGAAGGTATAACGATCCCAGAATTCCGAAGCACGGACGCTCGGATTAGCCGAAGGAATCTGATCGAGGATGGTTTCAACATTCACCGCCACAGTCATGCAGCACAGGGTGAATATACCCCATTCTATGAATAATGCGAACAAGCGAAAGAACTTCCGTTCATTCTCATGTTCCTGAGGGGTCTTGGGTTGATTACCGAGATATGCCGCTGGGAGAGGAATACGTTTGACCGCTGATGCCTTCACAATTAGTGCCGAACCACACATCTGCCTAAGTATAAAGAAAAATCTTGAAGTTACTTTTCAATGCTGTTTTACGGTTTATTTGCACGGCTTCAATTCGGTGGATATTTCCTGAATACGCGTGTGCAGGTTAAAACATTTTCATCTGTCAGATTGAAATATTATCAGCCAGACAGAAAATTTTGTCTTGGCATTTGGTCGACGAATACACCATACATCCACCATACATCCCGTTTAGAATTTTTGTCGCAGTCGCAGAGATTCTGAGTGTGGTTGTACACTTGCTGTGCAATCACTTCGTATTCATTTTAAAGCTGAATGGATTGAAGGTGAATGACACGAACCGAATCCCTTGTTATCTGTAGGACTGCGTACAAGCCGTACACCTTATCTTCACATCTGGCTCTTAGTGAAAAAGTACATCTCCGGGGTTATTACTACAATGACTAACAGCTGCTTTCCATTGTTGGATTCTTCCAATGTAAACTTTAAACCTTTGTACACAAAGTATTTTTTGCACTGCGTGCGCCTTGTGTATTGAAGTTCCCGTTGCAAGAAACAGGTAAGTGACCATTACAGATTCACAGCCGCATAATGCGTGTGCGTTCCTTTTGGGAATTCTAGGCGATTATGCTATGACTTAATTTAGTCGTACCTGAATGCCAGGTTAATCCAGTTGAAGTATGTCTCCTTCGTCCACAATCCCCAAATCCGTCCGCTACAGTACACACTCAAAATGCATATGAACAGGACGCAACAGGGAAGCACGGCCTCTCGTCCAACCGCATAAGTGGTCAACCAGACTGCGGCTCCGCCCATCAGCACGACCGGAAGTGCGCACAACGCCAGCCGCATGAATACGGAGCCATGAGTGAGAACAGTGGCAGTCAGCACCTGGGCGACGAATCCGACAGCCAGAAAGAATTTGGCTACTATAGAGTCTTCTGACAAGTTCATGGTGTACGTTATGCGTTCGACGAAGTGCCGGATATGCTCACAGCGGGGCATGTGCTGCGTCCGTACCGAATACCGTCAATTCCGGTTGACGAACATGGAACAGCCAACGGAGACACTCAGGAGGGCCGTGGCGCAAACGGTGGCCAAGGTGCCGGAATAACCAAGATAGCCGCGGATGTCGTGCCGGCGACAATACGACGTCACCGCTACCGCCTACGAGGGCTTGGCTAGACGCTTTCCGTGGTGAAGCTATCTGGTCCCACACACACCCATTCATCTTCTGTCGGAAGCAATAAAGAGTTTATTTTGAGTAGCAGCAGTGATGCCGAGTTATCGAAGGCATCAGAACTGCCAGAAATTAAGCCTTCATCAAAATTTTCAAGTTCAAATGCAAAAAATTACGTATACTGCGGTATGGGTTTATTCTTTGTCGATTTCACTTTTGAGGGGTACTTTTATTGCAAATCTAATACGTGAGCACAACGTTTCCTTCCTGAAGTATGGCGAATTACAGGGCTGTTATCATAACAACAGTTACAATATTATAATAATGCTATAATACTGTAAATGTTGTTATGATAACATGATGTGTTGTTAAGTTGTTATGATTTTTTACCCATATCTGATATGGGTGAAAAATTCAGCTAATAAATGCCTAGAATTTGAATAGCTACGGTATTTGCAAGCTTTTTTCAAAGTTCGTAAAGTCACAAACTGCATCTGCATTTTATCAACTGCAACTTGCAACGTATTTTTTCCGACAAGCAACAAGAAACAAAAAGGTTTCTGCTTCTCCCTATACTGGCTTAAAGTCGGCTTTATTGTACGGGAACGGGGCATCTGCAGAGGTACTCACATATCCCAGGAATCGTAGAACATTATCCAAACCAGTCCATGAGTCCGGGTCGACGCGAGTGTTTTTCCATCCCGGAAGGAGCCGTGTGCCAAATTTCAACGCGATCTGGAGCGCAAGCCAGAGTAGAAGCAGGGCTACCGTCATAATTTCCTGATGAGCCCATGCTTGATCACGGTCCAGAAAATCGAGGATTGTCTTCCGATATTTGCCCATTACAGAAGCCAGTTAAGCGGATAACTAGTCCAAGTAAACACTGAAGGAATGCGAAACAAGCGATCAGGGTTTAGGCATTTTATATGGGACGGAGGTGAACGCAGGACCTTTTCACCGGATCGATCCACTGAAATTTACCGCAACGCGAAAATATGTTACGACATGCTTGGATCCTGCGCCGCTTCGAGTGCACCTCCTTTGACGCACACAATCCGTTACCATATGGTCGCTACACCCACACGCGTGAAAGAGATCTTCCTATATTTTCGCTCGACCAACAACAGCGTTCTACATGATTAATATGATCCAAACCAGGCTGTTCGTCAGTCACAACTGTAACGAGGTAAAGCGAGAGGTTAATCGGCCATAGCGAATGCCTGCAGATCCAATCACTCCAGCGGCTTAGGGTAGAACTATAGTGTGGGAGTAATTTTCCGCTGCTGCTGTCCTCGGCAAAGATCCAGACAGCGTTAATACATATTGTTTGTGCGTACATATGAGCCGGTTACGAATAGTCGCTATGCGGCAATGTCATTGCGTTGAATTCTTACAAGTCCCGTTCCTCTGTGTACGCAAGTGTTGCATTTTAAGACAATTATTATCATTTATGATTTATTAGAAGTTGCATTTTTAATACAATTACGACTTCAACTGCACACGGGTGAACCGCGCTCCCATGAATCCCTCCGCCAACGGTTAGCTCTAGAAATTCAAAGGGCAACGCCGCTTCAGTACTCGGAACACTGGATGGAGCGGCAGCATTAAATGAGATTCTGTTGTTGTGATTTTACTGTTTCTTTTCAATCTGTAATGTATGCGCGTTTATGAACTAAACTTAATGCAATTATTATATTAATTTTGTATACGATGATGAGGCATACTGTACATCCTGGGTAGCATCGCTTAGTCAAGACTCATAGTTAGCCACTCTTTAGACCTTAACACTGTAGCCCAATTACCGTTTACATTTGCTACTGTTGCCTATTACAGAATCGTTTACCATGACACCCTTGCATTACCGCAGAAAAAAATTATATCCCATTTTTCGTCGGCTGACCCATGTTCTGGAAAGAAAGTACATTGAATTCAAATGTTAAATGTGCAATGCAAAATGCACAATTCCGTAGAGCTAACTAGCGTAATCTTAGGAATAACTTCATCAGCTTAAATGGTTCCGTTCTTTTCCAGCTACTCGCACCTGATTGCTTTCTCTTCTATTGTTCCCTACTAGCACGCAAATTCTTTCCCGCCTACATTAATAATGGTCACATCAACATGTACTCGTATTTGCATCTAATGGAACAATTTCTTAATTTTACTCTCGCTTGCAGGCTTGCAATACTTGTACTAAACGTTGCCGACAAAATACCCGAAGTGTTGTCTTCAGTATCAGTGCCAACCAGTCCGAAAAGCGAAAACGAAACTGATGAGAAATTTCAAAGTATATACGAGTAATATGGCAGCTTGAGGCTACGGCTAGTGGCATAGTTATTTCAACCGCTTCAAATTGCCTGAATTGTGTGTTATGCAATCTGGACACGGACGTTCATGTTTTCCAATTTCTGTAGCTAAAACGGTAATAAATATCATAACCAAATCGCTTTCGGTTTTCGCTACCCAGACATCATTCGAGGAAGCGGGGGAACACGCGAATAGAACCCTGTTTCTCGTGGACGCTTGATGGGATCAACGTCTGCCGTTCCTGGCGAATCTGGTGGACTTCCACGGCAAACTTCCAGATGATCCATACGCCATATGTGGTAAGCAGCAGAAGCAACACCCACAGTTGAAGCGGCTCCGGGATGAACAGTTGCACCAACGGATAGGGAAGGGCTCTCCAGCACAGATATCGGCGATTTGTAATCACCAGGAAAGCCACAATACTGACCCAAAATGGACACATACAGGGAGCGATGTCCGATGGCTCGGCCACCGTGTTTTCCATGACGATGGGTGTACAACTGCTGGTATCGTCAGGGCCAGACTGTTCATCATCAACGGCCGCAGCAGGGCAACCGTCGGCTGCCAAGTCATGTGGTGGCTCGGTTGGCTCTTCCTCGGCTTCCGTAGGTACTGGGGCGCTAAATCAAATACAAGAATTTATGTTCGCAGTATGACGACTTTATTCTCCGAATCGCTGGATTTAAGATCGGTGACACAGTACTGTACTTGCAGAAAATCTTCTGAAAAATGCACTAAATGTCCCATATATTTCGCCCTATAATCGCGGTCCCATAAAACCGGATACAGACCGCAAAGATTCATTTGGAATAACCTCGATCGGTTTTCCCAATGACCGCTGAAAAAATGGTTTCACGTTGACCTTTTTATTTAAGTTTTAATAAATTGTTCATTGGTCCGCCAAACGGACGTCTAGATAATAACGTTCTACATTTAACGACGAAAAGTGCATTTGAGCACGTTGAAGAAAACTGGCTTTTAGATTGTTTGCGCGTTCTATCGTGGCATGTTAGGGAGTTACCAGTTGGCCAAATTATCTGCGTAAAAGATAATTTAACATGTCAAATTTGAATAATGTTCGCTGGACTGACGTCCCTGTTGCGCTTTCTCAGTTACGCCCAATCTCGAAATAAAGTGTCAAAGTGTAGAAAGGCGCAGGCAGGGCGAGTCGATCGCTGCTCACATACGTAGAAGCCGAGCACGACTCCTGCCGGTTGCCCCTTCCAGCTTTCGATCACATAGCCCGCATACTTCCGGACCTCGTTCTATCGTAGTTGGAAGATGAACATGAATACTATTAGATTTTATATTTCGCTAAACTAAGAGCACGGAGGAAGTAAAAAAGTTTTGGTCATTTGCACGTACGGACGACCGGAAACGTAAAGATATTCGAAATACTCTAAATAAAGGGAAGACGTTTCCGGATGATCCTACACACCTGTCAAGAACCCGACGGGCGTGCCAGCGCTTATGCAGCCATCGAATAAAACGGATGATAATGTACAGCATCGGTGCGCAAACTATGTAGGACAGCAAGACGATCCACACCCGGAGAAAAATGTACAAATCCGAGAAGAATGTGGATTCGTACAGCGACAGCAGGGCAGGCTGGCTGGTGTTCCAGCGCGGATATCCCAAATCCATCCAGTACGATAGCATGGCTTCCGAGTGTTGTAGGCCCTGCAGAGAACAGACACATGGGAACTTCAGAACACACCGGAAATGGATAAGGTTTAAAAAACACGTGCTAAATTAGATTTGGCCAGCCAGCACCAGCTGTATACTGCACGAATATATGTCGGGGCAAACCGGGCAATCGAACGATCCTTACCGTTAACCCAATGGGATAGCAGTCGCGCTTGTAACCGAAGAAAATGGATCGGTCCCAGAAATCCTTAGCACGAGCGCTTACATTGGCCAATGGAATTTCCTCTCGGATTGTATCGATATCCGCCGACACCGCTAAGCAGCAGACAAAGAACACACACAATTTCACATTTAAGATAGGGATGGTGGCGTCCTTCCGTTCTTCCCTCAGTGCCTTCAGAGTCTTGGGTTGGTGGAGATTCTCAAGATGTACCGCTGGTACAGGAGCACATTTGACCGATGAGGCTTCCAAGACGAGCGGCGCACCACACATCCGCCTAAGAAGACGGATGAATCCATAATTATACTATGCAACTTGATTATTAAAACCGATCGAGTAGCAGACTCGCAATGTTGTTAGCAGTGCTAACAATACTGATGAGCAGCTTTCTAAATATATGTGTAATTTTGATCTGCGAACACAGAAACATTTCCTGGACGAACTGCATAAAAATTCTAACATCTTTCAAAAATCACATTTTTTTATGGTGCCATCTATTCGAGCAATTTTACAGCAATTAAAAACAACCTGAATGTATTGTTAATCCGGCTGAAATAGGTCTCCTTCATCCACAATCCCCAAATTCGCCCGGTACAGTGGACACACAAAATGCATACTGAGAGGACACAACAGGGAAGCACGGCCTCGCTTCCGACCGCGTGAATGGTCAACCCGACAGCAGCCCCACACATTAACACAACCGGGAGTGCCCACAGTGCCAGCCAGATGAAAAAGCATACACATGTGAGAGCTGCACAGAACCCCGAGAAGACCATGAGCCCAACCGTAAGGAGGGCAGTTGTTAGTTTATGGCATTTCCACGAATCGCTTCTCACTTTGCGGACAATAAAAGCGCGGATGTGTTCACAGCGGTGGAAGTGTTGCGTCCACAACGGATATTTCCAATGGCGGTTGGCGAATAGGCAACATCCCACGGAGATGGTCAGAAGGCTCGTGGCACATACGATCGCTAAAGTACCTGCATAGCCCAGATGACCGCGAATATCGCTGGCCGCTGTGGTTGGCACAATATCACTGCCGTTAAAGGTGTATATGCTACGCGCCATCCATGGTGCCACGACATGGTCCCACGCGCATCCATTCATTTTCTGTCCAAAACGATAACATTGTTATTTTGCATACTATCAAGTAATTACTGCGCATTTAACAAAGGCTCCTTTCTTCCTTTTTCAACCTTACAGCAAAATACATGTTTCTATTAAAACGCTTCAATATCGAGTTCCGAAGTACCCGTGTTTTATACTGTTTATACCGATGCAAAAAAAATCACAGAATTAATGAAGTTATACATTTAATAATCCTTCCAAAATTCTGTAAAGTCGGCAATTAGTATTTCTCCGCATCGATGAAAAGTGTATGCGCATGCAAATACTTTTCTTGCAGATACAGGGTGGATTATAACAGAAGATATTTCGCATGTGAGAAGGTTAATAACGAACTAAAGAAGAGCAATTGCGGGTAACCAAACCTAAGATTTCAGGTTACTCGTATCCCTTTCACAGCTTCGAACACTCCCAAGATCTATTCTGCATTTGCGTAGTTGAGCGTATCAGTTAAGGTTAATCTCGGGTTTCACTTAAATGATGTCGAAAATACTTTAATTGTAATTCGCCCATCATTTAACTAAATTGTGCAGTTTAAGCGTAGCTTCAGTTTCAATTAAAGGATGTGGAGAATAGTATTATTTCGCCAATAATTTAACTAAATTGTATTGACATCTGCACTTGTACTCAGTATACTACTCACATATCCGAACCAACGTAGAACGATGTCCAATCCAGTCCGGAAATCAGGATCGACACGGGTATTACTCCATTCCGGAAAGAACCGCGTGCCGAACTTTACCGCGATATGCAGGGCAAACCACAGTACAACCAGGGCTTCTGCCATGATCTCCTGGTAAGCCCACACCCGATTGCGGTCGAGCAACTTTCCCACTGTTGTTCGAATTGCCATTGTAGAAGTTAACTAAACGCTGTAATAATCCAGATAAACAGAGCAGTGGCGTCGAAAACACGATTACAATGTGGGCATTTGATACCATATGTGGTACAGTAAGAAGTAAAGAACCCTTCAACTGGATCGATACGTATACCGAAACTCCTGATAGCATGCTGCAACATCCTGTGCATTTCCTGCTGCTTTGATTCTGCCTCCTTTGACGTGTACATTACGCCGACATGTTCACTGCACACGCACGCTGAAGAGATTTTCTAATGGTTTCCGTTCAGGCAGCGACAAAGGTTTACACTATTCATAAGATATAAGGAAAGCCGTATCGATTAGCTACTCACCATTGATTTCCCATATTCGCGGGAAAGAGAAACGTCTAATCCTTAGAACCCATAGCCCTAAAACCATATTGCACGGAATGTAATTAGTTTAGATGACTAATAGTTACTATCTGGCCTTTTGTTGTTGTTTTTGTTTCTGTTTGTTTATTGCCTTTCGTTGTTTCTAAGTTCGTAGTTGTTGTTAGATATACTTTCCTTCAGTTTCTCCCGGAAGGACGTGTGTAACTGGATAATTTTAGCTGAATGCAATTAACGGGGAGATGCAAAATAGGAATAATTTATTTCGGGGTTGTCCTTTGTATGTACACATATCAGCATGCGCGCCAGACGGCCATACTGTGCCTGTGTTACCTACGACCAGCACCCTTTAATAATGAGAAAAAGAGTAATACGATGATCAATCAGAATCTTAAGCATGATCGGCAAATACTGCCAATGTTGTCGAACTCTCTGCAGGTAGAAAAAGTCAAAGCGTAGAGCCAGCTGACGGTAAAACAATAATATAACCTAGACGAACAAGATAATGGATCTTCAAAGAGAGCCTGGTCAGCAAGCTGTAAGATTGTTTGCTTTTTGCAGGCAAGCAAATTTCGACCATAACATAATTATTAAAATGCTGTCTGCCAAACGGCAGATGTATGCCCCATACCTTAATACGGATAGCTGGGACGATACCCACATTGGCCACCAGACAAATGGGCCACCTAACAAAAACTAATCATAAGAAACCGAAAAACACTAGATATAGTTTATTATATTGTTCTGTTTTTTTCACATCAGCAGATGGTCGTCCACAAAATGTCGGGATTAATAAACGGTCGATTAGCAACTTGTCGATCATCGAGGTGTCGTTTCCACAAAATGCCGGGTTAACAATTTTTTATAGGCGAAGAACAGTGAGTTGTAAAGAAGGTAGGGAAAACGGGAAGTGGATATTGTAAGATCGCACTCATACAGTTCACAACACTCATACTACAATAACGTCATTCAGAATGCCACGTTGCACATAAGCGTTTTAACGCTATTATATTATGCGGACAATTAGGCGTTACAGAAAGCAGCAAAAATTTTGCACGAGCGCGCTCCTGCACATAAATCATGTGTAATAACGATAAATCAACATCTAACGGTATATATATGGGAAGTTTTTGCAAATAAATAAGTGACAAATGGGTGGCGTAGGCAGCGTAGAGGACAATTCCGTCAAAAGGTCACGCTAATGTAGTCTTCGTCAACACGGTGTCAACATGGGTTTGTCCTCATCGTCTTCCGGTTCTTTCACTGTCTCCACAGGGCCGACTCTTTCAGCACCACTGGGATTCGGACCCTTGCCGCTGCAAACACTGTCGAACAGCCAATAGCAGATGCCCAATTCAATGACACTCAGTAGAAGCAACAAAGCCGGCAGCTGGAACGGCTCCGGGACAACCAGTCCCAGCACCGGTAACGGGATGAATGTCCAGAACATGAAGCGGGATACTACAACGATCATGCGGCGCTCAAGGTCCATCCACGAAGCGCACATGCACTTGTGTTGTTTGTTTGTCCGTACAGCCGATTGATCAGGGTCCTTCGGTTTCTCCTCCTTCTTGTTGCGCGTCACATCGTTTGTGGCTTCTGTCGGCTTCCTGTTAAAAAACGTGGGTTGGCGGGAATTGTTTGCGTATTTATGCCGATGTTTTTTTCGTACGCAAAACACCTTTGCTGTACTTGAACAGTTACGGTGTTTTTCTAATAAGAACACCGTCGAAGTAAGTATAGACAACGCAATGAGTGAGGGAATCTGCCTACCAGATGCGCTGAAGACGAGTGACACAACAGAGCAGCAAGTTGACCACGCCCCAGCCGCAGAACACAGCAATTACAACTACTTGTGCCAGCATCGCGGTAATTGTCGGCAGCAAGAACATGGCCGCAATGATCCCAATCCATACCACATAGAAGCGTTCCGTCCCCGGCGATATGACTGTGTCGAACAGCGACAAGAGAGCCGGATAGCTGGTCTCTCGATGAGGATAGTGTAGATCCACATAGTACGACAGCATCGCGGTTGGTTGGCCCATTCCCTAAAAAGTATAATGCTCTGTCAATCCCGAGAAGAGACAACCATCGAGAACGTGAAGAAGTTCACATTCACGAGACCATATACGTTGAACAAATACACACCCGAACATTCAGATTTCCTAAAAAAGTTTGATCTTTGCACATAATACAGCACACAAGTCCACGCCTCACATTATCTCGCGTGACGCAGTTCCCGTACCATGTATTTCTGCAACTGGCTGAGAGGTGTTTAGCTCGAAAGTTTTGTTTTCACTGCGAGATTAGTGCTTGTACAGAGTTCTCTATCATCGGAGACTTTATGTTCAAGTGCTTGTATGCAAACTGGTGATTATGCAAATAACAGTTACTTTCGAAATTTTTGTACCTAGAAACTTTGAACACGTAAGCGATCTGTTCTTCGAAATACTGTATGTGCTTTGACGTGCCTGGAGGAGAACTCGTAACGAGTAAAGGTCGAAAGAGGATCACTGCCTTCCTCAGACGCGCATCACTTGATGCCCTGCTGATCGCTCTCGCATTCATCAGTGAGTGAACTTGAGGCTGTCTGTGGTCGGCGGCGTGTATTGTACAGTACTTGCTGTACTACCGTTCTATACCCGCTTTTAAGTTCACCTTTAGCTTTCCGCGCAACGTTTACCGTACTGTACTGGATGAGGTGAATCCTAGTTACTACCGGGTGGCTGAACAAAATGTCGGTCTGATTTACCATGGCGCGCTGGATCCGACCAGTGCTTGACTGTCATTATTTTAGTTACATTCGAAAAAGCAATGTTTTTAACATAGAAATTTCAAGTTAAACCAAGATTATCTCAGGATTCAACGTTTTTATGAATTATTTTGAAAGATTGGGTAGATTTCGAGGATGTCTTGGAAGCGGAAATTTGAAATTACCCATTCCAAAACTAAAAATTACTGCTTTTCAGCTAAGTAAGATAATTTGTCTCAAGTTAGTGTTTCGGGTAAAGGGGTTGTTTCTTGTTTATTTACTGTAAACAACAGCAATATTCTGTCAACCGTGTTTGGCCGGTAGATCTCGCCTCCTTAAGAACGAGCAGTGCAGCCGCGCGACCAAGTTACTTATTAGAGGCTCGCTCGCAGTTTGCACTAAATAAATACGACATGTCCTACATAACTAATAACTACAGTAGCTGTATATTGCAGTGGCACATGTTGCCATTCACCACATACAGTGGGTATGTGGCCGTTGCTCTAACTTCGTATTCCCGGTTTACGTATAGGCAGCCTGGAACGCTTCTGATTGCTATGTTAGCGGTTTCCGATCATGAACCCTGTGTAAGTGCCGATAACTATCAGATGTATTAACCGATTACACCGACCCTTAGAGCCGCACGCGCCAGGATAAACATTTTTATTTTCTTTTTGTAGCAACAGGAGTACGAAGCGAACGAAATTCCTGCTCTGTTGATCGGATGACACGTTAAAACGACCGGTAGCGCCATTCCAGCAATTAGACACGCGTGACAGAGTGCCCAAGACGGCCTGCAAACCACACAAAATTAATAATAAAGTGCTGTCTCAAAAAATAACTGAACGTATCCGATTCTTTCACAAATCTGTCTGCCAAAAACATAAACGATTCTTTTGAACGCTGCAGTTTAGGCTACCCTTGCTTGGTGACTGCAGACTGACCCTCGAGTTTGGTGTGTTGGCTAGCGCTTACTAGTTCAACTGGATGCGCTACAAAACATAGTTGTAATAATTTATCGCCAACGAATGCAAAGATTGAGAAATTACCTGCAGCCGACACGTTGCTGTGTTGTTGGCAGCGCATGTTGCCGGTAGAAAAATAAACGAGTCGGTGATTGACGGTCAGTGTGCCGCAATTCTGCCGGTTTCCGGCAGAAAGGCTGATGCGGCTCCTATGATCATCGGCCAGTTTATTTCTCTACCGGTGACAAGGACATGCCAGCAAACCGTGCGCCACTGCAAATTATGGTCGCTAGTGAACTACAGTCATATAGATCCCTTAAAGGCGTTAAGAAATTTCTACTGGAAAAATGGTGCTTACAGAGTATTACAGAGCACCCCCTCCAGCAGGCGACTCCACACCCTCTCTTGAGGAAATATCCGGTTCACAAAACTGAACTATTGGAGCAACACTTTCTTCACCTATGCCAGAGAAATATCCATGTAAGTCGGTTAAAAATGTTTACAAAACATTTATAACGTCCTCGATTCTATGACCAAACATACGTGACCATACATTCTATGACGTGTGAACATGCTAATACAAGGGTCAAAAATAGTCATTAGCTGACTGTCGATTGGGATCTTTATCCGAGCGCATAAAAACTGAAATTCAAATTAAAAATATTCAAAATTCAAAGAAAATGCCAACTTAAAGTTTCAAAAAGCGGCCGTTTCTTTGATTACTTACACAACGGCTCGTTAATGGAGTATTCCAGTTGATCAAAGTTTATAGCCGTGTGCAGATTTGCCGTAAGATTTTCCCGACAGTCTACCGGGTTGTAGAGTGTGCTTCTCGCAAATGGGGCAAAGCTCAATATGCCATCAACATAGCTAAGCTCTTCGGGTCCTAACTCCCACAGCAATGCTTTGTTGTTTTTCATCCACTGGCGAAACTCCGCGAAATCGCAGCTGCAGTGTAAATTGTGTAGGTATTCCAGGCGATGAATAACACTAAGATTTTTATTTATTTCGGCCGCAATAAGAATATCTGATTCCATGCTCAACACTTTTAAATGCAATAGATTGCTGAAGGTTCCCGGCTCGAGGTTTTGTACAGTTGCCATTCTGAATATCAAGCTCTGCAGCTTGTTTAATTTGCAGAAATCCGTTTTCTTGATGATCAAGCCACTGCTGTAAGATACCCTTAATATCATAAGGTTCACAAAGCCGAGACCACGAAGGACAGATGTGCAATGCGCATTCTTGCACAAATAAAGTTGAGTTCCCAAGATTAGCCGTCTAATGTGCCAAAATGCGCCGGACATATCATGCCTCTGCAATGTGTCTTCCAGGTTCAACCATACGGCCCGTAGGGGCGAATATGCAACTGTCATCGCAGCAGTTTGCCAGTCATCAGATGTAGTACCGCCGCCGCACGTTAGCTCTATCATTTTACTCTTGGAGCATTCACGTAACCTCTTATCACCGCACCTTAATTTAGACAGTGTCGTACACATTTCCATCGGAACATGGCTCTTCTCAAAATGCGGGAGGGGCTCAGCAGTATGCATGCCAGACCGTAGCATCGTGCAGTTGTAGGCGGTGTTCAACTTGACGATGTCTCTTGCGCTCAAGGCTCGTCTTTGTCCCATTTGAATGCGCTTTTTCAGTGAAAGATTAACCTTTGGAAGGAGTACTGGGAGATGCGGATGTTCAGGGTTTGTCAAGTCAAAAGCGCCAAGGTGCATGATCGATTCCAGATCGTATTCTGCGCCGTGCGTGCGCATCTGTGGAAATTTACGGAATACAATGTTGTCTGGCGAAAGTTCCGTATGATTCAAATAAATTTGCAAGTAATCGTCACGATCCGCTCGGTGATGTTCGTGAACGAATCCCAGCGCATGAAGAACCAGGTGCTGAATGGCCCCACAGAAAATGCAAGCATGCGTTAAGGTGATACTCTGCCGACCGCCTTGCCTGCCCACCTGAGACTGACATCTGTAAGCAGTACTACGGTATGACATTATGTTAAATTTCGAAGTTTTGGATGGCTTAAACTGTGGAAAGACGAATTTATAGATTTTAAGGCAGGTAAATATATGCAGGTTTGTCTAACTTACTTGAGCTCGGATAGGAAATACCGAGGCATTACGAAAGCTACGTAATGCCTCGGAAATACATACATTTTGTCCATCAGCTGGGTGCGTAGGGCTATTTTGGACAGGCTTGTTCTAACTTCTTAACAACGTTTAACGCATATTTACCTGTATCCTGGCATGAACAAAATATAGTCATTTTCTTCGGTGCGGGTTTGAAATGTTATGCAGTATGAAGTAAAGGAGGAGATCGAATTCAGTGCGTCCTGGATCGCTACTTGGTCGGCATTATCTGGGCATACCAAAGAGTCGTCGAATTTATTTAGATTATTTACGATAGCGCGAAAATCGATTATCTAATTCTACAATAGCACAAAAAGGTTATATCAAAGTTCTTTAAAAACTCTGGCAGTACCCAGTGAGTGAGTTACAGCTTGTCGTTAGGAGCGTTGTGGTCGGTCAGACCGTCAGGGTCACAAAGAAGAAGGCATTTCTAAAGGAAGGAAATTTTCGTTGTCCAAAAGATGGAGGAAATATCAATGGTTAAAAAGAAGGAAGGAGAAGTAAATGTCTGCGATGGAAATAACTCTGGGGAATTTAACGCAGAAACTTTTCTGCACAAAATATTCTATGCTCTTTTTTGACAAAACAATTCCCTTCTTTTATAGATGTCTTCCTGTTTCTGACCCTGGTCTTAGGCAGTACTTGGTATTTACCGAAGTAATCGCTAATTAAATAAGGAATATGCGTGTCGTTGTTCGGCCAAAATTTGTCGTCAGATAAGTATCCAGGTGCTGAAACAAGATCAATATCCAGCATTTGATCGTCATAGTGGTACAGTCTGCCGTCTGATCCGACTGTTGTTGTGGTCAGCTCGGATCGTCGCTCTCTTAGAATTTGCTGATTGAGCTTTTTTGTCCAATCTGGAACGCAGCACCGTCAGCAAAAAAAATCGTAACGAAGAATGAAGTTATTGTAGTCGCTTGCACTACTACACAGTGCGTATACAGGAAATCAGTAAACGGACTGTGTATGTATTTCCAATAAGTCTGCACAAGCAGTACATACGTTGCTGTACAGATACTGTTGTGCTTCGGCATACTAAAAATGTGGTAGAAAATATGCAAACCCCTGCAGTATCAGTATCTGAGTATACAAACCGTTTTGTGTCGGCTTTGTATGATTTGCGTAGCCTTCTGGTGAAGTGGGCCATCCTGTCAGCCACGTTCGCGAGACCGCCTTCTCGCATCTGGGAACGTTAATTGAATAGTTCCTTTGTTGAAAGTCTATCGTTGTTCCGCTACTGCCACCACGTGCATCGGCACAATTAATAGGTAAATATAGGTCTTCTTTTTTTATACACAGCCATTCATTAAGCCGTCCGACATCATACTCTTTTAAGTTCAGGGAAAGTATTATCGCACCGGCAGGGAGAAAGTTATCGTTGCAAAGCGACTGCACAGTGGTATTAAAATCAAAAATGTCTTGTGGCGTCCAAATGTGCAATCGGTCGATGATTTGCGACTGTAGCCAGTTGCGGTAGTCAGCAAATTCACAATCACAGTGCAGGTTATGGAGATACTGCTGATAGTCACTTGGAAAACTATTCATCAGCACTTCGCTCATTCTGTACTCCAATGAGAGAATTTGGAGATTTGGTAAAGCGGCAAAGATGGACGGTGTAGCGGAGACAACCGTTGATTTGGTGAGCACCAGAACACGAATATTAGGGACCAGTGTGAAATCTGCGGCTTGTAGGACAATATTTCGACAACTACTGACAACGAACTGTAACAAATTACTCATTTGTAAAACAGATAGATACGCTGCGGGGCGGTCTCCAATGCAGTCCGACAGAATCATTCTCGAGACCTGCATTCTCATCGGTGCAAAGGCACGGTACACAATGTAGTCTCCATCAAACAGCGATAAGTCCACACTGCGTACGGGCGGCTTAGCTAGAGCGAAACTGATTTCTCGTACCTCCCGCACTGTGCTGTTAGCCCAACACTCGACATCCAGAGACCTGAGATTCGGTGTGGAATTGTTAGCGAAAAACTGCAGACAATAGTAGTGCATAACCTCCTCTGTTCTATAGCCAGGAAACGATAAGGAGACGCCACTTGGCCTGCATGTTCGCCCAAATAGCGACGTACACTGCGCATAATTAAATTCGAAGCTGGAAAAGGTTTCTTTAAATTTTAAACTTTCATAAGTCGAATTGAAATGGTCCGGTGCACATTCGCTTTCGTTAACGGAAAAGGCAGCCTGGTTGAAGTTGATCATACCAAGGTCGGTCGGAAACGGGTGCGCTGCACAGTCAATCGGGATATAGACGTCACTGACCTCTACATCGCTGTTCCCGCCTCCCGTAGCATAGTAAAAAATTTCAGAATTTCCTGGTACTGCCTTGAGTAAGTTCTTTTGATGCAGCCATTTTCTTAACCATGAAAATTCGCAGTCGCAGTGAATCCGCTCCAAATAATTCTGCCTGCTGCGTACTAAGAAGGAATAGTCATTGATGATATGATTGATATCGTAGGGTGGTTCATGAATGCGCGTGCCGAAATTATACGGGAGCTTTTTGTGCCATGCAATTGCTCGCAGCTCCAGGAGATTTGTGAAAGTCCCTTCTTCCAAGTACAAAACAGTAGCTTGCTCAAAAATTATTAGTTTCAACTTATGTACGGAATAAAAGTCGGATTTTTTAATTCGCATATCCCAACAATTGAATATTTTCAACTCCTGCAGATTAAGAAAGGAGAACCTGGAGAGCTTTGCCGTGGGATCACGCACAATACAGTTCATTAAAGTCAACTTGATTATTTGTTTATCAACCGGAGACAGCGAATACGTGGTTATTTGGCTATCGATGAGGAAGACAATCAATGGGCGCAACGGCGGCCTTCCCAGCGCCGTGGCCATAGGTGCTAAAGCAGAAGCGTTCATTGTGTCGCTGCAGTCGATCACCAATATCTTTTGATGCGTGCAGTTTTCTCTGGTAGATCCCGAATATCCACAGTGTTCATTGAACTGTAGCGCACACTGTTCGGCTTTCATAGATTCTTTCGAAAAACCAGGAAACAAGCGTTCTTGTTCACCATGATCGTCGCGGCCTACCTGGCATCTGTATGCATTGCGCAGTTTAGCAGCGTCACGGACACTTAGACCCTCACGCTGTCCCATGCGATGGACTCCTTTCTGTCTAGGAATTATGACAGGGCGACTCACGGTTCTCGAGAAATCGTATGGACCGTAGTGCATCAGCGATTCTAGATCGTAAGCCGTTCCGAAAGTTGGCATATTTGGAATAGCACGATACTGAGATTCGTGGCCTTCCATAATCTCCCCTTCGTAGATAGCCACATAAGAATTTCGGTCGCTCCGACTGTGTTCGTGAAACAAACCGAGGGCGTGCAGAATCTCGTGCTGCACTATTCCTAGCTGAATACACTCGCTTGGATGCAGAAATACCGGTTGCATACCGCCGCGAACTCCAACGTAAGACGAACAACTGTAATTTGCAAAACAAATACGCCTGGGAAGTCTCCGCGTCGCTAAACTTAAATCCGATCTATGTAACACAAGCTCGATTCGCTCGATCATTTTTTGTGAAATACGAGCTCGCGCTAAACATTTTTTTCGCGAAAATTCTTTTTCTCTTTTCAATCTCAATCTTTCCTTTCTCTTTGTAATCACAAACATTTCCTTCCTTTAAAAATCTCTTTCTTTTAATTTATTCTTCGTGCTTTTAACCCTAGCCTCCAGTTATCTGAGCGCTTAGGTTAGCGCTGTGCATAATCACTAAACTTACATAATACGAAATAATAGGTGTAAGGTAGTTCGTACGGGACGATGGTCTTTAATAAGTATCACGTTGCAAGTATAAACGAAGTACTAAAAGACAGATTATGGAAAGAAAAACACAGTGATGCGATCAGATGAAAACAAACGCTTACAACTCCTTAGGGGTAAACGCTCGTTTTACGCAGCCTGAAGTTAAGGGCCAGTTATTGGGAGGGATCATGGGATTTCGTACTACTTAGCCTTCCTAATTACCTGTGTTTTGTTTCTGCTATGTTTGTGCACTTAACACTCAACACGGCACATTTTCCTGCTCCAAAATCAGAAAAATCTCGTTTTTTGCAAAAACAAGTGCACCATCGTAGTATACGTAATTAAAATAAATAATTTCATCTGCAGAGGCTCAAAGAGCATGGCCAAAAAAATTATCAGTACGTAATTTTTCGCGAATTTTTTTCTGAAGAGCACATTTTCACGTCAGTACAACGGTACAACCTAATGAAATGTCATACTTGTCTCCAGGCTTGAAGTGAATATAGTTTGCCTCGGTCTTTCTCGCTATAAAAGTCACACAATGGAGTGATTTATGCTCAATATTCAACATTGCTTGCTCGATAATAAAACGGTCTTGGAATCCTAAAAAATAACCGGGTCGTTAAAGTATAAATTGCAGTCTACGAAAAAATCTAGGCAGAAGAATTAAAACTTTAAAAAGGGTTTCTAGCGTACCATATAACTCGCTGATTTGATAGGGAACTTTTCCATTCGCCCATAATGTCAGTGTCTGGTTTCCTGCATTTGTGTAGCAAGAAATTAGTATCGAAATGTAAACATCATTTAATGTTATAATTCACTTATTAAGCGAGTATCTGTACGAGAATTCACTCGTACAGCCGTAATTTGGGTGGTACGAAAAATTTTTCTACAGCTAGAAGCCTTGATGCGTTCAGCGATGTCGCATTTGTACTCGTACATACGTTATTAAGCGCAATTTCATGACTACAATCATACAGCCGACATGATGTTAAAAACTGAGTTAGAAAATCACAGGTACACGTAGGAGCAGCTCAGCATAGGCACAGCATTTCGTTTAGGTACAGCATTTCAACAGGAAGGTGCTAAGATGTAAACACCAGTTAATCATAATGTAAAAAGTGTACCAACAATTTTAAATCACGAGACTGACACCATAATTATGCCAATGTTTCCAATAAATTCTTTTCAAAGGGCAGTTTGAACTAGTCGGGATCGTACTATGGGATCGAAATTAAACGGGAGCCGGAATATGGAATTTGTCGACGTATTAGTAAGTAATTGTATCCTACTCCAGCGTATCGCCACTTTTGCTACAAACACGTTGCAGTCTCCTTACCTGTCCCTGATTACACTAAAATTTACGAGTTTCTTAGTCAAACAAGTCAAGTAAACAAATTCAATTTATATCCAGCGTGTGGTACAGTTGGAACCGCCCAGATGAACATCGTAATTCCGGTTGTACTTTGTATTTTGGAAGGCTTTAAAATCACCGTTCTGTAATTTCCTGTTTTCTTTCCCGATAGGCGACTTCATGTGCACCGGTGTAATGTGAAAAGAGAAAATTCCGATTACAAATAGTAATTACATTTAAAATTATTTCCATAGGTAAATTCTACATATGAAAATCTTAAATCATTTTAAATTGCTGTTGTGTCGCTTCGAACTACTGAAATGCAATTTTGTGCAAAGAGAAACCAATCTACTGGCGCAGTGCACAGCTTCCTACGCTGCTTGGCAAAATTCTTTTCTCTGGTTACAAAATCAGATATTCCAATAACAACAAGAAAATAAAAAAACAAAAATCTCACTTGGTGTTATTTACACCTGTGCCGGCTGCGCGATATTCAAAATTTTCAATGTTTTGTGAATTTGTGTGGAATTATTGAATATCCGATATCGTACAGGTGTGAAAACATTCAGTGAGCTATTCATTTGTTTAGTTTTGATGTTGTTATTAGAAAAAATGGTTTTGCAGTCCGAAAAAATTTCACACGTTTCAATTAAATTCGGTTCAAAGGGCATTTTCAGCCAGCTGAGAGCCGGAATATGGGACTTGTCGAAGTATGCATTTTAGGATGCGCGTGAAAATCGGTAGCACATTAGTTTACTGACCTCCGTTTTGCTGCACGACAATTTTCTGACCCACATGTTGCTGATTAACACGACTTGCTGACAATCAGATTGCTGACCGACAGTTCGCTTTTCTACAATTTTGCTGCCCGACGTTTTGCGGAGTCTATTCTGCAGACCGACAGCCTGCTTATGGATCACGTTCTAGGGTTTTTGGTTTCCTGAGTGCTTTTGTTGGGTTTTTTAGGCTTCTTAGTGTTTCATTAAGTCTCCGTATGTCTTTTGGATTCTCGGTTTTTGGCCTTGGATGTGTTTTCTATTTGTTATCAAATGTTATCTTACCAGGGCACATAGGGGTCCTCCCCCTTCAAAAAAATCTGATTTTTTGCAGGAAGGTAGTACACATGTGCAGGACATTTAAAAAAATATTTTCAGCTGCTGTGATCAAAGTAGGCGTGGTCAATCGTAATTTAAAATCGCCTAATTAGCCAGTACTGCACACATGCTAGCACATTAGGTTTTATCACCAGGTCCATGTCACCGGCTCCTGTTTACGTATGACTGAAGCTTTTCATTCAATTCATATACCTGAGGTGTCATTATAGCCGAATCCAGTGCCAGCATCGGCAAATATAATGTCGTTTGCCAGTTTCCTGTTGCCATTTAAGTCCGACAAATAGGCTCGAATGGTGGCCGGATGGATGCGGTCTTGCCAGTCTACCAATACGAAAAAAACCATATTTTGAAGTGGAGTTCGTAATTACAAAATACATAGCTAAAGTAGTTATTTTACTTATTTACATTATGAATTTGAAACCAAAGGTCCAGCGATCTAACCAGAAAATTAAATAAAACTTTAGCATTTAGCTACACCGAGGCCACACTCCATGTAGCTAAACGGATAGGCATTTGGGCTTTCAGCTTTGAAAGGTACGAGCGCGGTTTGGACTTACAGCCCTGCTCCACCACACGCGGGAAGTAAAAAAAAATCCTTTGTTTCGAATGTGTAAGTCTACCATCCTTGCGTAATTTTTGGAGATAATCCTTGGTCAATAGCAACTTTCTAAAAGATTTTCCTTAGCAAGAAGCTAAAGAGCATGGGATGGGAGCAAAAGTTTTATCTTATTCGCAAAAATCAGATTGCTTATCAAGAAATAATCAAATTTCATTCCTATCTCTTTAAAAATTTAGGCGGATGAAAGGGAGTGTTAACGTAGTATTCTAGTGGCCCCTTCCAACTTCCGTCTAACATCATCTCTACAACGGCTGGAGTGGTTCTTTAGGTAACCACATTCTTTGGAAGGTACCGCTTAACATATAAGTCTATGGGAGATGGATCTTGTTTCGCGGTCATCTCGAGTAGCGATCATTGATCGCGCAAGGTTACCCAGTAATAAATGCATCTTGGGTGCCTTAATGCTTTACAGAAGGGCCCACTCAAACATCGGTTGTTGAAATTGTTATGGAGGCAGCTACAGATATAAGCATCAATAAAATGACCGCTACCCCCTTCACGCTACTGACACTTCGAAAAATCTTAATTTTAGTACCTGTGAATCGTAGCAAAAGTTACACTAGAAAATCATAAAGAAGGACGCTAAACGGCGCTTTTTTAATTTACTTTGTGCAACTGCCCGCATGTGGTGGAGCAGGGCTGTAGATGGGTGACGACTGATTGCACGGCCCGTCAGGCCTGTTTGCGAAGTCGTTAGTCAGCAGCAGCGGTGACCGTACGGATTGGCGTGTACGTTTGTAACCGACCAAAACGTCCGGACGACCAAGACGTCCGGCGGACGTTTTGGTCGTTAAACCGACCAAACCGTCCGGGGGCCAAAAAAACGTCCGCCGTAAATTTTGCCCACCTAAAATTTTTTGCGTTCATGATGCGACCAAAGCTCCAGAGAGCTTTTGCGTCCCGGACGCTTTGGTCGGAGCACTACTTCGGCCCGGACACTTTAATCGCAGCACTATTTAGACCCGGACTCTTTGGTCGGGGCACTATTTCGACCCGGACACTTTGGTCGGAGCACTGTCCGGGTCTAAATAGTGCTCCGACCAAAGTGTCCGGGTCGAAGTAGTGCTCCGACAAAAGTGTCCGGGACGCAAAGGCTCTCCGGAGCTTTGGTCGCATCATGAACGCAAAAAATTTTGAAGTTCCATGGCTTTGTGCCTCGTGCATGGCGCGCTTCATGTCAGCTGAACTCTTTAGGCTAGGGCAATTTTGTGGCGTTTTCATCTGTATTGTATGTATTACTGTTGTTTATCCCGGCAATGCCCGAGGTATCAACGAATTCTTTGTCGAAGTGGAAATTCAGAGCAACAGTATTTTGATGAACGTAAAGTAATTTTTTGAAAGTTTTTGATGCATTAGTTAGTTATTTAGCTTTAGTGAAATTATGAATAGAGTGACAGAAAGGGAAAATATTTGGACTTCCTGATTACAAATAGCTTTTCAGTATCTCAGTTGGACCGCTACCGATTGGACAGCTCTAGCCTCTGCCGTGGACTATAATGAAATGACCAAAGCCGATTGTAGAAGGCAAAAATATAGCTCGACAATAAAAATAAAATAAAAAGCAATAAAAACACAGCTCGATGCCAATTTACCATAGGGCAGATCATCGGAATTATCGTCCAGATCGTCATGGTAATCTCTGTTGTCCCCCAATCCAGCATTAGGCTGAATTATGTTATTAAAAATAAATAAGACGTGGACAGCCGCTTTTATGCCCATCGCAGTGGTACAAGATTTTGCCAGAGAATAAGTTAGTTATTACGTAAGACGCAAAGGCATGGGTCGTTTCACCATTAACAGAGCGCTTTGCTCTCGCAAATGACTGAAAACATAAATATTGGGTCAAGCCCTCGGCCGTAAGTAGCCCGTAACTAACATTCACGCTTGCTTCTCTCCTATCTTCATAACACATCGGTGAGTGTTTCGCAAGCCCAGTTGGCCGATCCTTAATGACGATCAAACATGTGGCCGAAGTGACTAACTGAATTGTAGCGTTGTCCTACGAGCTATGGCCTTTAGCGGGATTTTGCACAAGGTGTTGCACCGGTGATCTACTGTATCGTATGCGTAAAGATACAGCGAGAGATACAAATTCATTGGTTATGCTGAACTTCAGATCACGCATGGCCCGCCGCGTCAGAATTTGCGCGTTAGGTTTATTTGGAATGGCTGGTGCATCTTAAATGTTCATATCATATCGAACCTGTGCAGTTATGGAAATTTGACGCTACGACAGCTACGCTATTTACAGTAACTCGAACTATGGGTTATAACGCAAGTTACGATACAAATATTTTTTTAAACAATTTCACAAGGTTAATCATCTTCTGAATAATTTCTTTACATGGATATCTAAAGACGCAAACCGCAACAACTGATTTTCAAAATTTGCGTCTGAAGAAAACAAAGTATGACGCCTGGAAATACCGGCATCAAAATCAATCGGTTTTTGAAAACGTACAATATTGAGAAGCAGATTGCGCAGCCTTTGCTTAAGATGACCAACAGAGGTTTTCGAAGTACAAGTACCAGTATTATTTATGTTCGTATTTTTGTTACCATGATAATCATCGCAAAACGTCCCTATTTAAATGGGCACCGCGACATTTCGCCGCCGACAACTCGTCGCAGGACGTTTGGTCGCAGAAATTTTGCAGCAAGGTCATCTCGCCTCGCGACATTCCGTCGCGGGACATTTATTCGACTGGACATCCCGCCTCGAGACATTTCGTCGCCAGGCCGTTTAGACGCCGATATATTTCGCCGCGAGGCTGTTTCGACGAAAAGTCCTCTTTGGCAGACAAACACTCAATCAGGTCAATTGAAACAGTCGAGCAAAACCTAAAAATAATTCGGAACACACAAAAAAATAACCTAAGAAACCCAAGAAAACTAAGAAACCTAAGAAACCTAAGAAACCTAAATCACCCAAAAACCTAAGAAACCTAAGAAACCTAAGATACCTAACAAATCTAAGAAACCTAAGAAACTTAAAATACCTAACAAGTCTAAGAAACCTAAAAACCCAAGAAAACCTTCTAAGAAACCCGGAAAAGTAAGCGTGTCAATTCTTTTGCGGCGAAGTGTCCTCGACTAGACGTGTTGAGACAAAAAGTCGCAAAGTTAAAATGTCTCAATGCAGATTGTTTTAAACCGAAGTGTCCCAGCGTCAAAATGTCCCGCGGCGAAATGTCTTCGCAGCGAAAAGCCGTGCGTCGAATTTAATTGCGGCAAAATGTCACACTCCCAAATGTCCGGGTGCGTTTAAATGTCCTTCGTCTAGACGTTTAGTTGCCTCTGCTTAGAAAGCTTTCTAAGCGTGTTTACCTACTTCCAACTGTATGTGGTAACCAGCGGCACTCCTGCATGTCCGCTGCATTTCACCGTAGTTATGTACAACATGGAGCTACGCTACCGCTTTTAATAGTTTGGCTATGGCTATTTTGCCGCACTATGGTGGCCGCAATAGCTTGTTGGCTATTTTACCGCACACTGCGTTAAAACAGCTCGTTAGCTATTTTGCCGCACTATGGACGGGAAAAGGATAATTACGTATAATGTCGATGCTGCGTGGACGGGGAAACACGGGTGTTGGCTGCGTGCACGGGTGACTGCACGGGCGTTGGCTGTGTGCACGGAGTTCGGGAACGGGTGTTGGCTGCTTGCACGGTGAGTGCGCAACGGATCCAACTCCAAAACGGCCGTTCCAGGATCCATTCCGAAAACGAACGCGGTAGCCATGGCTATCGCATTCCAATTCCTGCTGCTTTTGGCATCTCTCACTACGATATTATGCCCTTCATCCAGTTTATAATCTTCTTCCAATTTAAAATATAGTAATTCTGAAATAATAGAAATCACCCGTGTCCGCAGCCAACGCTCGTTCCCAAACTCCGTGCACGCAGTCAACACCCGTGCGGACCCAAAAAGATCACCCGTGCACGCAGGCATACTGTAATTACAATAAGGGACTCGGTAATAAAGGGAAACTCTGCTAACACATCCCCTTAAACTGCCCGCACTAGTTATCGGTTCCTTCGACATCAGAGGCTAACAGCTAGTGCGGGCAGTTTTTCTGGATGCGCTATCTCAAAAAACAAGTGTAACGAGCGTGCGAGTTACGCTACGAGTTTTGATATTCATGCAAGGAAAAAGTATCCTATATATTAAAGCAGAGATCTGATTCCGGAACGCTCCCGCCTCCAAAACGTTTCGAATGGCTAGAACCAGCCTTACGTGTCGGATTGGCCGGAACCCGCCTAGCGACTTTTAAGCTTTTGCAGCCCATTAAACCTGTGCTGTTACGTCTTTATCCTTACTAAGCTTCCAAAATTTAGTACCTTTACCTGTAAAACCTTCACCTGATAAACCGAATCTCACATTTAGCTTTATTCCATACTAAGCTTTAAGTCCTTAGTGCTTTAACAAACCTGATAATTTTAATTACCTTAAAAAATTTTGCGGCACCCACCCTTTGAGCCTGTGGTCACCGAATGACACGCGTGCGGTACCCGCCCTTTTAAGCCTTTGGCCACCGAAAGGCACGCATGTGGTACCTGCTTTATTAAGCCTGTGGAAACCGAAGGCCTTTTAAGCCTTTGGTCACTGAAGGCCACGCGTGCGGTACCCGCCTATATAAGCCTTTGGTGACCGAAAGCCTTTTAAGCCTTTGGTCACCCAAGGTTTTTTTAATCTTTTGTCACCAAAGGCCACGCGTGCGTTACCCTCCCTTTTATGCCTTTGGTCACCGAATGCCTTTTAAGCCTTTGGTCACCGAAGGCTTTTTAAGCCATTGATCACCGAAGGCCTTTTAAGCTTTTGATCAGTGAAGGCCACGCATGCGGTTCCCACCCTTTCCGGCTTTTTGTAAATGAAGCCACGCGTGCGGCACCAAAATTTTTAAGGCTTTTTTAACCGAAGCCGACGCGTGCGGTATCCACCTTTTTAAGCTATTTGTAACCGATGATCACGCGTGCGGTACCCACTGCTTTAACCTTTTGTAACTGAAGGCTCTTGGTTTAGCCTGCTCCTAACTGACCTTAGTTTGCTTTTACTAAATCCTACCAAGCTTTTTAAACCTTCTAACTGGAATTCATTCAGGGAAAAATGCAGCCGACTGAAATCACCTTTGCACTGCAGCGCGAAGCGGGCTGTGCTTGCCTTTTTGAGCCTTTGGTCACCAAAGGCCCCGCGTGTGGTACCCGTCCTTTTGAGCGTTTGGTCACCGAAGGCCACGCGTGCGGTACCCGTCCTTTTGAGCTTTTAGTCGCCAAAGGCCCCGCGTGCGGTACCCATTTATGAGCGTTTGGCCACCGAAGGCCACGCGTGCGGTACCCGCCCTTTTGAGCCTTTGCCCTTTGGTCACCGAAGGCCTCGCATGCGGTACCCGCCCTTTTGAGCCTTTGGTCACCGAAGGCCTCGCGTGCGGTACTCGCCGTTTGATGATTTTGGTAACCGAAGGCCACGCGTGGTGTGTCCATGCTTTAAAGGGTTTTTTGACCGAAGAATTTCGGTTGCAAACCCGTCTCTAGCTGACTGTATCGTCCTTTCAATAAGACTTACTTAGCATATAAAACCGTTTCACTTCAAATCGTTTAGCAAAAACGCCCAGCCGACAAGAACCGCCTTTGCACTACAGCGCGGCGCGTAAGCGCCGCGCGCTGTGCTTGTTTTAGATTATACCGCAAGTTACGAGCGTAGACGAGACCCGAGCCATTGTCGCCTTTGCCTACGATCAAAAGTCGATTCCTTTAGACTGGAAAGTAATATCGGTGTTATTGTATGTTTTTTATTTGTCCGAGATTTTATTAGGATAATTTTGTCCGCCATAACGAACTAACACCAGACAGATATTAATCATTCATTGTGACATTTGCATAGTGTGCGTCTGTAACCGTTCAAAACGACCAGTCGTCTCAGACAACCGCAGGTCGTTTTGTAACCCGGCACGGCAGCCAGATCACCCGTCCTGGATGGAGCGGACCAGCTGACACCAACGGTCACTCGGCAGAGTTCGACCGAGATCTCAGTCGACCGCTTGCCGGGGAGTCGACCATACCGTTGCCGGTCAAACTGTTCCTGCCGGATTTGTTCCAGTGTCTGTTGTAGACGGCAGTCCGGAATCGACACCGAAGGCGGACAGAACTCAACTCAACCCTAACGAACCGATACTGCAGACGCCGGAAGGACGGCAGTTCCAAAACTTAACAGGCCGCCAGACCAGATCAGTGATGGCACGATAAACGAACAATCGGCCCATCTGGTAGTCCAGTTAGCAGCCGCCCAGAACAAGGTCGACCGGAAGAAGACAACCTTGCGACTATTACCACCCTGAAAACGGAGAATGCGGATATGGCAGAAGCCACCAAGCGACTCCAAAACGGGTGGACACTTTCGTGACCGAGTTTGTCTACCTTTGCAGGAGTGCAGCAAAAGAACCGAAGCGAGAGAGATGCTACAGCGACAGCTTCGGGGACGGCAACAAAAGAAAGGACGCGTACAAGGAAAAGCTCAAAAAATTTCTCTGGTCGAGTCAACCGAGTTCATCGCATGAACCGTCAACTCCGAAGGAGCTTACAGATGTATTTTTGAAATACGTCAACCTAGAACAGGAACTGGGAACAGCGATACATTGGACGGAACAGCTTTTGAAACGAGCAGCCAGCTTGGAGACGAATCTGACGACAGCCCGGCGCAGCGGAGTGCTACTACGCGGCCTGTTGGTTCGATTGAATTGAACGACACGGCACCCCGGACTACCGATGCGGCAAGACGG